GATGCGCGTTCGCTCGCGGGATTGCCTGCCTGCCTGGCTTTGGGCTTCGCGGATGGCAGTGAAGCGAGCTCCGAGCGAGTCGACACGAGGGGTAGGTCGCGTAAAGTGACGGCCAAGTACGGGGCGGCGAGACTGCGACGAGCTCGACTGCGTCGACAGCTCTGGCCAGTTGCTTGGCCAGTGGACGGCCTGTCACGCGCCTACCTGTCGGAGCTTAGGTTCGACTTTACTGTTGCTTTGCCTTTCTCATCGGAATTTTTCATTATGCATCCAAAGCATCGGCAAGCACTTTTTCGATTCGTCATTTCACTTTGTTCTCCGCAATTTTTTACAAACTTTCTTACCTTTACAAATCTTTAAGCGGTCTCGATTAGATTCTATTGACTTCGTTTTCATCCATTCAATTCGATTCCACGTAAATTTAAAAATTCATTTATAATCTTGCGCAAATTGACTCTTCAAAATAACTATCGGTGCATTATCGGAAAGAGTCATACGAGAAATGTCGTTTCACGTTTGACTTTTCGAATCGTCGTCAATGTCATCAGCCTAAAATAAATATTGCCTCATTAGAAAGTGAAATGCGTGAGCTAGACTGATTTCTAGGCGTTACGCTGGACCAGATTTTCGCGCGCATTGAAATCGGAAGCTGTGTTCCTGCAAGCTGCCGAGTTCTATTGGTCGATATTTCGCGTATATTTTCTTCGAGGCGGTAGCAATTTCGGCGTCAAGCGTGCTCGAGTACGTGGCTGTCGTCGGCTGGGACACTCGTGCAGTCCTCGTTCGTCGACAGGCCACAACCCGAACGCGCGGAAGCCGAAATTGGCCGTTGCGATCAGCGCGCCTCCGATTTTCGCTATAGCGAATCGTCGAGGCGAGGGCTTTGTCGGCCGCAAAGTGTCCGGGCGAGGCACGACAATTGCAGGAACCTCGAGCAAGGATGCGCGACTGTGCGAGCTCTCTTTATCGGTCTCCGCGCCTCCTCGCGTCGAGTGCCTTCCGACGAGCGATTTCCGATTTCCTCCGACCACCTTCGGCTGATGTCTCCGTGAGACGCGCCGCGGCGCGCTTTTCAGCGTCGAGCGTCAATGTCGACGTCAAAGGCTCGCGAGCTGCGACCGATATTTTTTCACATAGCGCCGCGGACTCGATGAGAAATAGACGACGCAAGCGACAGAAATAGTCGTCATTGTCCTGACTGACGTCTCTCGGAGTTGCCCGTACTGGCTCGAGCCGGGACAAAGTTTCGATTATTGGCTTATCCGTCGGGATGCTCCGTTGCATGGCCGTCGCACGAGCTGCCCGACTCGATCGATACCACCATCGCCAGCAGGCGGCCGTACGCGATCCGCGGATTTTTGCGCAAAGAAGCAACAGCGTCGGCGAGCGGTGCTCGGGGTGCGCGGTTCCCTCGAGCAGTGACGTACTCCAATAGGCCGTCGGGGCCGTCCCCGCGAGTGAGCGGAACCCGACTGGCCTGGCGACACGGTTCCACCGATAAGCCGCCTGCCGAGTCGCGGAAGGCGCTCGACATCGGCGCCGAAAGTACGCGGCCTCGCGAGACAGCAAAGTCAATGTCGGCGAGGCGCGCTGGCGTAAAAATAATAATTGGCCGCCGAGCCAGCAGCGGCCGAGCAAGCGGCACGCCAGTGCGCGCAGTGGCTCGCGGAGGCGCAGCATGCGAGCCGCGCTCGACTGCTGCTGCCCCGGCCGTTGCGCCTGGGTCCTGCGCGACCCTCGTCGCGGCCCCTGTGGTTTCGAGCACGTCAAGTACCAGCGCCTCGCGCAGCAGGTTACAGAGCACCCTCGCGACAGCTGGGCATCGACGAGCGCCGCGCCTGGCTCCCCGGTGACCGTCGCACCCCGCCTCGCGCTCTCGGCTCCGACTGAATGATCAGCGATGACTTGCTTGCAGGTGGAAGCCGGCGACGTGATCCTCAGGGTGAACGAGGTCGACGTCAATCGGTTGAGCACTAAGGAAGGTGAGTAAGAGGAGGAGGAGGAGGAGGAGGTGGCGGCTGGTGGCGGTACGTGACTGCGCAAAGCGGGCTGCGCTCTCACGTGCTCTGCTCGTTGTGTTTCAGTGCTGAAGTGCCTTCGGCTATCCCCGGACCCGGTGACCTTGAAGCTGCGAAGGGGTAAGTCCGGCCGCAGCTGCCTCCATCTGGCCGACACTGAGCGCGCCCCTCGTTACAGATCCGGACATCAAGGCGCACGTGCTGCGGCTACTGTCACCGGCGGAGACGATAGGCGCGCAGCCGGACAAGGGGCCCGCGGGCCCGCCGGCGGAGGCGGCGGGCGTGCAGCCGGCGGCCATGGCGGCCTGCGCCCAGCCGCCCGCCCCGGACCGGGCGCCCAGCGGCTACGCCAGCTCACACTCCAGGAGCAATGGCTCGTGCAGCGACGCCTCCGCCTCGTCCGACCTCGAGGCCTTGCTGCCCGCCGTCCGCGGCCAGCAGCACGACAGCTTCCTAGAGGAGGAGCGCTTGCAGTGGGAACCCCTCGGCACCGATAAGTTCGCCAAGCACAAGAACCCCCCCAGGTGCGTCCTTCGTTCTGTCTCTCTCCCTCTGCTCGCGTTTTGCACGCGTGCCGGCTTATCGATTTTCGTCCCACGGCTCGAGCTCCTCCTTTCAACCTCTCGCGTTTTTCTCTTTGCTCTTCGAACGTCAATTCGCTCTCAACGGGCAGTCGCGCGCTCTGCGATCGCACAACTGGCGCTGTTGCGCCTTTGCTCCGACCGGGCGCCAACTTTGCACTGCACTCGTGTCACGCGCACGGGACGCGCGTATATTTCGTTCGGTCCGAATTTAGATTGGCCGTTAGCATTTGTTGGTTAGTGCGCTCATCGCGACGAGCGTGCAAACAGGCCGCGCTGCAGCTTTTCGCGACTCCGTAGTGCGGCGCCGAGCCTGGCTCACCTGCTCGCTCGCAGAATCGTCGATCGACGTGGATCCAGGCCCGGGCAAATCAAGTTCAGAGTCGCATCGATCATGGACGCGAGTCGGAGGTTAAGCCAGCTGAACTGATATGTTATCGCAGATTCGAGGCGTACATGATGACGGGGGATCTGATGCTGAACCTATCGCGCACTCAGCAGAGCAGCGGCTTCCTGCCGAAGCACCAGAAAAAGGTGGACTCGCTGAGGTACAACAATCACCACGCTCACCATCACCACCACCATAACCATCACAATAACTACCATCGCCATAACTCGGTACCGACAAGTCCTAATGAGAAGCTAGGCCAACGGCGCGTGGCCGCCAATAACCATGGCCCCGATACTAACTTCAACGCTAACTCTAACTCGGGCATGGGCTGCGCGGGCGAGCAGTCGCCGCAACCCCCGGCGGAGGAGCCGGCGGGGTTGCGCCGACAAGCCGGCCTCGAGCGCCGGCCAGGTCGGCCAGTACGCCTCGGGCTTTGTGCGCACCTCGCGCTCCGAGGACCACCTACAGCTGCAGAAGGACCCGTGCATGTCGGGCGTCGAGGCGGACATCGACGACGACGTGACCTCGTCGCTCAACACGCTGCTGGACACGCGCGCCGAGAGCTGCGGAGCCGGGCTCTCGAGCGAGCGCATCGTGTGGACCTACAACGCACCGGTCGGCTCGGCGCCCTCCGCCGAGTCCTCGCTCGCCGGCTCCCGCTCCTCCTCCAACTGCAACACCTCGGCCTCCAATTCGTCCTCCTCCTCCGAGTCGTCCAACGGCGACACCAGCCCGCAGCGTTCCCTCTCGCCTGCCTCCCCGACCTCGGTCTCGTCGTCCGTCATGTCCTCCAACTCTGGCTCCCGTAGGTTCCCCCCGGCCCCAGCCGCCAACGCCCACCCCCTTGCTGCCTCCGCTCAGCAGCAGCAGCATCACCACCAGCCGCACCATCTGCTCACCCAGCAGCCACTCCATAGCAAGCCGCACTCCACCGGGTTCCTGGCCACCAATGGCGACCTCAGCCAGTCCGAGGCTATCAGTAACTTGTCCAGCCCCGACTACAACGACGAAGAGACCATGGACATTCTCAGCGCCCGTGACCTCATGATGGTCAGCGACCCCAGCGATAGCGACTCCACCATTCTCGCCAGCGAGCCGCCCCAACGCCGCCTCAAGCAGAAGCAGCAGCAGGACGAGCAGCACAGGATAGTGATACAGGTCAAGGGCCCGGAAAAACATGCCAGTCCACGTCAGTCGAGACGCGACTCCCTTCCCGGCGGCCAGCAATCGCCCACCGCCCAGCCCCGGAACAACGGCCTCGCACACGAATACGCCGGTTACCAAGTAAGTCGCCTCACGGCAGCTGAATCTCTCTCTCTCTCTCTCTCTCTCTCTCTCTCTCTCTCTCTCTCTCTCTCTCTCTCTCTCTCTCTCTCTCTCTCTCTCTCTCTCTCTCTCTCTCTCTCTCTCTCTCTCCTCTCTCTCTCTCTCTCTCTCTCTCTGACCGCTCGTATACTTGCAGGAGTTGCGCGAATTGGAGGACGACAAGGAACAGGTCGACGAACGACCGCCTTCGCCGCCTCACTCCGCGGACGAGGAAAGCGACATCGAGAGCTTACATAGCTTTCACTACAGTCCGAAGGCGGTCGACTTGCCCTCTGCTGTCAGATTAGCTAAGCGACTGCATTCGCTTGACGGCTTCAAGAAATCCGATGTCTCGAGACACCTTAGTAAAAAGTAATTCTAATCTTCCGCCTCGTTCTCACCGTCATTCACTTCTTGCCAGCCCGCTCGCCCGCCTGCCTGTTCGTTCACTCCCCTCCCCTTTTATTCTTCTTAATTTAAAGTAACTGTTCAAGTAACCATAGCGCGTAACTTGCACTCTATCCTCGATCTCGTCTATTTTGTAGCAACGATTTTAGCAGAGCAGTGGCCGAAGAGTACTTGAAATACTTCAACTTCGAACGGGACACGCTGGACGTGGCTCTCAGAAAGTTCCTCGCTCAATTTTCACTGACCGGCGAGACCCAAGAACGAGAGCGTGTTCTCGTTCACTTTTCCAAAAGATACCTCGACTGCAACCCCGGATCTTTCAACTCGCAAGGTACGCATTTGCCACTACTGCTCTACTTTGCCTCTACGTATTATCACTGCCAGTATCTCCGTTTGCAGATGCCGTTCACACTCTAACGTGTGCTATAATGTTGCTCAATACGGATCTCCACGGTCAGAACATTGGTAGGAAAATGTCATGTTCGGAATTCATAGAGAATCTCTCGGAGCTCAATGACGGCGAAAATTTCCCACGAGAAGTTTTAAAACAGCTATACAACGCCATCAAGTCCTTTCCACTGGAATGGGCTCTGTGAGTACAACGTCCGGTAGCCACGCGACTACGTCCTGATGGTCGATAAGTTTGATTGTATTAATTGTTACTTTCATACGCGTTTACAGCGACGAAGAAGGTGACGAAGTTGCGTCACAAGCAATTCAACAAGGAGACAGTCCCGTTATATTGCCAGGAAATCCATTTCTCGATGTGCCAAACGTTACAGGCGCAACTGAATTTAAAAAGGGTTACGTTATGCGGAAGTGCTGCTACGATTCCAATGGAAAGAAAAGTACGTGACACTTTGGAAATTTTTCCGTTTGTCTCGACATCTCCGATCTTTTCACGCTCCTAATTTACCACATTTGATTAATTTTATTTCTTTCAGCTCCATTCGGCAAAAGGGGTTGGAAAATGTATTATTGTACATTACGAGAACTTGTATTATATTTGCACAAAGATGAACATGGCTTTCGTAGTGATAGCTTGCACAATGCCATACGTATTCATCATGCCCTAGCAACGAAAGCGTCCGATTACATGAAAAAGCAGCACGTCTTTAGGTTACAGACTGCCGATCAAGCCGAATACCTCTTTCAAACTAGGTATGTGCTGATGACGCTTCATATCACAAAAGTTTTCGTGATTATTCATGCAATATTTACTTTCCATATTTGTAGTGATTCCAAAGAATTGCAGTCGTGGATTGATACGATCAATTTCGTTTGCGCCAGTTTTTCTTCACAGCCACTTGCCGGCGCGGTAGGTTCTCAACGAAAGTTTCAACGGCCTTTGCTTCCATGCACTCATACAAAATTAAGTCCAGTGAGTAGTTGCGCCTTTCGTTAATGAACAGCTCTATCCGCTGATCTCTTGGATTACTAATAAACAGCTTATCGTTGCCTGTTTCAGAGAGAGCAGCTGCGCGACCACGAAGATAGAGTAAACAAACTAGAAGCCGAATTGGAAGAGCACAGACGTCATCCGCCAGAAAGAGGTGCCAAAGCTCTTACCGTTCAGAACTACAAAGAAAAGGATGCTTATTTGCATTATGAAGTGTGTATTTCACTTTAGTAATAGTCATTGCACAGCTCATTTATAGTTACAGAAATTAAACTAATAACGTTTCGATGTTTAAGCTCAAGAGGTACAAAACGTATGCATATTTGTTACGTTCACGATTAGCATACACGGAAATTGAGCCGTCTTTAGTAGAAAGTAGTATTGGCGAAGTGGACGAAGGCAGTGGTGCTTTCATGAATGTTGATGTGGCGTTGGTACCACCTCCGGTTCCAGATCGGCCGGCTACGAATAGGTATAGTTACAGGGCTGCCATTTACAATCGTAATCTCTTAAATGGTCAGGACTACAGTGGGGACATTGGTTGACGTGTAATGGGTGTCTTATCAGCATGCGTGGTCTAGCATTTTCTATCTACGCAGAAGAAAAAGATAAATAAAAAGCAAAAAGAAAAGAAATAAAAAAAAATAAGATACTTTTTTTAGCAAGTTTTACTTTTCTAAGATTTTCTATTTAGTTGTACAATTGACAAACGCGAGAGACTGCCAGTAATGAATGATAATGTGTGTTAATTTCTACAAATAAAGTTTTTACATACTATCGTGCATAAAATTGCGTTGCATTAAAAATGAATAATAAAATGACATTCAAACTCTGCGTACATAGATACATCTAGCCTAACATGCTAGTTATTAAGAGGTGAATGGATCAGGGCTTTATTAAACTAATATTTACACAGTATTGTACATTGATTACTAATGATACTTAACAGATTAATACACCATTAATTCATGTTTGGGCTGTATGCCTCAAGCCTTTCTTGATATTGGTTCTACTGAGATCTTTTAAATCTGTCTCAAGTTTCAACAATTATACTGAATTATATGTGACGCAAATTGTTTCAGTTAATCGTTGTTGGAGTTACAAAATACTAATAATCGTCACCTTAATATATAGAATTAAACGTGACTTTCGAATGAAACGACAAAGCAATATTTTATTTGCTTACCAGTTAGTTTTGCCTTACTGAATCGAAATAATTTATAAGGTTCTGTGCCATTGCGTTCAAATATTAAAAAATGACAAATAGTCTAAATTAATCTAACATAATTTTCTGTGAAATTCAGAATGTTTAAAAGTTTGGAATTCTTCCAATTTGCACGAAAATGTTTAGTACTGAGAGTCACATTTAATTTTTGGTGGTTATAATTTTATCATTTTCGCATTACACTACAAAATAGCAAACAATTTTGATAAATATAAAAATAATCTGTAATTTCTTTTCAAAGTACGCTTTATAAAATCAGTATTAAACTTTTCTAATGTTAAAGTAAAAATCAATGTATAATCAAAAAATTAATGAATAAGCTACGAATGTTGTAACAACAACATTATAAATATGATGAGTTCAATACGTACAGAGTTGGCGTTTCTATACTAGCTTGCACATTTTTTTAAACCTTTACAAAGAGTTGCAATTGATTTTTAAGTAAAAAAATCAGAAAATGTAGCAGCTAATGTCCCCCGTGATATATTGCAAATGAAGTTAAAAATTTACTTCAATTTTTAAAGTTAGAATTAAAATTTTCACATGAAAAATTCTTATTTTTCCAATGCTGTTTAGATAGCAGCTTTTGTTGTGGCTGAAATTGTGAAAATTTGCATACTTATTATTAAAGTACTTTAAAACTTTAGATGAGCATTTATGATCTGGGATTCATTGGACCTAAAAAACTTCCGTGAAGGTGTGATTAAAATTATTTAAGTTGGAAAGGCTGTGTAAAAATTTGTTTTTGTCAATAAATAACTCAATACTTGAGAATTCAATGAGCTTAGACCAATAAATGCTAATGAAATATTTTTTAAAGTGTAGATAAATGCAAAAAAATTGTAAAAAAGCTTACACTTTTAGTTAAGTTTGTATGATTACTAGTACGTTTGACGTGAATTTTTCATGAGCCAAAGTTCTTACCCATAAGACTTCAGTTAGTTGTAACAAAAGTAAGACTGGATTAGTACTTGGAAAAACTATAGAATCTACTATATATTTTTGTTTAGAAAATACGAATTCTTCAATCTTTTGTCACCTGAAGTAAAGTTAATATACTATAATATTAATTGTTGAGACAACCAAAGTATACTTCGAAGATTATTATTGCAGACAAATTAGAATTACCGTTTTTAAGAAATTGAACATGACGTTCATATATTTTTATTTTTTAAATGAGATATCGAAGGCATTTTGTTTCGTTGAAGCTTTATTACCGTCGGAGTGTTATTGCATACATTTTGCCAACATAAGTCAATGTGCTCAGAGTATCTCTAGTAAATGAAATAAAGTTACACGTGTATAATTTAAATTATAGTTTACAAAAAATATATTTGTATGTTTTTAACAGTAAATGGTTAAAAGGAAATCGCGCAGTAAACTGTCAATTAGATCTGACAACTTTGTAATTTTTAAATTGTTATGCTGCAGAACGAACTGAAACTGTTCGTTTATCACTAAAAATTCTTTTTGTATGAATTTTGATTTTGTTACTAGTATATGCAGTTATTGATGGTATTGATTAAACTATTTTATAATTTTTTATAAAGATTTTTGTCTAACTATGCTTTTGTAAACTATGATCAATGAGTTTTTTAAAAGGACGTATCTTCAAGGCTCATCAATTATAAAAGAAAGTTTTTTTGATATGGTAATACTCTTTTACGATTACATGGGCCCACAGTGGTCGGTAATATAGAATTTATGAGGTTTATATTAAACGAATCAGTCCAAAATATAAACGTACGAACTATATAAAGCCAGGACATAGATACAAAAAAGTCAAGATAACTTATGGCTGCCCTATTCCGCATTTGTGTGCTGTATGATTTTCAGAATCATAAATTATTATCGTTTGGCTAAGCCTCCGATATAATATATATATTGCTTGTTATAATTTACTTAATATTATTTGGTATGTACAAACTTGAATAATTTGAAATTATTGCGATTCAAATTCATAGATTTTAGCAAAATCCTTGTATATAAATTGTAAGATATGTGGATAACATGTTATAAAATAAAGAAAAAACGACAGATTTCCGAAAATACTTTCCGCCTTTAGACTTGACCTGAATCTTTGTGCTTACTACTACTTTCATTTGTTATGCTCTTGCACGTATTATTATGAATTCCATATATAAACATATGCACTGCATGGCTATTAATGTATTAAATAAAGCATGATATATTTTTTTCCTATCAGTGTTTTCGCAATCTCATCTTTTTTTGAACTACTTCACTTGCATCTCTCAAACTTATCAGTTTTTAAATGAGATGTTTGAAACGAAAAACAAGATTTCAATGTGAATGTTTCTGTAACTCTGTTAACCAAATTTAAGTTTAACTTTCGCTCGAAACAATCGAAATCGATAGATGTAGCATACTAAATAAATGGTAGTAGCGCGAGCTTAAAAATTTTGGAAAATTGTGCAAAAAATGAAATTACAGAGAAAATCCGATTTACTAGTGCCCTCGAGCGAGCCGCTGCGAATAAATTGATCAGTACGTTACAATCGATTGCGGGTTTGTCAATATTTTTTAGCATGTGAAAAAGTGAAACGCAAGGACTCGGATTTTCACTGTATTCGATGATGATTTCAATAATGATCTTTAATGCCTATGGTACATTTATTTTTACGTACGGCAGGACTGAATCAGCGGCCAATTGAATTAATAGTACCCAAGCAGTCTCCTCTCTACAATGGATCTCATTGCATCTACATCTTGCCTACATCGAAATAAAGTAAGCAGTCATTTCGACAAACGCATCAACAGATTTATGTCAAATCAGTTATCATCGATTAAGTGTGGACAATAGACATATCAATGGCAAACTGTAGCCATTGATTATGCTTAAATCTTATGATAATCCTGATAAAAGCAATTATATTAATAAATTCTTAAATTATTGGCATTGCCGGAATCGCGTTAGTCATGAAATTCCATGCTCAATTCTCAAGCAATTAATATTTTTTAATTGACTTAATCACAAGGAAAATATTTCATTTGATTTGCATTATTGAAATTTATATACTCAATAGATACTAAGTTGTAAAGCTCACGTTCATCTTCTGAATTGTATGTTGTAGTGCGTTGTTTAAAAGTGCATCTCAACTATGTGACAAATCATATTCATCATTTGATAAATGAACTTTCAATGATCTTTTAAAAATTCATTATTATAGAGTCCACTGAACACTATAATTTATTATTTGTTTTTATGCGAGAAAATTTATTAGTTCTGCATAAAGCATGTTTACGCCAAAGAAGTGCATTTTTAATGATCAAAATATTTTATAAGTATTACAAGCACACGTGTGTACGTAGAACCTTTAATATTCATTAATATATTCTGCCAAAATTTGTGACAATGTTTTTATCATAGTATCGTTGAGTGACTTCACAATTTGTGGATTTTAAATCAAATAATTTTAAGTATTTGACTGAAAATGTAAATAATTGCTCCTACATTGCTAAAATACATTTTTCAACCTGCGAAAGTTCATTTCATTATTTATTTAGAACTGATATCTGTATAAAGTCGTGTACAGCAGTGTAAATATAGCAAAGTATTGGTTGATTGACGTATGATCGATGGATTAAAATTTCAAATCTAATTAAATGTTGTTTGACTGATCCCTATCTTATTTTACGAGTCAAAGGGTTGCGGACGCGGAGGAGTGCGTTGAAACGGAAACTCAAAATTTTTATTAAATTTTATACGGATTTATTATCGTATAATCGTGTACAATGTTATATTATAGTACTTGTTATTTTACATAATTTTCTGGTGGTTCAAAATAATGTATGTTTCTACTTATGTACATTTACGGTGCGATTTATATGCAATAATACTTAATAAATTTCTATTTTACAACAATGTCAACATCGGTCGACTCCATTTAACATACAAAGATACAAACTTCTCTAGTATACACATACGCGGGCGTCAGTTCATTTTCAGAAAAACTTACGTCGCGTTTTAATTCATTTTCCTTCCAAGATCATCGCAGTAATATACAGTTGATTAATCTTTCGATTCGATACAAAGTAAAACTAATATTGTACAACTTTGGAGGAATGTCGTGATGGCGTAGCACCAACTTCACTATAACATTGTTTAATTGAACCGCAATGGCACTTTACAAATTAAATAATGCCTATTTCATATATAATATATATTTATATATTTTATTTTATTTCTCCTTGAAAACCCTATTCATTAATGTAGCAACAATAACAACGGTGGATCGGACTTTTTAGTTCATCCACTTGCGGCAGTTAGGCGCTCCACATGCGCATGCTATCTTGTGCTGGTCATCCTCAATGTCAAATTTATAATCGTACGCCAGCTAGCAAAGAGAGACAGAGAGAGAGTGTTATAATTTGTTAGAGCATAGTATCATAGGTACTAGTATTTTTGTAGGTGTGTTTGCTTGTGTATATTACCTCTTCGCCACGTGAGATTCGTCTTTTTGCAAAAATAATGATCCTAATATCTCGCTCGACTTCGACAATTTCAGCGACACAGTTGGGGTTGCAGGAGTGGTTGATGTAGCGGGCGAGTCCCCCGCATAACGTCGCGTCCACCACGCGATCCTCGTCTAGTCGGAACATGTAAATTCCACGATTCTGCAAAACAAGTATAATTGGTAGGCAAACTCGGGGGATCAAGCAAGATGTCGGGCGGCTAATCTACTTACTCTCGCTTCGTACTGCTTTTCTCTGGTCTCGGCTAGCTCGGTGCGAATGATCTCGCCGATGTATTCGATGACCATAGTATGCTTCTCCAGGTCTCGCGCCGCGTAGAGGCCCAAGCCCTGGATCTTGGATCTGGCCAAGTAGACGTTGTTACGCCAATCTTGCTTCATCTTTTTGTATTGTGAGCTCTTGGAGTGCACGAACTGCTTCGAGTAAGGACAAGCCAGCTCTCCAGAGCTGTTCGAAGCGGGGGCGTAGGTGGCTCGTGCCGAGGAGGCCGTGCGTTGCGTGTGCGGCTTCTTCCATGGCAGCTGGTTCTTAAGACGCGCCTCCGTTCTAGCGCAGCCACTAGGGTTGATAGCCAATGGCAGTTCGAGCAGCGGGTTGCGACCATATTTGAATCGGTAGTCAGTGAGCGTCTCGATGCCGGGTAAACTCTCGAGCACGCGCACGACCGCCGGCTCAGTAAGACCGAACAGGTCCTCGCCTGTGACGTAGCGCGGAAACAGCTGTACGGTGCTCGAACTGCGGCGCAGCTCCGCCAAAGGTTCAAGGATGCGGTTCCATACCGCCCGGGGCGAGGCGTCGCGCAACTCCACGTCCTCCTGGGACGGCTCCTGCACCAACACTCGGAATTCCGGCCGGCCGGACACGTCATGAATTGAGCACACGTAGCGACAGCGCTTGTTCGGCCGCCGCATGCTCCAGTAGAATCGCACGATCTTGTAGCCGACCGGATAAATGTGATTCTGCGTGTGGAAGTTAGCCAGCTGGTGGGGAAGCAGTTGTCCCACATTCAGGAATATCAGGCTACCCACTCGCAGTAGGTTGTTGTGATCCGAGTTGTTTTGCATTACCGCCGCGACTTGCTTATTTTCGTCGCGGTACACGTACACTCTTCGATAAACAGACAGTGTAGTAAGCTCGTTGTCCTTATCCGTCTTGGAAGCATGTTGCGAACAAAATGTACTCTGTAAATACCACATTTATTTATTAGAATACGTCCATTCAAATTTTTTTTCCTATCACTATATAATTTTATGTACCTTGTTTTTGTAAAATACACAGCCATCTCTGACCGCGCAGCCGAGATGGTAATAGCTGCTGCAGCGAATTTTAAAGCATTTTACTGTTGCGCCGGCTTGCTTGCAGAGAATACAAATTGCATCTTTCGAGTTTTTCAAGGCAATATCCAAATTCATTAGGGCTCCGTTCACTGTTTCGTACACGTCTTCAGACCACAGGGCACAGTTCAAGTGAACCCACTTGTCTACGTCAAAATTTAAAAGTCTTCCAGTATTATCCGCGGCACCGTCGCCCACGTTTTGACAGAACATACAACGGCGCGTATCTTCGCCATTGTCCGAAAACGTAATAGTAATTTTCATTCTAAAAAGCATCTGCAAACAAAGAGGTAAACAAACTTATTATATACATCTCATTCAATAGCATTGTTAATACTCGCTGAATAGCGAGACGAACAAAGTACCTCTGTGATTTCACGGTCGGTCGGTCTTTTGTACTTCACAGCAGGGTGCATTACACCAGATGTGAAGCTTTTGTACCGGCTTCCTTTAAAAAGCTTAGGCGGTGGCTGTAATTCCGCTGGGCCGAGTAATTGATCTTCTGGAGCTGGATGCTTTTTGGCTCTTTTATCGTCTATATAATTATTTTTATTCTCGAAATCTTCCTTCTCCTTCTTTATTTTAGTCTCAACATTTGATTCTGCAGAATCCACATCCATTTGTTCTATTTGTCCAATCGAATGTTTAAGTAAAAATGTCTTCTCTTGTGCTTTTCTTATGTCTTCCTCTAAGAATTTCGAGTCCGATTTCTGACATAAATGATCAACAACCGCAGCAGCCTAGATAATTAATATAATTGTTAAAGATGCTTTTAAAGTATTTTTTAAAAATGACTTACTTTATCGTGAGTTGTATTGGGTGTCCGATGCATTAATGCAAATTGCATGTAACAATGCGGCGTGCAGAAGTATAACTCATCACCATCCGTCTCTTCTTTACTAAGAAATGGTAGTTCCGAAACTTTCTTTCGTATTAGGCTATTAAGTATCACAACATCACAGTGACGACAAAATTTAGCTGCTCCATTCAATATACTCTGAATATCAATCGGTGCTAAAAAATGATTGCAAATCAGAGTTTGAGCTACTGAAAGAGCTCTTGTCAAATGATTGTAGCAATAACTTACCTCCATCCTTTCCTTTAATTCTAAATAGTCCTAGCTTTTGACTTGGCGGAGTCGTTGTCCGCTCAATTATTTGGTAACCATTCGGAGGAGCAATATTCAAGATATTCGCTAAATCTTTAAGTACACCCATTATATCATCCGCAGCTTGACTGTTGAGAGTTAACGTAACAGTGACATTTCCATTTTCGATTGTATTAGACAGCGACTTGTTTAACCTACAGAAAAAAATTGATGCCATTGAGCAATCGTGAGCGCTTATACGACAAATTCTGATTTTACGTGATCGAATAAAGTACCTTGTAATTCCAACGTTCTCTTTGTCTTGCTTCGCGGCATCTTTGATATTTCCTGGTTTCAAACGAATTGGAATAGGAGATATGATAGGTATAACTGGTGATATTCTCTTTAGCCATTCGGTTTCTTCATCAGACTCATCATCAATTAGTTTAAGTCCAGGATATCGATGCATGTATTCAGGAATAACACATTCTGGTGAGGACGAGCTCACTATTGTATCAGGTGTATCAACATCTCGTGCCATAAGATTTTCCTTTTTATCATCAGCTGTAAATGAGCGCAAGTGGAAATTAGTTATTTATTTAATGAATAACGCGATCGCGGGAAGTTACTCACTGTCATCAAACTTGAGCGGTGGAAACTCCTGATCGTAGAAGCTTCTTTGAGTTGAAACTGGTGGAAGTGGTAGTAAGGGTTCTAACTCACCGAAAGGCTGTGTATTGTAATGATCGGAAATTCCGGGAAGTCGAGCACGTCCGTATGAGCCAATGAGTTCTCCAGTTCTAGAATTGTATTCGACTGGGCCGCCAAATTTTGATAAATCACCCGAGCCGAAAATCGGACAGACACCATAATTTTTTCCTAAAAGTGGCTCCAAAACCGCCATAGGTTGAAGTTGCCGTAATTGCACCATAAGATTGTCAACAAACGTATCGTAATCCTCATCCAAGCGAGACACCTTCCTCGGCCGCTTTTTCTGAGACGCCATCGATGCATCTTTACCTTGACTTTGCCGTCGCTTTTGTTGATATTGGCGTCTTTTCAATTTTTTGAGATCTACTGAAACGGATATAATTATAGATTTCCAATATGAATTGTAGGTATATTATGAAGTGTTAAATTGTCATGAAAGAACAGATACAATTCGTGTAATGAATACAAACAAGGATTTTGAAATAGAGATCGAATAATTAGGATAATCCAATTGAATAAACACAAGTAATATAAGATTACGGGCGATCGATTAGCGGTGATAAATAACTAAAAGCAATGCACTACATACCAGTTTTATCGTCGATGGAGCCGTCCATCAGTTCTTCTTTGGCAGATAAAAAGTCTTTGGTATCGGTTAGCTGTGCGGGGGTCCCGCTGGAGAGGATATCGTCATTAACTTCCTTCTTAACTTCGCTTAAAGGCACTGTGTGTTGCGCAATTGTACCCTGTGGCAGCTGTACTTGACGACCCACTGTCGGAGCCATCGTTTGAGGCACTGCTGGTTGCACTGTGTTAATCTGTTGAGGCGACTTGGTCTGTTCATTGGCGACTGGAGCAACGACGTTTGTGATTGTATTGGGAAGCCTCTGAACGGCGGGAGAAACAGATTTGGGATGAGTTATGGTCAAATTGTTGCTCTGCAACGGACTCGTACTCGGAGTTGTCTCTTTTGATTCAGCAGAAACCGTAACTTTTGCCGTAACTCCCGTAATTTGTAGTTGTTGTGGCTGCAGTTGATCAACTTGTGTAGGCACTCGCATGACTTGTGGTGGTGTCGGTACATGCGGTTGCTGCTGTTGCTGTTGTTGTTGCTGCTGCTGTTGCTGCTGTTGTTGCTGCTGTTGTTGCTGCTGTTGTTGCTGCTGCTGCTGTTGTTGCTGCTGTTGTTGCTGCTGTTGTTGCTGCTGCTGCTGTTGCTGCTGTTGTTGCTGCTGTTGCTGCTGCTGTTGCTTCTGCTGCTGCTGCAGTAGCTGCTGCTGTTGTTGTTGCTGTTGATGCTGTTGCTGTTGCTGTTGCTGCTGCTGCAGTGGTAATGGTGATAAAGTTTGCTGTGGTTGTTTCTGAACTTGAACAGTACCGCTAACAACTGTATCAACGCTTGATTTGAGTGAACTTTGTAGCAAGTTTGTTTCTAATTGCGACATCGTCGACTTATCCGTAAGTGTGAGGGTGGATTTTGCTAACAAAATGGTTTGCTTTGGCAAAACAGTACTGGTAGTTTGCTGAGTGATTTGAGGTAGAACTGGCGAAGCTCTGAGTTGCTTTTCTGTCATTTCGGTAGCTGTTTTAGAAAGAGTTGTAGGCAAAGGCGAGTTGATAGCCGGAGTTAGTTTGGTGGATTCATCTTTGACGGGAAAACTTTGCGGCTTGACAACTTGAGATAAAAATGACGTTTCTCGAGTTAACACTTGTTTTGTACTTGCTGGCTTAGTTACTGGAATTTCGTCCAACAGCGGAGGTATTAGCGACGATGGAGTCGGAGGTACGGGTTTTGCTAGTTGAGCTTCTAACGAGGGCACATTAGGAAAACTAGCGGTTTGCGTTGAAGAACTCGACCCAGAGGTAGTTGTAGAGGCTGTATTTTGTAGTAATTGTTTTAGTAAAACGTTTTGAGAATCTTCCATCCTATGCGAACCAGAAATTTTTGTATTTTCTGATTCCGATTTGATTGCGGACGTTTTTTCGCTTGAAGTAACTTTTTGTAGCACTCCCTCCACATCTTTCTTAGCTTGAGAACCTTTGTTCATTGCTGCTGAAAAAATAATTAGTATGCAAATATTAATATAAATATTAAACGAAAAAATGAAAATCGTACATTGAAAATTCAAAGCAAGACTTTGTAAATTAGAATGACTTAATTAATGTTTGAAAACAGGAGTGAAATTACCCGGCGAATCCGCATCCGCACCTTTATTATCTATGGGCAAGGTCCCGGGAGACTTGTATTGCGAGGGCCCAGCCGTGAGTTGCGTGTGAAGAAGAGTCGACGCTTGAGACAGTGTAGACTGAAGAATACTGGTGTTGCTGAGACTGATCGCATTGGACAGAGCCGTCGGAATAGCGAGAGTTTTACTCGCGGTATTGCTGCTACTGCTGGCGGTGGCGCTAGCGGCGACAGAAGGAACCTTGCTTGTGGCACCGCTATTACTGCTAGTGGCGGGAACGCTACCAATCTGCGTGACAGCAACAAGGCTGCTTTGCTGAGCCGAACTGACGTTGACTAGCGAGCGAGACACAGGTGTGGTAGAAGCCACACTAGCATGTACAACGGTTTGGATGCTGCTATTGCTGGAAGTCCTTTGCACGGCAGCCTGTGCTATCACGGAGTTCAATAAACTACTGCTCGAGGTGAGTATTGTATTGGATCGTAGATTGCTACCAGCCACTGACGATTTAATGGAGGTAGTACTTGAAAGCATCGCATTGAGCATTGCGTTTGACGAAATTGAGACTCCGCTGGAGTTAGCAGGTCGACTCGAAACTATGTTGGTTAAAGGTTTAGGTAGACTAGGTGTCGATGTTGGTACTGGCGCGACGTTCGTGGCATTGATCGTCTCTTTGCTACTGCCTACCTCGCTGCTAGCAACCACTGCTTTGCTCGCGTTTGCTGACGCACTGCTAATACTCGTTAGCAATCGCGAAGCTAAAGCTGTTGTTGCCGCTGTTGCGCTTGCCGTTCCTAGCGCGGATGTCGCGATATGCGACTGAACGTTTTCGGTGTAACTCTGGGACGCGTGTACAGACGACAACAAATTCCTCAGCTGATCGCTTGCATTTTCGGTGTTAGATTTTATTTCCGTTGGCTGAGACAAAGGCGAGAGATGGGGCACTGTAGTAATGGTATTCGCGGGTTGAGTCATCGGAGGAGGTGAACTCTTGGTAGCTGTGACATTGATTGGTTGAGTGATCGCAGCGTTTGCTCCGGATAGCGTGTCTTTCTTTTCGATAGGTAAAATTTTTTCAACGCTCGCAATTGAGATCGGTTCTTGTTCCAAATCTGCTATAGAGTCTTGCAAAATATTTAGCGGTAAAGCTTCCAGTGGCGCTTCCAGCTGATACATAAGACTCGATTTTTCCGATTTATCATCTTGCATTTCTGGCTTAGACGAAATTATATTGTGCAGCATATCGAGAATATCCTCGGAAGACTCTTCCATCACACTTTTTACTTCTTTTAGAGAAGCATCTGATGAGCTGCTTTGAGTCGTAGCTAATGATTGAATTCGAATTTTGTCAGTGGGTTTGCCCGCTGTTGTTACTTTTCGCTCATCTTTAATCTTGTCGATACTATCGGAATTTGACGCTTGAATTTTACTGGGTTCCTTCGCTTCAATGTCGTTTTCTAATATATTAACAAGAGAAAGATGATCGGTAACTGGTGATGATCTTTTCAAAGTTTTCACGTCCTTATTACATTTAGATTTGTTGGATTTTTTTTCGCCATTAACGGTACTCTCGGCAGGATTGTGTATAGCTTCTAGCATACTTTCCAATTCATCGGTAGTATTTGCCATTTCCGCCTTGTTCGTGTTATTGATTTTCTGTGATGTAGAAGCGATACTGCTGGCTTCTTCAGCTAATTTTTTATCTTCCTTCAGCGTAACTGATACTTTTACGTCTTTTTTCATTTCACTAGAAATAATGAAGTTCCGATGAGATGTTGATTTTTTATTTGTATTTTCTTGTTTCGTTAATTCAGCTTTATTAACAGATTTGACTTGATTAGACTGATTGGCAATTTTCAAACTTGTAGTCAGCAGTCTGTCAGTAGATTTTGCCGAGGCTTTTTGTTGAAGAACTTGACTGGCTGGTACAGTGCTGAGGATAGTTAGTTTTTCAGGTACAGTCAGAACTGTTTGACCAACAGTTCCAGTTTTCTCACGTAAATTTCCCGACGATTGGCCCGTGTTCGACTGCATACTTTTTATAACAATTTCTTGAGATTTTGAAAGTTTGCCAATTTGAACGGCAGTTGCTGGGATAATTTTTGTAGTGCTTTGATTGAGTTTCGTAAGAATTTTAGCATCAGTGACGTTGCTGGAAAGCGTAATTGGCGCATTTATTTGTTTCTGACTCAAAGCTGTTGTATTAGTAAGCAATCCTTTTATAGTAGACGATACTGTGTTGACCTTAGTTAGAGGTTTTATTGTTGCAGCAACATTGACATCGCTGGTAGGAATCGACTTGGAATAACTTGTAGCGATTGGTTTAGCGACATTTGTTACGACAAGATTGGTTGGAGAGATTTGTTGAATCTTTTCCGCGAATGTAAAAGATGTAAAACTTTTCTTTTCCTTCGTGCCTTCGGTTATTTTCATTTCTTCGGAGTGAGACAGCGCACTTTTGATAGCTACTGAAGATTCAAGGGTGGAAGTCGTCAATTCTACGTCTTTTAATTTCACAGCATCTTGAGAGTTGGTTTCCGAGCCTTCTTCGTCACAAGTTGATTTAGTTGGAGAATTATCGTTAGTTGGCGTGGACTCGACAATGACAATGTCTGATTCAGTAAGAGTTACAAGGAGATCTTGATCGGGCGATTGTTCAATATACATTCCTGGTGACGGATCAACGGTAAGGTCGTCTTCGTCTGGCGATTCGGGTGTTTCCGTGAGAGTGACCAATCTTTTACCGACGGGCATTGCCCGAACAATATCGAGATGTAATCCCTTTTTGTTCCTGGAAGACTGAGAGGATAATAGCTCCTCGCTAAAGGAGGAATCGTCGTTGGGGGTTTCCGTATGCTCGATTTCCAGAATTTGAACAAAGTCATGATCCTCGTTGCTCGTGGTGACTAAAGCATTGCCGAGTGAATCATTGCTGTCGACGGACAACAAATCTGACTCGAAGAGAACGTACTGCTCTTGGTCAACTGCCTCCAGAGTGCCGGATATAATATCCAAATCCGAGTCGCCGAACTGTTCGATGACGGGGATGTCATCGTTATCCTTCTGTGCGGTGGAGCTCAACGTGACCTCGGCATTGATGATGGTTTTGTCGTCGTCGTAATCAACCGTATCCGGTAGCGACTCGCCCTTATCGCTAGGACTATCTAGTGCCATTGCACTGTTTGCTATGGAAGAAGTGGCTGCTTTGGAATCGGCAGTGGTTGGAGGCGTTTGCGGGGGCGTGTGGGAATCATCATCGAAGTCATTATAGTCCGCGCATACTAGCGAATTGACCTTAGACTGCGGAATGCCGGTTTTTCGATGGACCACTGACGAGGTATTGGGCTTATCGTCCGCGCCGGTCAACTGCGACTCGGCGGTCTTGCCTTTGCTCGTCTCAGCTTTAGACGACCACATCGGCGAACCGCCTCGAAGACCCAGCTTGAAGTATCCATACCTGCCAAACAGAACGGGCAGTGGTATGGGGTTGTGCGGATTGCTGCCGCCACCGCCGCCGCCTCTGCTGTTCAGATCCATCGATAAGCCAGCATCTTGGTGAGCCTGCTGCATCTGCTGTAAAGCCTGTGAATTCTGTTGTTGCAGATGCTGCTGATCGCTCATAGAATGGTTGCTCGAGTTTTGCGAGCTGTAGGCGGAATGCGGCGTAAGCGGAGTATGTGGAGTCCTTGGGGTGCCGGGATTCTCCACGCTCTGCGGCCGATCAGGCATGGCCGGACTGTTGCCGCTGGACTGTCTGCGCTGCATCTGCATCGGTGAGCCGCCCACCATGGGGCTTCGCGGCATCGATGAGTTAGGCGTCTGGCAACTCGGAGGGTGATGAGCGCCGCCGGTCATTTGGTGCAGCATCGGTGATGTCGACGGATGGTTCCTCGACAGTGGACTGGGAGGCTGATATTGGGAGACCATGGGCGAGTTGGGTGGATGGTTTTGCACTCGAGTACCCATCGGACTCGACGGCTGCGACGACTGACTGAGTTGTTGTTGTAGCATGGGCGAACCCATAGTCTGCTGAACCATTGGGTGCGGCGAACTCGGTGGCTGGTTGTAATTCTGTTGCAGCTGTTGATGCAACTGTGGGCTGGGAGACGAAGCCGGATGTGATAGCATAGGACTCGTTGGTGGCTTTTGCATCATCTGCTGCTGCACCTGTTGTTGTTGATGCTGTTGTTGATGTTGCTGTTGCTGTTGATGTTGCTGTTGTTGAAGCTGCTGTTGTTGAAGCTGCTGTTGCTGGTGCAACGCTTGCTGCCGTTGGATCATTTGTATGTTGCGTTGAGTGATCATGCTTTGATTGTCTTGGGAAATTTGGACATTGATATCGTGCTGTTGCTGAATCATCTGCTGGCGCTGTAGCATCTGTTGATGCTGCTGTTGAGTTAGCATTGGCGGCTGAGTTGGTTGAGAACTGTCCAACGGCGCACGCTGACCGTAAATCATCTGGCCTTGAATGGGCATCCTGGGGCGAGGGCCGGCATCGATAGAGCCAGGGCGTACGAAGCGTTGACTCGACACGGAGTGCATTTGCTGCGGAGTTCGCATCTGCTGGCCGTCGGGAGCGAAGGCACCGGGACTGGTGGTCAGTCGGCCGTTACCAATGGCGCGGTGCTGAGGTGAGGCCATCCTTTGTACCGCGGGACCGGCGATCCCCGGCGAAGGCATCGTGCCAGGACTGAAAGGGCTCTCCTCGGGCTGAGAGTGAGGGGTGCCGATGCGCGGAGAAGCCTGCATGCTACTGTGCGGCGACATAGTGCCCGGATTCGAATGGGGATTGCCAGGACTATGTTGTACCATGGACGCAGCGGGGGAGTGTTGAAGCATGTTGGACGGCACGCTGCCTGGACCGGGACTTTGTGACATTAGCCCAGCTGGACTGTGCATTGGTGATGAATGTTGAGAGGGCGACATCATCGGGGAACAGGATTCAGCGTTCTGCGGTTGTGCCGACTTTTGCTGTTGCTTATTCCGATAATCTTGAATGAGGTTAGTATGCTGCCGTGTTTGCTTACGTATCTGATCGAAATGTTTCTGGAATATTGCTAATTCGCTAACGATTCTTTGAAGTTCAGCCGCGTCGCTCTCACCTAATTCATTACCAGACTTTTTGCACTGTCTCTGTTTACTTCCAAGGGACTGTTGACAGAACAAAAACAAATACCAAACCATAATGATGTACTCGAATTATTGACATTAATATATGTAAATTATCATAAGAAGCTAAATAAAATTGAAATAAAAACATTTACTAATCAAGACACTATTGCAAGCGCACACAAAAACCATGACTCACTTTTCTAACCTTCCGAAGTTTTTGAACCTCCGTTTCATAATACTTTAATTGCTGATTTAAAATCTGATTTTGATGGTTCAGCCACTGTTCGTACTGGACCTGCATTTGTCGATCTTGTTCAGTGACAATATTGTCAGGAGGTACTGGAGGGGCTTGCACTTGAGGTATATTAAATGCAGGCACTCTCGCTGAAATAAAGTTAACAAAGTAAATAATAAATATGTTGATGAAAATAAAAAAATTCATATAATTAAAATTCTGGATATTAAATGAAAGACATAAACAAATCGAAAAGAAATGAAACCAACGTTCAGTAGCGGTCGGGGTATTGACGGGTTGCCTCTGAGTTTGAACGACGACTTTACCAGGATCAGTGGTGGTCGGTTGCTGCCAATTTGACGCGGTCGCAACTGTTGGTCTTGTCACTGGATTGGTCGTAGCTTGCACCACAGCTATACTTTGTGGAGGCGACGTAAGAGATCCCGAGGCCAAAACGTCGGCCCGCAGTCGCTCGAACTCGATGTCACTGAGCAGAGTGCCAGTTGGCGCCGTCGTATCGGCTTGCTGCTGCTGTTGTTGATGGTGGTGCTGTTGCTGCTTTTCTTGCTCGCGTTTCTCCTGCTCCAAGAGCTCCTCCAAGAGCAACGGCTGTTCCTGTGAGAATGACTGCTTTTTGTCAAATTCAGATTTTCAATCATGAAACAAGCCAGAAAAACATTTAAGCATCTTGCACGAATAATTATACAACGAGAGAGAAGAATCGAGCGTCGTCTCCCGAAGCAGCAAGGTTCGATTCTTCTCGCACATTCCCAGCTGAGTTGCAGTGATTTTTATCGACATCGTATAAATTTTGTATATTATTTAACACTCTGAAATTATGAATGCAACTATAGCTCTACCGAGAATGAAATAACATCTTTTGTAGCGAGACGACTTTTACTCATACAAAGAAATTCAACCGTTAAAACCATGCAGTGTTCAAGAGTATCCTATTAATGTAAACGAATTGAAAATAGCTTATTTAGTAAAGATGAAAATGTGATTTTAGTACTGAAAAGCTTGATCGATTAAATTCATCCATTGCGTTTATAAAGGACTGAATGTCGGAAAAAATAATTTAAGACTACTCGAAATGTGATACCCCAGAGTTTGCTCACCTGCAGAAGCAAGGGTCTTCGATGGGGGTGGGGTGTCATAGATGACGCACCAGAAGGTACCGTTGGGGTCATCGACGGAGCCGCCACCGGAGCGGCATGCGCCATATGCGTGGGGGGTCGCGGCAAACCCCGATCACCCTGACATAGTCCCATCTAAACATGCACCAACACCAACGCATTGCAAAAAAAAACACCCAAACCGAAACACCACTTTACACTCAATACTCTATCTTATCGCGCATATTAATCTTTTATCCGTTTGTTTACTTTTCAGGAACTCATATTTTGTTTCACCTAATGTACTCTGTCAATATATCAGTCCTTAGAATTTCGGTGCTAAAAGAGCTATTTTGAATATTTTAGTTAAACCGTACTTGAATGATGCAATGAAACATTAGAGTAATGAATTTTGCCAATAGAAACACAAGAAACATTGTAAGCATTAATTATAGTCTTATCGCCAAGTCACAAAAAACTTGATAACAAAAATGTTAATATAATTATAGTACAGCAATTGAAGAATTATGAAAAGCAAACAGAACGTACTTGTACAGGTCCTGGATAAGGCGGTGGCGGTCCAGGGTATGGAGGTGGAGGCGGCGGTAGCGCCAAAGGCATTCTAGCCCCAATCATTGAACTAACTGATACGACTCGACCCGCGACATTTGGAATGCCGGTAACTCTCATTCCCAGTCGCTGCTGTTGCTGCTGCTGTTGCTGTTGTTGTTGCTGCTGCTGCTGCTGCTGCTGCTGTTGTTGTTGTTGTTGTTGTTGTTGTTGCTGCTGCTGTTGTTGCTGTTGAGCTAAACAAAAAAAGAATTTCCAAATTCGTCGTTTATGTTAAATCTCTTGACAGTACAATTGTATGTTACCTTGTATATGTTGCTGTGGAATACGTTGTGGATGGTTGGGGAAAGTGGAAGGATAGCTAACGGTGACCGAATTGGTTGAAGTAACAACACCGATGGTTCCATCATCAGATAATAACCTTGTTCCCGGCAATATGGGTCTTCCCATAGCTACCGCTTGCTGCACATGCTGATGCATTTGTTGCTGCATTGCAATAGCCTGCGGATGAGCTTGAGACATCATTTGCGATTGAGTCACTTGAGCACCTTGATTAATTGGTGCTAATGATTGAACTTGGGTCAGGACGTTTGAATTTCCAGTAGATGCTTGCATTGTACTTGTAGTTGTTTCAGCGCTATCGACAACGCCCGCGGTTTTATCATCCTTTACATCTTTTTTATGTTTCTCATCCTTTGTTTCAACTTCATCTTGTTCAAGATCCAAATCTAATATATTGGTTTTTTCGCCACCAGTCAACTGGTCTAATTCAGGATCAGCGTACTCGAGAATATTGAAGTCAGCTCCCATTTCAGCTATTGAACATGAAATAGAAACCAAATAAAATTCTGCAATTTCTATATTGAGATATGATTACTACAAGATGTTACCTAAAAGCTCGTCGTCGTCGTCTCCTAAGTCATCTCCTAATATTGCACTAACATTTTCAACTTCGACCATGGGCGCTCCCTCTTGTTCAAGTTTCTCAAGTTCAGCTGTCACGTTATCCGGAATTTCCGAAGTTTCAGACATGGTAACGTTCGCTTCAGTGACTGTGGGTAAAATCGGTGGTCGCACCATACCTGCTGTATTTATTAAACGAACTCCCTGATTCATTGCATTTTGACCGGGTCTTATAAGTCGTTGACCTAAATTTTGTGCTTGGTTTGCTTCGGCTGATAAATATTTTAATTAGAAATAGCGTTGTTTGATGGTGTGACATAGTGTGTAAAAATATCGATTGCTTACCGACAAAACGTTGCTGAACAAGTTCAAAGCTCTCTTGTCCCGGTATAGGAGGTCTTGGTCCTGTCATACGTTGCTGCATAATTTGACTATTCTGGAAGTGCTGCACAATGCTAGCTGGCACCGGTGGCCTTTGCAAAATCATTCTTGTTCTCGGATCTAATCCTTGTAATCTCGCAGTGTCGATAGCTGTCACACCTGGTTGTCGTGGAGTGGCAATATGACCTGACGTAATTAATATGACACTATTATTAAAAAAACTACCGCTAGTGGAATGTTTGACATGTACTGAAACCGAAGTGCACTCACCCATAGGACTTCGTATCAGCATATTTGGTTGCATGGGCATTCGTGGCCTAGCAGCTCCTGGAGGAAGAGGCTGCCTAAAAGTACCTTCGGCCGTAACGTTGACTGTGTTTTGCGGATGTTGCTGCAGTTGCACATTGCCGGCGTCGAACTGCTGCTGAGGCGACTCACCGGCATTTTGGCCATCTAAATAGAAAAAAAAACAATAGCACGTCAAATGAAACTGTTAAAGAAAAATATGAGTTATGGTCAGGCGAACCTTGAGTCCAAGCTTGGTTAACGGGTTTCATGTCTTTGTTAAACTGCTGTTGACGTTGCAACAAATCCCTGAGCTGTTGGTTAACTTCGGGCTGCTGGTTGAAAAGCTCGCTCTGTTGAGCTTCCACGCGCTGTTCCGACCTCGGCGAGAGGTAGTTCTGCACCGGGCTACCGATAATAGGCGATGGCGGGGGCGGCGGCTGAATCGCCGGAGGCGGTTGTTTTTGATGCGAGTGCTGTTGCGTCGATACGTGCGAAGGAGCGTATACGTGAGCCACTGGTCGCCCAGCAGAGGCTGCCCCGTAGCTGGGCCTCGGCGTGCCGGGTGGTTGTGCAAAGACTTCACCGCGTGGAGAGCTCGCATATGACGTAGTAGACCGGGACTGAGCGGGGGAGGTTTGACTGAAACCATCGGTGCCATCGAAACGTTGAAAGTGCTCGGTCGCTTGTGTCTGCGGTTGCGCGGCAGCCGGGGACTGTGGAAAATCGTGAGGAGATTGAGGAGCCTGCGGAGAGAAGGGAGATGGTGGCTGCTGCTGTTGGTTGAAGTTGACTGGCATCCCAGGTCTGATGCCGGGCATTGGTCGACCAACTTGCACCACCTGCTGCTGAGGCTGCTGCTGCTGTTGCTGCTGTTGCTGCCCAGACAGTCGTACAGGCATACCTGGATGCGGACTCGGCGGAGCGACTCCTCGGCTCATTTTCATCGACGGCGCGGCGAATTGACCGCGAGGGCCCAGCTGCTGCTGTTGAGGCAGCATCGGCCCCATTTGATTACCGTCCTGCGTAAAAAGGACATTAATATTTCGTTTAATAAGGACATTAATATTATAACTGAGAATAAAATGCAATTGCTCATCTTAGTACCTGAGTTATTAAGGACGAGTTCATGCTCGTTTGATTTTCGTTGCTCAACATGGGAGTGCTGTCATCACTGAGTTGTCGATGTACCCTCGCAATAGCTGCAACGATGCGACATTGCAAATCCAAGTTTCCATCTTTACATGATTCGATATTTATACAATTGTTTCTGCGAAAATTACCATTGTTGAACGTACCATGCGCCCGTTGATCATGAATTACTTGCTGTTGCATTTGCGCCTGTTGCTGTCGTATAGCTTGCAATTGCTTCCATTGACGCTCCTGTTCTGCCTCTCTATTCGATCGATCTCTATTCGCGAGTTTATCTTGTTCCTGTCGAAATTCATTCAGTTATATTATAACTCTTAATTTCACAAATACACTGCATTTCCAGCACCGACATTTCAACAACACATTTTCAGTAATGTCGTTAGCACAATTTTGCGTGAAAATAAAGTGTCGCAACCAAAAAAAACTTTTGAAAATCAGCCAATTACACATAAATTCGCAACGATTACAGAAGACAGCAGTTAACGCATTGCTAAATAAAACCAAATAAAATATTATTTAGTGCATTACAAAATATGAGTTTGATGACCAGCCACCATCCAAAACAGAAACTCAATAGTTTCAATATGTACGCCTGTCATAAAAGCTTAAAGAATAGTTATTCATGCAAACATCATTTAATACAGAATTTTTACTCTTTATAGTAACTAAATTAGTTTTGTTATTGCACATTTGTTACTTGGTCTAGTGTAGTGATATACATTGTTTAAAAGTAGTAGATCTTCATTTCAAATGTTAGTTTGTGAATCAATAGTTTTCAGATCAAACTGTAATTTAATCATTATCATATTGTTTTTGTGGTGCTTATAAATACGCCATTCAATTAAAGATAATAGATACTTTGGTAGATGTGTAAATTTGACCAGAATAGATAATACAGAATTAGAAGTTGAAATAAAATCTACACACACGCACACCATTTACGCTTTTATTACGAGAAGCAGCAAATATATTCGCAACCAATCAATACTACAATTAAAATCAGAATAACCATATCCACCAACAAAAGAAAAAAAATAAGAGAAGGACTAGTAGTTTGACAAGAAGGACATGGAGGATTTATGAAAACGTTTGGATGTGATGTAGTTTGATGAATGATCGATGAATTTTATGAAATGCGTTGATATGCTTGGACTACTCATGCCACAAGGTACGCGATAAGGTAGGAATTCGTGGGTGACTAAACTTGGGACAAATAAAAATACTATTACGAATCAGTTGGCAGTCGCAGGAGACACAACGAAGGATTTTCTAAAATCAAATAATAGACTATTACAATCATTCCAAATAAAAAATGTTTCAATCAACAAGTACACGTTTATTTGTGTGTAAAATTAAATGTTTTTGAAAATGTGATAAATGTTTTTGAAAATGTTTGAAAATGTGGAAAAATCCGAGTTAGCTATTAGCTCGATTGGAGTGAAAAAATGAAATGTTTAAACAAATAAAATAAAACTAATTCTTAACTTCTCTCTATCAGCTAGCGTATATCGAGTTTGAACTCCTCACAAAAACTTGTTGGCCATGCTAGTACTGCTTAATGCAGAACTGTTGCTGTTATGAACAAGGAAAGCAATCGAACAGAATAGTGCTCGGAATGATCGGTAAGAAACTTCGTTCAAATCAAAGAATTGGACAAAATACACGAGTAAAAAGTGAAGGTAAATCTCGAGAAGCTCGAACGCGGCGTCAAATGAAATCGATTGAAAGGAAAAACAAAAGTAGATACCAAAAGAAGATAATCGTGGTCGAGAAAAGTAACGGGAAAGAAGACGACGATGTAAAAAACATAATAGTGTATAGGTATATAAAAACGATAAACAGTAAGGCAATACATTAGACGTAGAAGCAATAATATAGTCGAGTCAAAACAGTAGACTGAAAGACAAGACAAGACAAGGCAAGGCAAGGCACGGCAAGGCACAGTGAAGGTGGCTCACCATAACCGGGGGCTGTACAGGTACAGTGTGAATAATTGCGGTGGGTGGCGGGTCGTAGTGCTCCTGGCAGAGGGAGGGGAGGGTGCGCATTATCTCAGACGGAGTGAGCACTCTAATCTGATGGTCTACCGAGGAGAATTGGCGCGTAGGAGCAGCAGCGGTCGCCGTCGCCGAGACCGCCTGCGCCTGCTGCTGCTGGCTGGCACTCGATGCTTGCGGCGTTGCCACCGCTGCCAGGGGACTACGCTGAGGTGGTACGGGTTGGGCTGGTGGTGGCGGTGGAGGTGGCGGGAGAGGCGGCGGAAGTGACTGAGGCGATGCTCTTTGTGATTGCGATTGCGACTGTGGATGCGACTGCGAATGCGAGAGTGAGTGTGACTGCGGCTGAGAGAGCGTGGGAGCTGGTGGTGGAGTCGGACCGCCGGGGCCCAGTGACGCCTCGCCGCAGGACGAGGTGGAGCAGTTGGACGACGACGAGGAGGAAGAAGAAGAAGAGCAAGTCGAAGAGACAGAAGAAGATGACGATGAGGCGCTTGCCGGCTCACTCGATCGGCCGCCGGCCACGAGGGGGCTGCTGATGAGGTGAGGGGCAAAGGAGGACGGGGGTCTGGGCGAGCAAGAGGGTGGTGTGGAGTTTGGGGAAGAACTTGGAGAGCGAGATGCTGTTAGCCGGCGCTGCTGCGTCAATCCTCCCTGCACCGCACACACCTCCGCTATCTGGGGCGCTCCGGCTGCAATCAACTGCGAGGCCTGAGCTGCTTGAGCCGCCGCCTGGGCCACCGCCGTGGCCACAACTGCCGCGGTCGTGCTGCTGATCGGGTCCGCCTGCGCCGCTGTCTGTGACTTCTGCTCCTTACCCGCCGCCGACGGATCGCTGAGCGAGCTCAGCAGGCCGGCTTCAGGCTTCTGGCTTGTCGCCATCACCACCACCGGAGGCACTGCGCTCTGCCCTGCTACTTTCTGAGGGATCGCACCGACCGTCCCCGTGCTCGTCCCAGCCGTCGCTGGCTTTGTGCTCGGCGACGACTCCTTCGGTATCTGTGAGGGTCAACGGCCACCAATTTCTTCACACATCTTTTCTTTTTTTTCTTTTCTTTCGTTCTTTTTTTTCTTTTGAACCAAATCGGCTTACGCTTACTCGTTTTCTTCTCGATTCACTAACCAGATTTTAATTAACAATGTCCTATATATAGATTCAAGTTGCTCGCTCGTTCAATTATCGACTGATATTTGAGCTTGAACACTGTTCGGACACTCGTTTAAGGAACTTGAAAACATTGATAGGCTCTTGAGTTAGTCGTGTTAGATACAAACAATTCACGCCGAACAAAGTGGGAAAGGTCAACATGTAAGTATTAGGACAAATTTAAGTCAGCACAGTGGGAACGCTCATTCAAATTGTCAACGTTATCGACATAAGATCACCAGCCTTTTATGAAATTCAATTTAACTATAATCTGCATATCCCTGACAGTTTATTAGTTTGACTTGTTTGTTAAACGCATTGGGTACGAGTGCATCTCACCAAAGAGACAACATCAGTTTACGAATGAAATAAGCAAGTGATTACCTGTTGAGCTTTCTTCATGCGAGCTGCTGCTCTATTTTCTCGAGCTTGGCTTACGTAAGGCGCTTTCTTTTCCGGCGGCAAAGCTCGCCATTTTTTCACTATTTGTTTATGACGTTCCGACCAGACTATAAACAGTAAACATTGTTATTATAAATGCTGCATTTAGCAATGAATAAATCGTAACAAATGCCCATACTAACCTGGATATTCAGACTTCCACTCTGGATGATTCATGTTGGCATACAACACTGAGGCTGTCGTAGCCCCGTTGCCCAAGGTCTCATCAGCTTCCAGTTTTAAACTATTTCTTTGGTTATAGGTGATAGCAGCTGTAACGCCTGTAGGAATGACGGTCTCGTCCTCTGGGTTCACCCATGGGCTAGGTGGTTCAGAAAACGCAGGACTGAACGTAGGACTGCTGTAATGATGCATTGAAAATAAAATACATTAATTGCAACTAGAATGACATATTTGGTTAATATCGTTGAACATACTTGCTGTACTCGGAATGGTAAGGCGAAGGTGGTGGGAAACTCATGGGCGAATTGAGAGTAGACTGGCCAGTAGCGGGCATGGAGACGGGCATTGGTGGTCTATTCATCGGCGCGCTAGCTGGTTGTAGGTTAGCAGGATGAGGTGAAGCAGAAATCAAAGGAGTAGTGGAAGACTGGGTTTGTGGTGCTTGAGTTGGTACAGGATATCCGCAAGATTCCCGCGATTCTTGAGATTCGTCCGTGAGAACTCCTTTGAATATTTCTTCCACATCGTGACTAGCCATATTAGGTAGCCCTGAAAGAACATTCCAAATTAAAAGATGCACATGACAGGGATGGAGAAAGATTACTTAGTTTGTTCATTTATTGCATACCGGTATCGCGAACCATGGAATCTAAAATGGAATGAGGGCTTAAGATGTCGGGCAGCTCGTCTTTGGTGGACTCGGGGGCTTGCTCGAGCTCGTCCCAGGCGGTAGCCTTGGCTAGATCATCATCGATATTGACGAGATCGCTGTCGAGAAGATCGCCGGAGATGGGCAAGATATCATCCAGAGCCTCCTGATCGCTGACCTCCTCCTTGACGGCCTCCTCGCGCTTGATGGGCACCGTCGGTCGGCTGGTGGCCTGACCTGGGCCGGCACTCGAACTTCGCTGCTGCTCATCACGGTCCTGCTTGGAAGCCTTAAGCTGCTCCATTGCCTGCAGCTCATCCCGAGATAACTGTATCGTGTCGGTGTTGCCGCCGGTCGAGTTGGCGCGTTCGTTATCCGAGTCGCCACTACTACTTTCCAGCTCCTTGTCTTTGGTAGTGTCCATGAGGTTCCTGCCGAAGAATGCCTCCTGCATATACACAGGAAAGCACTCGGCCAACTTAGTCTTTGGTTTCCTGCGCTGGGGCTTTCTGCGCGGCTTGTCATCGGCACCGGAGCCAAGCAAGTTCTCGCCCGCCACCGGCGTGGATGGTGGCGGCTGCTCGGCCTCATCATCCTTGTCTTTACGAGTGCCCCGCAGACGGACAATGAAACCACCAATGCCAAGCTTCTGCAAATTTCGCTGACGCTTGCGCCTCAGCACGGTAATACCGTTCTCAGCGGTGAAGAGGCTGAAGCCCTCGGGGGGCGGCTGATCGCCACGAGCCGTCCAGACCATGCCCTCCTTGTATACCTGACTCGGCTCGTCCTTGACCTCCATCGGATCCAACAACTTACCGCTACCGTCGTCGAGCGAGTTATCCAGGCTACCACCGGCCACCACCGACTCGATTGTCGCCATTATGTCGGCATCCTTGTCCAACGGGGCATTAGGCGGTGGGATCACGGCCGGCACTGGAGCGTTCGGACCGTTGAGCTTCCGCCTTTTCTTCTTGGCCATCTGGTGCTCGGCCATCAGTGCTTTGATGTGATGCATGCCGCTTTCCGACAGCACCACTCCCTCGACTAGGTACTGTTGATGATTATTGATAGGTCTCTCGATATCAGGACTGCGCATCGTTGGCGGTGGCGAGCGCGACTGCATCTGTTGTTTTATTTGTTGTTGCTGCATTTGCTGTTGCTGCTGTTGTAAGTATTGTTGCTGTTGTTGCTGTTGATACTTGAGAAATGACACCTTGCTGCTGGTCATGTGCAGGTGGGGAGGCGGCACGTCCCTTGGCCGGCAGAGCACACAGTTATAGCCCTCCTCAGCGCACTTTTCGGCTTCCAACTCGGTCTTGATTGAGTCGCACATGCAGTGTAGCCACCTCTCGCACTGTACACACTGAATGATCAAATCGCCCTCGCTATAGTCGTCGTTGCACACCGTGCAGGTCGAGTGCGAAGCGCAGGGTCCACACTGGGTGTAATTTTTCTGCCAGCCGGAATTGAATCCCGGATCATTAGAGCCACAAGTTTGACACTGGGCGCACCAGCGGCACTTCCACACCTCTTCGTTGGCGGGCACATAGTCGAGCGGCGGGTCCATGCAGTACGTGTGATAGCTGATGTCACAATCATCGCAGAGCACCAGCCGGGCCTCGTCGTTGCGCTCGCCACAGCCCTCACAAATGGTACAGTCAAGACAGCGCCAACCTTTCATTAGCTTCATCTTGGTTAGCTTGAAGTTTTCCACGCAGTAGGGATGATAACACTGACCGCACTGAGCGCAGGCCACTAAGCAACCCTCCTGATCGGTGCCTATCGCGCCACACATCACGCAAACGTCCTGCGACAGCACGAATTTGTCCTTTGCCGAACATAACACCAGTTTATTCTCGTTTACGGGCTCCTCTTCTTTCGAGTTCGAGTCCGAGGCAGGTCTCTGCAAAAACCAAACAGTTGAAATCATTAAATCGACAAAAATTGTAAAGAAGGAGCGAGTCGAAACAAAAAATTACCTGTAGACTCACGCTTGGGACGCCAAAAACTCCTCGCATTTTAGCTTTGGGGCCCCTCTTTCTTCGAAACTCGGTCATTTTCTGTCGTTTTTGGTAACCTAATTTTCCGACGCCTTTTGGTCGGCCGACTAAACCTCCGCTAAGGCCAAGTCTCTTCTTGGCAATTTTCGAGGCACAAAAAGGCTTTCCTTTACCTAATCCTATCGAATAGAATGCTGCCGCATCTTCTGAACTGCCCTGGAAGTCCATCTCGGAGGAGTCGCCGTCGCCCCCATACAAGCTCTCTTGCGAGGCGGTCAGGCTAGACTCTACGCCGTAGTCCTCGATGTTGTCCTTGCGCTTGACCAGGGCATTGTTCTTGCAATGAGGACAAACATACTCATAATCCGGTTTAGCGTCCTTACGGTGCTGATAGGTCAATGGATCCGCGTCAGGATCACATGTACCGTGAACAAATTTTGAACAACTACTACACTGAACCATTTCTCTGTAAGCAGCCGCTCGATAAGCTTTTCTGCAGATTGGACAAGAGAAGCCCTTATTCCGCTGCTGATAACAAGAATCGCAAACTGTGTAATGAGAATGCCAACGCGACGACAGACCGGCACCAGGTGTTCGTGATCCACAATCGGTACAAACCCGACAACACTTGCATTTCCAACCATATTTCGGTATAGAAGTCACAATTGGTCTTAAACAACTAGGATGATAAGCTTTGTCGCATTGCTCGCAGGTCATCACTTTAGCCTGATCTTCAGGTAGCCGACATACCTGACATAGACGACAATTGATACACTGCCAGCCTGCACGAGCATTCGGTAATAATGCCAGTCCGATGCAACCACCGTGATAGTGCTGTCCACAGATTGAACACATTACCAATTTCGACACATCGCCCATGCCAAAACATGTCATACACTTTATACTGTCTCCGTCTCCGTTTACTGTAATATCGACAAGCGAATAATTAAAATCATGACAAACCTTAACCATACTCATCAATCTCAACTGCAATACTCACTCAGTAGAGGGACTTGCCCTAAATGTAGACTACAAAACGACGTCAAGCTTTTGATGTCTTGAAAGCAGCTCGATGCTGCGGCGCATGGAAAATGAAAATAGCGGTTGCACGATTGCACCTGAAAAGCAAATCGTTTCGATTAGAGTAAAGATTTTTTCCTTTTTCTTTCGTAATTGTTCTTTGACTGTTACTTTGCAAGTTATGCCTGCTCCAAAACGGGAACAATAAGCACATCTACGGGATGAAGCCTGTACAATGGATAAACTAATAATTTCCGTGGACATGTCTTGATTACCACCCGTCCAAAGAGCGCACGCTTGGTGAACGTAATAATGGCCAGTCATTTCAAAAATAATTCCCAAATCAGGCTCCTCAGAATGACCTACTATAGTTAATTCTTCAATGGGTTCCGTAAAATTGGATAGACTAGGATTTCTGCAAATTGATCATTGTTAATAATGGATGATCAATAACAGGTGTGTGTGTATACATATGGATGTATATATATTGTACCTGCACTTCGCTAAACTTTTTTGCCTCCGACACGTCACGGCTCCAAGACTGTTGGTTGTGCGGGGACTTTTGTCACCCGAACTAGGCACATCAACAAGACTTTCAGGAGTTTCTTCACGATTACTATTTTTTTGAGGTGTAAAATCATCAGGTATTGTGAGTTTCAACAGTTCACCTTGACCCAATTGACTTCTCTCAGTCAAATTGCACAGAGCACAAACTTTTCCAGGCCTGAAGAGAAAAAGTTGCATTTCTATATCGTTTATCTTAAATAAATGTTTCAAGATAGACTAATTATACTTACCACTGTTCCTGAAAATATGGAGGTTCTTCTGGAGCAGGCATAGATCTCTCAAGGCCAGAAGATTCTCCATCAATCGATGTATCATCTCCTATCCTCAATGGGCTTGGCGATTCTGAATGCGTATCATCATCTTTACTTTTAGTACGACGTGGTATGCCCCTACCATATCCAAACCTAAGTAGCAACAAAGTTTACATTCAACTTTTTATTGGCTTTCAAGACTTTATTTCATTTTAATTAAAACAAGTGAATAAAAAAAAAACAACCGTACCCTTTTCCCCTTGTTGAACCTCTTCCAAATCCTCTTCGCAAGCCACTGCCACGTGGGACTCCAGGTGGGCGCTCTTTTCGAGGTCTACCTGGCCCACGTCTGTATAGAGGCTTTCCACCAGGTAGAGAAAAGTTTGGATATTGTAAGGTTGGATCATGGACAACTTCCTCTGCAGAGACTAAAAAAAGGAAAATAGTTCAAATCAATCATTGATCAATGTACATTAAAAGATATCATGGAAAAGTAAAGTACAGCTTGTGTTGTATGCATCTTGAGCATTGCTATTTAGACTTTCTGCATGAAAACCAAGGCACTGACTTATGCTCGGGGTTGCCAGAGGACCAAGCAGTTGGTCAGAATTTGCAGGGGAAATTGGTATACCGGAATTTTCCTCGTCATCATCTTCACCATCGGTAGCATCATCAAGCTCCATTTCCTCCTCTCCTTCCAACCGCTCTTCATCATCCATGGCACTTTTTTCTCACGTGAAAATGTGAAATTCTACATATAATTTAAAAAAGTAAGTTACAACCCATAATAATTCAATTAATAAATTGATATTGAAATATCTGATTAGTAATTACATTGCCGATACAAGGACCGCGATGTTTTTATCGAATAGATCAAAGTATTTAAAAAGATTTTTTGCAATAAAAAGTACCAACATAAAAGTAACATAAGTACTGGATAACAGGTTATATTTTGCATGAGATTAGTGGAGCAGAATACGCGTAAATACAAAAACAAAAGGCAGTTAGCGAGGGTAAAGGTGAAATAACGCGATTCTTATCTAGCGATCAGCAATCTCCAAGTAAAAAAAGGTGCGAGAGGGGGAGGGGCGCGAAGCAGTATCGAGGAAACACTGTAGTAATAGTAAGGCTAGAAATCGGAGCTCGGTGTTGGCGGAGCGAGGAAGGCGTCCAAGGACGTTCAGCCAGCATCGATTCGACCGATGTGCTACGGTGTGGTCCAGTGCAACGTACCGTTGTGGCGGCGGTAACGACAAGCCGTTCTCGGTAAACTCGCCGATCGACTACGAAAACAGAACGATCGGTCGCGGGCACCGCCTGTGCAAGAGCTATGACATCGTAGGAGCCGTACGCTACATTACAATGCAAAATCTAAGCAGAAGACCTGGGCGGCTTCCCTGACCATATCATACACGCATCGTTCTCTGCTATGCACTTTCCGTGTCCGCGAACAGAGCGATCGCTGTATGCAGTGTATACGCGCTCTCTGTCGTGGGGCGGTGCAGTCGAGCAGGGGCGGCGGAATCGGCTTCGGTCGAAGCCCTTGGGGCTGCAACTCGCGGGTACGCGCCATTGCCAAATGCCGTGCAACTTCGAACCGTCTGAACGGTAGCAGCAACGACAGCAGGGTTCGCAGGCTATAAACACACGCGCATCCGCTACGGCTACGGTCACGATACGCGCATTCGTACATAGTGTGGTTGGTGCGCGCGAGCGACCGGCCGTGGCCAAAGAGAGAACGAGAGAGAGGGAGACGGCGATAAAAAGTGTAGGTACCTGTGGCGTCTACTGCTGCCTCCTCAAGTGCCTTTCGCCAGAGTCGCGCGTCCAACAATCCTGGTGCTCGGCTCCACTGCTTGGCTTCGTCGGCCAAGTAAACATGGTGCTGCCAACGCGAACAATGCCGACAGCTAGCACTCGTCGACGTCGCCGTCGTTCCAGTCGCGATCCACCGATGGTTCGCGCGCGCCAAGCAGCGAGCCTGAGTTGCCTTCTCCTGAGTCTTGCTCGCCAACTCGGGGAAGCGTCAACTCGCTAACACGTCCACACGCAGCCGGGAGGCGCGACACCAAATTACCAACTAGTCCACAGGCAGATATACAGTCAGCCACAGAGCCGCGATCGCTCTCGCACTCGCAGCCGAGCTCGATCCACCACGCATTCACACATACGTATGCATAAGCACACACATGCTCCCTGATACCCCAATATCGCAACGCGACTCTCGATCCTTGTCCAATAATCACGGCCTTCCCCGCCTTCTCCACCAATCAACAAGTCGGTTACATGCTTACGTCATGCGCCTAGCAAAATAACCATCAGTTTCAGCCAATCAGAAGTTAGCATTGGACGGTGTGGACGCTTTCGTCGCGCTTCGTATATACGCCTGACGGTTCTCAACAACGGCGACTGCTTCCGATTGTGCTTGTAGCACCTTATTCAAATGATATTTGTTAAAAAACTTAACTGTTTTTTCATTATAAAACATTTCAAAAAATACAATAAGAATGTATTCATATTCTTTTCATTACTCTTCTCATACCTCGAAGAAGCTTTGTCAAATTTGAAACAAAGGGATGATTAATAATAAATTGTATTTAAAAATATATACTCTTTATTTATATATCAACACATTTTTTTATTTTGTTGCATTTCGAATAGTTTTTTTTATTTCAGACAGACATTCCATACTGAGTTTGTTATCTTGTATCAAGTTTTTCAATACAACCAAGTTATATTTAATAATTTGGAGTATGTTGTTTGACAAAATAGTATTATTACTTTTACTTGGCAATGGATCTTGAATGTAGTCTTTAATCAAACACCAAAGTCCGCTATTTCTCTTAAATGTTATAAGATCAGTTGCAGTTTGCAATTTCGATGTCAAATTTGAAAGATGAATTGGCATTTCAATGATAGTATCATAGTTATGAACAACTTTCATTAAAAAATTCACTTTCCCTCCACTTTTCAATACTTTAATAACAATACAATTCTCAAATAAACTTTTCTCAAAATTACTAATTAAAAATAAATGATTTCGTAACCGTAATACAGAATCTTTGGGACAGTACTTTAAGGTATGTTTATTAACAAACATATTTATTCTCTTTAGACAATCTTCTTTCTGCAATATGTCATGTCTTAAAATTTTTAACTTTTCAGTTTTTTCACATATGACATTAATCACACTTTCTAATCCCTTTAGCATGTCTGATTGCAATCCCACATAATCATATGAATTTTCTACACATAAATTTATTACTTCTTCTATTGGAAATTGAATCAGCTGGCCAGAATCATCAAGACTAATTATAAAATTGGATTTCATTTGAATATGAAACAATCTATTGTTTTCCACTTTAATCTGTTTGGTTAAATTTCTTGTCAATAATACACTAGTGTAGTATGTTTTCCCATCACATGAATAGATAAGTAACACTTGTATATTTGAACAAAAAATTGGGCAAATGGATTCAATATTTGTGTCAAGACAAAGTGTATTAAAGTGTAATATATTTGTAGTAGCATGTATTAAAACAACAGCTTGTACATCAGTTTGTAAAAGAGCACCAAAGACTTTATTTTCTTTTTCAATAGCCACTATTTTTTTGATTGGGTAGTCAGATTCATATATCAAGTATAAGCTCTGATTAACCAATTTAAACAATTTTTTATCTACTGCTAATAAACATATATCATCATTGTACTCATTAACTGAGAGTAATTTGTAAAAAATATTATCAGTGTCATTGTAATGCAATGGCAACACATGAATATTGTTAATGACACTTAACGATAAAAGTTTCACAATGCTCTCAAATTTTTTATCTGTTAAAATTAAATCTCCATTATTTAGTGAGAGTACAGAAAATCTTGATACTAGTTCAAGTCCTGTTTCACTGAGTACAGCACATTCAAGTTTCTCTGTCAGTTTGTAAATACCACATGGTAAACATAAAACAAAAATTCTTCCATTGAGTCCATGTATATCCTTTATTTTATCTGGAGCTTTTAGCACCTTTGATACAACTGTCGAACCATCGTAAATGTAAGGAAAAATTAGAAATTCATCGCCATTACTCCATACAAAGCACGTATCTTTTCCATAGAAATTTTTAATTAAAAAGTGTTTTGGCACAACATTTTTCATATCTACTTTAATATACATAGTGAAATTGGAAAATAGACGCGTATCACAACTAAAAAACCTCAAAACAACTCTGTTCCGTTATATCGTTATTTTACATTCTTGACAACCTAATATAGACTTGGATGTATTATTATTATTATTATTATGCTGAACTGACCGGCTTAACCTTCAAAATGCTTTGAAGTTTGACATTTCAACTACTCATGTGTTCGAATCGTTGATTATTTTATCTACTACACCAGAAATTAGACTTCCCAATCTTTTAACTACACATGTGAAATATTTGAAAAATATTTATCTGTTAATTAAATAACAAATGAAAGTTAATAAAAAAAAATTACAAAAGTAATTTATTAAAATTCATCAATAATATGTTTCAAAAAATGAAAATATTGAACAAATCACTGAAAATATAAAAACACATTATATACATGCCTCTTTAAATTTCGGTAAAAATTAAACATTGGTTTACTACTCAACAATAAACAATCCTTTGACAAATTTCAACATTTTATAGTTTTCTTCATTGGTACATTTAATCTCTTAAAAATATAGTAGAAAAACATATCATGTATGTTTACGTAGAATAATTTCAGCATTTTTGAGATTTTTATCATTGTACATATAACATATATATGTTTAGTCAATTGTGAAGAGTTAACACTTTTACACATGATTTATATTTTCTATATAAAAGTAAAAACTTGTTACTTGGGTGTCGCACAAGATGAAAAGTAGGTTACAGCATTGATTGCAGTAGAAAATACTAAATTATATACAGGATTTATCATGTGAACAGCATTTTTCTGCTTAGGTCCTATTATTACAGATTCTGGAGAATTCTGAGCTATTGAAAGACCACTAAGACCGTAACAAGTATGATATAGATCACATTTTCTGTAAAAAGCAAATGATTGTTTAAAAAATTAAACAGGCTTGGATTTTTAAGCTAATAATTTTACTTACGTATCAGGTTTGTCTAAAAATCCACCATAAGGATGTTGACAACAAATGAGCAAGTATTCCTGTAAGGCTGCTTGGTCAAAGAGCCAATGATTCATCATTACATTTGTTTCTTTTGCTATAATCACATTTATTAAAGGAAATACACCACCCTGCCAAAATGAGTAACAGCCATCAACTAATTTATTTGTTCGTCCTTCAAAACCACCTTCTAAACGCATTTGCTTATTGACAACCCAACGCTGTAAATATATCAAGACTAAGAAACTGTACTTAATAATTGCTTGAAGAAATATCAAAATCAATAAAAATGTTACCAAAAATGCAGATACATTGATAAAATCAGTTTTTCCTAATAATGTCAGTGCAGCCAATGCACAATATGCATAACCGCCATGAGCCTCTATACCTGGACAACCACTAAATCCTCCTTCATAGGTTTGACATTTGGCAATATATTGTGCAGTGTCCTTGAATAATTCATCGGTATAAATATTTGTCAATTTTGCAACAATCAGAGCACAATATCCTCCTCTTATATCTACTTCTCCATCTACATGTAAGCAGAAGCTACCATTTGGATTACGAACTGATTTCAGGAACTCGTAAAGCCCATTTCTATAAATAATAAAATTATTGTAAATGTACTTTGAAACATTATTTTACTGAAATAAACAAAATACAATATGCAACCAATTAACTGACATTAATTATATTAGAAAAATAAATAAAAGATAACAAAAATACCGGTTAATAACATCATATGCTTCCTTTGTTCCAATAATACACAATGCATTTACGGCAGCATATGTTGCTGCCAAATGAGGATATTGACCCGGACCACCACCGAAACCTCCTTCTGAAGTCTGACATCTTGCTAAAAAGTCAACAATTTGTGAATATTCCTTATCTTCCAATCTAGCTCCTAGAATATGGAGAGAGTGTAATATCCAATAACACAGCCATGCTCTGCTACAATCTAAACACTAAAACAAAATAATTAAGAAATTAATTATCAAGCAAGCAATCATAATAAAATATTTCCTACCTCATAGCCCTTGGATAAAAAAGTTAGTGATTGTTTTAAATATGAAATATGTGCATATTTATTTAATATTGGCTCCTTGCGAATTCTGTACAATTCAAGTACATTCTTTTCTACTCTGTCCTGTAAAAAAGATATTATATTAATGGTACTTTGAAGATACTACTTGATAAAAGCTTCAATCTTATAGTCACTTGTTCTCTTGAAGATGCAGTTTCATATTCCACTAACTGCTTTTCTTTTAAAATTTCCTCATAATTCCTTACATGTATAGTTTCATCTATGTCATCAAACTCCAAATTTGACATTATCTTAAAAAATATGTTAAATCATATTAATATTACTTTTATGAGTCTCTAATTTTTTTCATTAACAAAATGAATACATCAAATATAAGATATATCTAACATATTAAGAACTTACTCTAAAAGTTTCTGGATACTTATTCTGCATTGATTCTTGTTTTTAATTTTACAAACAAAGAATAATTTACATCTTTTATCCTAAGTACAAACTTAATTTCATTGCTGTCCTTATTAGACCTATTATTCAGTAAAAAGCTTATAGTATTTTTTTATATTTCCATTTTTTTAAAAAAAGTTTGATTCGTTTGGGAAAGTAAACAAAATTTAGGTTAAGATTTTTTAATGAAAATTATAATATTATTGCCTGAAAAATAATAAATTTCAAATATTAGTTAATATTATTTTATATTTAGGATTTCACAAATTTTCAAAAAATAACCTTTTGCAATATTGAATATTGTTGCCACATTTAACATAACAGCTGATCGTCTTTCCACTCTAATTAATCCCGAGTCCGCATGATCGGCAGTGTCGGCACTCGGCAGTGTGTGTCGGAACTCGATGTGGTGAACGTCTCTTTTAAAGTTCACGTGCACATTATACTCGAAATATAAAAATCGTAAGTTCAATAAAAACAACATAAGATGACTCGAAGTAACAGAGCTTATATCTCACTTTATCAATCAAAATGATTAAATCTGCAAAATAATTTCAATTGTAAATTAACTAAATTCTTCGAGTATTAACATTTAGTAGTTTCATTGAGGTTATACTCTAAAATACAGACTTCTACTTATTTATTCAGGAAACAAGTTAAAATGGCTAGGTATCTAGCACAAATTATTGTGGTAGGCACAAAAGTGGTTGGTAGAGCTTTTGCAAGAGCTCTTCGACAAGAAATAGCTGCTAGCCAAGAAGCAGCTCGTAGAGCAGGTGGTGGTCAACAAGGATCTCAAAGAGTAGCAGCTAACACTCGAACTGGTTTAACATTAGATGAAGCATTAAAAATTCTTAATGTCGAGCGACCTGATCAAACTGAAGCTATTGAGCATAATTATAAATACCTGATGGAAGCAAATGACAGATCAAAAGGAGGTTCTTTTTATATACAATCTAAAGTAGTAAGAGCTAAAGAACGTATTGATGAAGAATTTAGAAATATAAAGTCATCACCACCTTCTAGTTCCGAAAGTTCCAAACAAGATTCTGTTTCTCCACACTGACATTAAAATTTAACTAGTCTGAATCTGTTAACTGTTTATAGTTATAACCTTGTAAATATCTTTGCATAAATTAGTTTTAATAAAATTTCATTATAAATTTTAGCTAATTATTTTTCTTACATGAAATACATACAATCATGGAGAATATTTCAATAAAAATGTTAATAAAAATATTAAAAACTACACATTTTAAAAAAGTAAAAAAATATTACTTTAATAGACTTTACATTTACTGGTCAATAAATATACAAATTGTACAATACTGTCTTGCAAGTACTCGCTCTTGAACGAATACTATTGGCAGATGAAAATTAATTTTATCTATAAAACAAACATTATTTATTAACTATTATCCCAGCTACTTTAGCATCTGATGGTTCTATTCGGTTTTCACTTTGTCTTATGCACAATCTTTCTTGGTTATGGCTTACAGACCATAAATCTGGTAAGAACTTTGGTTTCATAGTGTCTAGAAAATGTTCTCTCCATAATTTTTCTAACTCAACTAAGCCTCCATCTTTCTTTTCAAAATATTGTACAACCTATTTGAATAAAAGATCAACCATTTAAAAATTGGCATTTTCATGGTGACTACAAGCAATGTATAGAGATAAACATACCTTCAGACCATGTGGTTGATTCTTAACTTGTGCTGGAATATTTTTTTTTAAGCTCTTCTTTTGCAGATTTTTTTGAAATATTTTTTCTGCTAGCTGTTCATGTAGAACATTCAGAAAGCCTGCTGTTATTTCTTTTTGACCAGTGAATTTCATTATATAAATTTCTAGTTCTTTTCGTCTTTCATAAGGCAACGACACTCCATCTCTCAATACTTTAACTGCAGACTGTAACATTTTCCATCCTTTAGGGATTGATTCTTCAGAGCGTAATAAGGGTCCCGATAGAGGTGCATCACACATCTCTGATAATTTCCTTCTAAGATGTAAATCTTGAAAATTGCTCACTTCGTGGCATGAAGGACACAGTAGTAGAACATCATGGGACTGGTGTGACTTCATCACCACTGTCATAATTTTGCAAAATGAATGAAAATACATAATTTTAACATTTTAACAGAATGCTATTTAATATACTCACATGGAAAATATTTACGGTATTCTCTAGGAACAACGTTTTTTCTTATAAATTTATCAGAAGCTCCACACACAACACATTGATTTACTTTAACTTGTGTGTAATATTTGCCAACTTCTCCTGATGCACGACCAGATGGCTCAAATTTCAGTCTTACAGTTAATGGATTTTCTTGAACAATTTCTCCTAATTGCTTTGAGACATACCATTCAGCTTTTTTCTTATCACAAGTGCATAAAATGTCACCATCAGGTGCTTGTAAGTAACAGTTATGATAAAGTGGCTTGTTTCTAGCTGGAACACTAGTTTTATAATCAGAATTACTATTTCTTTCAATGATTTGACCAACTTTTTTATCAATGTTACTATTACTGCATACAATAATATTGTTATTATTATTTTTGATAGTTTTTTCTTTATGACCCTTGAATCTAAAGTTAAAATATTATTATAATTTTTTTAATAATAGAATATTACAGTAACAAGATAACTATAAAATTTATTTTTCTTTACCTTGCGTCAATTACTTCATTGGGTAAATCGAAAAACCTTTGTTCCCTGGTATAATTTTGTAAGTATTTTACATAAAGCATCAAATTTTTCCATAATGGTCGCCTTTGCCTTGCCTTCTGCATTATCTAAAATAATCTATTGATTAGTAAAAATTCAAGAATAGTTTTTAACACTAGTAATTTGAGTAGTACTTTGTAAAAAATTAAAACTGAAGCATAAGCATCGCATGATGCATATTTTATCTGTTCATCCAAGAGTGTATCAGCATTCCAATTCCCGCATCTTATTTCTGGAACCTTATCTATTTCAACACCTAAGTATTGAACACTGAATGCTGCTAAGTTTGTAGGAGCAACCAAAGAAAAACTATGTGCCAATGAACGTAAATCTACAGTTCCAAATACATGGCAATTATAATCTTTGGCTAATTTTTTTCCATCTTCAAATGAAGCAACTCCAACTTTAAGGAAATTACGACTAGCCAGCAGTTCCTGAAAATTACATGAAAAAATTATTCATTGAAAAGCCATTGTTTAAATAAAATCATTTTTCTACTAACTCGAAGTTGTAAAGGTATAAAGCCAATTTTATTCAAACGAAATAAAGCACAAACACCATTATGAGTTGCAAGTTGAAGCAGGGAAACAGATTCTCCATTTATCCATTCACAATCAAATCCTAATACTCCATCTGATAAATTACTGAAAGTATATTAAGTTAGTATAATTGTTTGTAGCACACATCAATTTGAAAACATTCAATTGAGCTAAGAACTCCTAGAGGTGAAAGTTTGTTTACAAATAATACTTACCAGCGAATACGTTGAACAGCGTAATCACATTGTTCTGGTGAGTCAGCCAGAATAATCTTGTCCAGTGAAACTTTTAATTCTTTTCTACCATTATTATCTTCAATATTTCTTTTATTTTTATGACTTATATGTTTCTTTGTAATACTATGGCAAATTTGCTTGACGCTCTGAAGTACGTTAATGCGATACTTGGAGGCCAGCAATGCAAGGCCAGCAGTAAAACACATAAAAAACATATTTTTGCGTATTTGCCACATCGTTTCTATTGATTATTTAAATAAGCATATGAAATATAAACTCGAGCACACACGTCAATCTTATCACAGAAGTAAATTATTATTAAACAGCAAACAAAACGAGGAAGTGAAAAATAATAACATCAATAATTATGAATTACGATTCAAAATTTATCCTAAATATTAGTACTTCACATATAAACAGACGTTTTAAAAAACTTCATTAAATAGATTTCACACACTATACATCTTGATTATTTTTAAGATTGAATATGATTCCGAATACACTGGATGAGATTCAAGGGTTCTCGTAGCAAGACATTTAAAAAGCGAGTGATCTTGACCGCGGCTACGGAATTTCGCTTATGACTGAAATCATAATGTGATTTAAAGTTGAAGACCGCACAAAGCACTTAATTTTGGAATAGCAAATGTGTAATAGGAGGGGAGAGAGAATACATCAATAGAATGGAATACGGATTTACATACTCTCTCACTCATTTTATAATCTCTGTTGCCCCCTTACCAGCGATGTTGAGCGTGTGTATATATATATATATATATATATATATATACATATTCTACAATAGTATGTAAAACAAAAACATTGTATGTTACGTACATACATATTGATAGGTGACGGTCATGCAACTTCTTTTTAATTTTTCTTTTGTGCGATAGCTTATTAAACTTAATTTTTGTTGCACTTACGAAGGAAAAATGAAAAAAACTCCATGACCCTCACGAATGTGTACTCTTATTTTTTCATTCTAATCGCAACTATCGATCATATATATAACTAATTTTAATACTTCACATCATAATTATGTATCGTGCTATTGTGGACGTAGCAAGAAAATCAAAGTGATTTACACATAGAATCATGTAATTTCTCTTTAAATTTGTAACTTTAAAACTTAAATCTCGTTCTACATATTTATTAATTAATAAGTTGAATATTTTATTTCTCAACACCCAATATTTTAGCGGCATTTTTCAAAATAAAATTGCTCGTAATTAATATTGACAATAAATAATAAAATATTATATTAAGTAATAATATAATATAGTATATGATTTGATGTACTCGACGTGAGTGCAACTACATATTAGTATAAAAATGAATACAAGTTATAAATGAACCTATTAATACCACAAATTCACGTCGTTTGTGTACGGTACGCATTCAGTCAATTCAGTGTCTTGTGTCGTCTACATAGACTTCTGTAGTCGATACATGAGTCTATATAACTCTATGTAGACTTCGCTCGCGGCAGTCAGAGAACGTAGCGCGTGTGTTTGCCGACTGGAACGAGGTCGTGTCACTCTCGGCAATTTTGGGATCCACGTTTCCTTGACAAGTAAATTTGTAATAAATTTTCTTTTTAAGCACTCAATTATTTAGTAAACTAACGCATGCAAGACATTTTTTATAACTATTAATTTCATAGATTTACATTTTTCTTTTTTCAATTTTAGAGCAAACGTTCATATGCTTAAAAATAGGTTAGAATTTAAAAAGCATCGCCCACGTTACCAGATGTGCTTGTTAAAACATTAAATTATCTAATTTTAAAAAGATGAAACTTTATGGAACTGTCTTTTAAAATATTCTGTAACTTTACTTTACCAGTTAATAAGAGTAATATCAAAAATATTATATATTCAAATTTTATATAATTTTACAAAATATTTTATTTCGACAATTTTTTATTTCCAGACTGCTACAATTATTATTAAAGAATGCCACCTAAACGTGCAACAGAAGAAACAGATCGATTGACCAGAATAGCTATAGTTAATACTGATAAATGTAAGCCCAAAAGATGTCGACAAGAGTGCAAAAGATCATGTCCAGTGGTGCGAATGGGAAAACTTTGTATAGAAGTCACTCCTAACAGTAAAATTGCTTCCATTTCTGAAGAGTTATGCATCGGTTGTGGTATTTGTGTAAAGGTAGTGTAGTTATCATCTAGTTTTCAAAATAATGATTACTTGTAAATAAAACTATAATTATTCTTTTTTTTAGAAATGTCCATTTGAAGCAATATCAATTATTAATCTTCCAAGTAACTTGGAAAAGGAAACTACACATCGTTACTCCAAAAATTCATTCAAACTTCACAGACTCCCTATACCACGTCCTGGTGAGGTTCTCGGTCTTGTAGGAACTAATGGTATCGGAAAATCTACAGCTCTTAAAATATTAGCTGGTAAACAAAAACCTAATCTAGGACGTTTTTCTGTGAGTAAAAAAGTAGTAATTTGTAACTGGCATTAGGTATGTATTAAGTCTATTCCTTTTTAGGATCCACCAGACTGGACAGAAATCTTAAGTCACTTTAGGGGTAGTGAATTGCAGAATTATTTTACAAAAATTCTTGAAGATGATTTGAAGGCACTCATCAAACCACAGTATGTAGATCAAATTCCCAAAGCCGTAAAGGGAACTGTTCAACAATTGTTGGATAAGAAGGATGAATGTAAAAATCAAAATCAGATTTGTGAAATGCTTGGTAAATATTGAAAACCTGAACATAAATTTATCATTATTTATAACATTTTATTTATAATTTCAGATTTGACTCACATCAAAGACCGAAGTATTGATGCTCTGTCCGGAGGTGAACTTCAAAGGTTTGCTTGTGCTATGGTATGTATTCAAGATGGAGATATTTTCATGTTTGATGAACCATCGTCGTACCTAGATGTTAAACAACGTCTGAATGCCGCTGTTACAATCAGATCACTGATACACCCAGATAAGTAAGTTTTTGCCTTTTACTATTAATTATTAAATATGACGTTTGAAAATAATTACAGGTTCATTATAGTTGTGGAGCACGATCTTTCTGTGCTTGATTATCTCTCTGATTTTATCTGCTGCTTATATGGAGTTCCTGGAGCTTATGGAGTAGTGACTATGCCTTTTTCTGTAAGAGAAGGTATCAATATATTCCTTGATGGCTTTGTTCCTACGGAAAATTTACGTTTCCGTGAAGAATCTTTAGTATTTAAAGTAGCTGAAAGTGCTACAGAAGAAGAAGTTAAGAGAATGAGTCACTATGAATATCCAGCTATGGTTAAAACAATGGGTAATTTTGAGCTAACTGTTGAAAGAGGACAGTTTACTGATTCTGAAATTCTCGTGCTTCTGGGAGAAAATGGTACTGGGAAAACGACATTCATTAGAATGTTAGCTGGTAACTTACCTCCTGATGATGGGTCAGGTAAGTAAAAATCATTGGATATATCTTTTTATGTTTGCTTAACGTTATTTTAAAACTTTCAGGTAATATACCACAGTTGCACATCAGTTATAAGCCGCAGAAGATTAGCCCAAAGTCTCAGGGTATCGTTAGGCAACTTTTACACGAGAAGATCAGAGACGCATATGTTCATCCGCAATTTATTACTGATGTGATGAAACCGTTAAAGATCGATGATATTATTGACCAGGAAGTTCAAAACTTATCTGGAGGTGAATTGCAGCGAGTGGCTTTAGTTTTATGCTTGGGAAAACCTGCAGATGTTTATCTGGTAGATGAACCTTCAGCCTATTTGGATTCTGAGCAGCGATTGATTGCAGCAAAGGTTATTAAAAGGTAAAAATGGCAAAAATCAATTCATATAAAAACTAATAGTTTCAAGAAATAATAATTAATATTTTTAGATTTATACTGCATGCGAAAAAGACCGGTTTTGTCGTTGAGCACGATTTCATAATGGCGACGTATTTAGCAGATCGAGTTATTGTATTTTCTGGAACGCCATCAGTAAAGACTGTTGCTCACAGCCCTCAGTCTTTGTTGAATGGAATGAATAGATTCCTGGAGTTGTTGGGTATAACATTTAGGCGAGATCCAAATAACTTCCGACCTCGAATAAACAAAAATCAATCTGTCAAGGTAATCATAAAAATTTCAATTCACACTACGCGGTGACAAACTTTGTAATTTTATTAAATGATTTGATTACAAATTTTAGGATCTGGATCAAAAAAGGGCAGGACAGTACTTCTTTTTAGAAGAATAAACGGATTGAGTATATTTTTGAAAAGCCTTGTTAATACATCTCTGTTGAGATATAGTGTAACATTACGTGACTTTTTATATATTCATTCACATATTTCATTAAAAAAAATTTGGATTTTTTTTCATATACATTTTGTAACTAGCGGAAAAGTGTTTTATTTAAAGTTTGATATTCGAATGAAAAGTTGATTATTGTACTAAAAGTGTTGCGCAAATGTAAATCAGATTAACGTGCATGATTGTTTACACAATATGAGATAATGTAGTCACTTTAAAAATGAAATTTTAAACTCATGCAAGCTAAATTTTATCCAACAATAAATTAAAAATAAAAGTACTTGTAACCAGAATTATCAGCTTTTATTTAAAAAATGCTAAGGTAAAATATTTCTTCTGTTAAAAAATTTAACAAATCCAACGTAAAATCAAGCTTATTACTATTTTGCACTGTATAATTAAATAATTTTCTTTGGCATAATTTCTTAATAACATGAAATTCATAATGATCTTCAGATGAAACGAACGTATAAAATTCACAGTTGAAAATACAAAATAGTCTTCCTAAATTTTGTTATACATATATAAATTTTAACTTCAAAATTTCTGAACCAACGAGACAAAATAATATAAGCAACTTGTATGCCTCTCATACTAAAGTAGTTTGTCAATGAGAAATTTTATTATTTAATTATCTAGTTAATTTGGCATTTTTAAATATTTATCATAATATAACGAATTAAACTTAAGCTTCACCACCTGAACTTCCCGAAAGTGCCATTTTTGATAGACTAGAAAGACTTCGACGGGGACTGCTGCCACCTAAAAAGCTACTGCTTGTCTCGGAGAAGATTTTCCTGAAACTGACATCAATTCCATGTTATTTGCATATTGTTTAAGATATATTGTGAATATTTGAAAAATGTTACAATTTTCGTATTCCAGATTCTGATTTTTTCCATGGAGCGTCGTCAGGTTCATAAGGCAACGGACCTTGAACTGGAGCATCTTTTTCGGCTTCCGCTCTGGAAATGGATAACGATAAAAATTGATTAATTAACATGAGAAAGAGGGAGAGAGAGAAGAAATAGAATAGATAATTACGGTTCAGCTTTCGGTCGATATAGCTCCAGCTCTTCTTCCAGCTCAGCAACTCTAGTTTTCAGTTCATTTCTCTCGTGAAGAATCTCTTTGAGCTCAGCTGTGGTGAATCTAGGTCTATCTGGATCATCTACATCGTAAACGACCTTATTTGCCAAGTCTGAATAAGCTTGGGATTTGAATAAGTCCTCGTTTTCTTTTCTCGCGAGCCCCAGTCTCGCGCGAAGGTTGATTAACTCTCTATTTTGATCTTGTAATTGAGCTAAAAAGTCTGCACGCTCTTCCACCAAGCCCCTGGCTTGCATTTGTGCTTGCCTTTGCTTTCGTTTCAATTCTCTCCCAACGACTGTCAGTTTATCCACTTGATTATTTAACTATAAGCAAAAAGTTAAATTATTTATATTCCATTGGAGATAGCAATTGCAAGCTTACGTTTTCAATTTCTGCACTTTTTTGCGACAGTTCGCGATCTCGACTCCGAATCTGCTCTCTCTGTTTGTCGATCATTGTCCTGAGGCGTTGCAGAACCGCAATATCAACTTCTTGGCCAGAGGTAAAGCCTAAAATGGTTAATTATCAATTATTCGTCTGGAAAAAAGTCCGATCAAGAAAAGTGATAGTACTTTGTTTACCACTGTCGTCGCTGTCACTTCGATTTTCCTGCACAGCAGTGGCTAATCGGCGATTTTCCTCTTGCAACCTATTGACCATCTCTAGCAAGTCGCGAGACTCTTGCTTCCAATGATCTTCGATTTGCTCGAGCTCCTTGAAAACGAAAGTAGAAGAATCAAATGAAAAATCAAAGGATACATTGAACGTGGGAGATTGCGAGAAACGAGAAAAAAGCAGCGTACTTTTTCGAAGCGTTGCCTGTCTTCAGCCTTGCCAATCTTGTCGGACTCAAGTTGGGCGATTTTGGCGGTGAGCTCCTGCACAGTAGTGTTTTCGCGCTCGTTCTTGGTAGCAAGGTTTTCCAGAAGCTCGAGGGCATTGATGACCTTGGGCATGAGGTTGGCGATCGATTCGGAACCGTGCGCGTCAATGAGCTTCTCGCACTCCTTGCCAATTTCCGAGGCGATGTCGTAGACGTCGACCACCGACACCTCCGACGTTTCCGTGAGTTCCTCCATGCTTGCGCGCCGCTTGTAATGGTGCTGCTGCTCCTGCCGCTGTTGTTGCCGCTGCTGGAACTCCGGTCGCAGGAAAAGAGGCATCTAAGTGGCCCTCGCTAGGTCAGCGATTGAGCCAGAGCCGAGGAACTCTCGAAGCGACGACGGCGCGTACGGCGACAGCTTCTTGACGACGGCAGACCCACTGTTGCTGCGCGGCGATAATTGCTCGCGTATTAACGACTCGCGAGTACGTGCTGCGGCGAGAATTATGTCTAGTACTTACGTACCTGGCTGCTCGTTCATCGATGAGCGTTAATTTAAGTGTCGACAGCGATCTCAAGGATTCTCAAGGGAATGGCTTTTACAACATACTTATTCGACAGTCTCGATCCTTGAAATCCAACCCAACCGCGATGCCAACCGCCCGGGCTCTGAATCGAGTACAAGCGGCTGCAAATTGATCGTTTGAGGAGTACGAGGCAACGATGAATCACCAGCTATAGCGGCAGCGGCTTAATATGTATGGACAATCGACTGGTAGCAGTGCACTTAACAGTTGTGTTTTCGAATTAGTCTTCACTCCAACAGCTGCGCAGTTTCGTCGACTGGCTCATCGCTTACTGACACTTACTGGTCACTGGAGCGAACTCTACAGCCACTGACAATGATCTTCGCTCAAAGGCTCAAACTGTTTCCACGCACAGCCTTCACAGCTATCCCTATAATCTACTTGCATCTTTCGTGTCTGTAAGTGCAGTCAGCAGCACTACTGGCGTGAAGACGACGCTCGATAAAACTCATCTGTTGGGAATTGATTAGAAGTGAGCGGAGTGAATCAGCGTTGACCAAAAAAAACGGAGATTGCAGTACATACATGTATGATCCGTAGTTCTAGCCAGTAGACTCCCCCTCTCTTTGCCGCTCGCTTTTACGCCCGTGCAATATATATACATATGGACAGAGCCAGAGTCGCGTCACATCTACCTACACACGGTAACATTCTCACCTACGTTCTTTTTATATACGCATTGCCCCGTTTGCATGTGTACGTAAGTGGATGCGCGCCAATACTTGATTTGACCGACTAGAACAAAATCCCCTAAAATTATTAATGAAATGTATGATACACTTATTTATTTAACGATTAATTACAAGTTTGTGCACACGTATATAAAAATAAGTATATGATAATTTGACTAGAATCTTACCAATGCTAATTGAAATCTGATTCTTTGACTTACTGAGAAGTCATCATTTATCAGTAAAATATCAGTAAACATGATTATTACTACTTACACGTATAAAAACTAAATACAAAAGGACAAAATAATTTTTGAATACCATGGTCGAGCCAAAAAGCGTGGTTTCGGCCACGATGCATTCTTTATGATAGTTCTTTACAATTTACATGAGGGTTTATGGAAAGTATTCATTATAGTTATTGTTAAACTTATTTTTTATATTTCATCATAGTATCGTACAAATTTATAAAAACACATTGCAATCACACAAACTGATAAATATACATTTTACGTGAAAAATCAGCTGACTTTTTAGCTCATGACAGACTAGATGATAGCGTTTCACACATTCTTTGGCTTTTTAACAATGGCACAATTTTAAAAATCTACATAGAGATAAAAAATTATCGCATAATTGATCGGTTAACATTCAAAGCTTTATCAAAAATATCATGGAAAAAATTGCTTATAGTCTGTCGGTATTTCAATGGTATTACATGATTGCGTTAATTTTAATATTCATAGCTCTTCTTTTTCATGCACTGAGTCAGACGTATCTGTTGATATTAAAACCGAATTTTCCGTGTCACTTATATATCCACTATCGCCTGTATAGTGAGTCGGAAATATAATGAGCGGTTCGGCTGATAGGGCTATCAAATTTCTATTTTCATAGTATCCTTTCCAATCGTCCCTAAAACATTTTTTGGTTGATTATTGCTTTTAATATACAAACGAATTTTCATATTTTAGTTATTACCTTGGGTGCTGATTATACATTATGGGCAGATACTCATCAACGGGCACTAAATTTTCTAATGGTTTCGCATCGATTAATTTCTTAGCACCTTTTGCAGACAATAAGTAACCTACTGTCCAATAGCTATAGCCTGCATAAACTAAATATTTGGAACCTTCCACCCTAGTTTCTGAATCCTTTTGCATTCGTTTTCTACCGACGTATCTAAATATAAAATGCGCGAGTCAGTTTAATTATGTCAAAATAATTACACTGACTTGTGACTCACGATGAACATATTCTTTCAAAAAGTACTTACACCAAGTCATAATCACTTTGAAATTTCTCAAGTTCTTGCAAAATATATTGAACTTTTTGCCTAAAATATGGTTCAAATCTAACGTCATCTTCCAAGACTAATGCATTGCTATGCTCATCTTCAACAATCTGTAAAAATTCAATAAATCAATGTACTTTGAACAAAACTTAAATTAAAAAAACATATTTACTCTGTTCCAAACGATGTAATGACTCAAAAAGCATCCTACTTCTCCCATTGTCATTGGCCTATAAGGAAAATATTCTTTAGAACGACCTAGATTTCCATTTTGTATTATTTACCTTTTATGATATGGATCCTCATAGCTTGGCATCATTTTTATATTCCATGCATTTAATAAACTTTCATTTAAAGTTCTAAAACATGAAATTGAAACAATATTCATTAAACATTATTTTGATGCATCCACTTCGCATTACCTTCCATCGACAGCATCAACAATTTCGACACTTATACCGAGTTCATTGAAGCATGTTAACATTCTCCTACGACGTTCAGGACGTCTTACCAAGTTGATCATATATACATTGCTAAATCCTAATTTATCTTTTTTAGGATATTGAATAAATCTCTTTAAAACATTAGATATTACTATTGATTCTTGATCTTCTATAAAACAAATAGTTAAGTGAATCTAATAATACTGTAAATAGTTATCAAGTGCACCGTACCAGTAGCTAACATTTCAAGTTTTATGTTCAAAAGTTGCTGGTAGTCGTGATCAATAGTATCTTGATTATCCAAAGGTACCATAATAAAACCATATGGTTCGTCATTGCAAATATGCATTTTTACTCCTATTAAAATTTGTCATGGAAAAATTATTGTAGAACTGATTTATATAGAATCATTATAAATAATATAACAAGTTAACCAGAGATATTTGCTCCAAGTGCAAATGTGATAATGTCATCTCTTGGTCCATTGTACAAAGATAAATTTTCAGAATCATATGTCAAAGAGTCACTGACAGTTCTTTTAAGATCTATTAATACTGCACTGTGGACCATGGGTACAGAGAAACACCCAATTTTTTCTCTTGTTAAAATTGGTTCATAATCATCAGTTCTTTTGTAATAAAAATCTGATGACATTCCTGCCCAAAAATTACTGTATAGGCCATCTGATTTTAACAATGGTGCAACAATAGTTTTATTTTTTGAAATTAATAAGTCCAATGTTTCAACATTAGTCAAGAAAACATCTACATCCAGCATCTATAATACATTAAAATAATATTATATTAGAATACGTGCATTTTTTAAAACAAGAATATATACATACAAATACATAATCTGCCCAAATTCTTCTTGCATAGTTGAGTATATTTTCCCTTAGTTTGATTATGTGTTCAAATCTTTTTGGACTCCACTCAGCAAAGCTTTTCTCATCTTCATGCCCATAATTCTTTCTATCCAAAGTGACATTAACAGAGAAATAATTGTTGCTTTGTTCATTTAGCCATGTTTCTAATACTTCAATAGTGTTATCAATGTTATTATCACTATGAATCCTACAACATTGACAATCATTTTAATTGAATTATTTTTATTTTTTAGATTTTCAAAGCTTACCATAACGCTAATCGATTTTTAGGATAATTGAGATTTTCTAAAAGACTCAAACTGTAAGGTAACACATGAGCCTTGTTTCTTGCTAAGATTCCGATTAAAGCCGTCGGTTTTTTAAAAATTGTGCTAGTATATGAATCTTTTATAAATATTAAAAGAATGATAAATAGTAAGCAGATAATATGGCACTTCATTTTAAATGTTAATGAAAAAAGTAATGTTTACAGCATTTTTAATTATTGCACTCTATTGGTTTTAAGTATAATGAAAATAAAAACTCCTACAATTACGAGTTAAAGATGAATATCACTGTTCTGTATTTATATGGCAAGTAAAGTATTTAGATTAGGTTATATTATACTTGGAAGTTGGAACGATGTAATACATAAGTACACTAAACCTTTATAGACCGACTGCTGATGGTGCGTGTGTTGTAAATAATCGAATAAATGAAATAAAAGATATTTGCGTTTGCTTTTCATCAAATACAAGTTAAGGTATGTACCGTTTCCTTTCCATTCATGAACAACTATATTTGTTTAATGTCTAGAATATTTTGAATTTAGATCACATAACCATGGTCAATTTAGGAATGACGACTTTTCTGTTATCAATTAATCGACGTTTGGTTTTACCAAGTATTTCATTTTTAACAGCACAAAGATATAATTATAACATGACGTCGTTTTATAAAGTCCAACAAAATGAAAAGGCAGATGTAATAATCATGTCAAAGAGGAATGCAATGCATTGGCCTAATTTGTTAAAAAAATCTAAAATTATGTATAAACTTAGACTTGTTGGATCATTGCTTTATGAAAATATAGCTGACGAAATAAATTATAATGAGTTTTTTCAAAAATTTGAAATGGAAGATACTTTTCTCTCGTGGTTTTTAATAACAGAAGTACATATTTGGATGATGGCCTTACGAATCATGCAAGAAGAAGAACATGGTTTGGTTTTGAGAAATCACCTCATCGAAGCTATGTGGAATGATGTGAAAATTCGTTCAAAAAAACTTGGAATAATTAATACAAAAGTGATGAATCAGCAACTCGAATTATTATCACAACAATTTAATGCATCGCTTGTAGGATATGATGATGCTATTTTCTCAAATGATACATTACTAGCAAATCATATTTGGACAAGGTTTTTCAATAAAAAAACAACTAATCCAGTACAATTAGAACAACTTGTAAAATACATTAGAAAACAGGTAAATTTACTGTCAAAAACTAAAACAGCAGATATTTTTTCTATAAATCCATCAGTTGCTTGGATCAGTCTTTAAACTCAATAAAAAATTCTATGCACTTGTTCATGATATTATCAGTTGATTTAAATTATTAAATATGTTTAAATAATACATTAATCATTTTATAATGTATATAAAAGTGTAACTTGTAGACTATGATTTAGATAGAAGAAAGATAAATGTATCTTATAATTTTTTTATTGAAATGTAAATATATAAATAAGAAAATCTATACAAAATGTACTATTAACTTTTTAATTTATCTATACACATCTCAATACAAATACTAACAATAGTTAAAAATATCAAAAAATATTTATTGCATAATCTTAATATATACAACAATATGTTCAAAAACTATTTTGTTTAAAAAATAGAATCATTAGGAATGACGGCTTCAAGTTTTTCTTCTTCTATTTCTTTTTTTATTTTTTTCTTCACAGCATAACTTAGAGTAGACTTGTCAAAATCAAGAACCATTATACCCAAATCACCACTAAAACGATTTTTAGCAATCTGAAATTCAACAAATTCAATCACTGAGTGATTAAATACCAATCAAAATTATAAACGAACCTGTAAGTATTTTTTTCCTTTGATACTCGTTAGCCTTTTATCTTGAACAATTAAAATATTATCTGCTTCTTGACTAGCTTTTGCTCCACCAAAAATTGAAGCAGTTGTTAATTCCCCATCATCGCGTTCTTTTCTTGGATGGATAACTAGTGATACATGACAGTTGAATTTTGTTGCAAATGTTCTGAATGATGCTATAATTTTATCTTGCTTCCAAAATCTAAATGTTTTTATAAATCTTTAGTACAAATACTAAAATCATTAATAAACAAGTTTCTTTCAATACCTGTCCATGTATTTTGGTTCATCTGACATGCCCATCATAAATTGTATATTGTCAATGATCACATGACCAATATCATGCACATAAGTAGCATGTTCTATGGTCTAAAAAAATAAGACATACTTAAATTTTGGTAACAAACAAATTAGTAATACAAATCAATTGAAACTACCTCCATTACATCCTTGATATCTTGTTGACCATGAAATGTCATAAAGTAAATTGGAAGCTTTTCAAACTCATTAGCAAATGAGTCAAATTTGTCTAAATTTTGATCTAACGGTACACCAGTCATTTGTTGTAACATAGTTTGAGCTAATCTTGCATTTCTTATTTCAAAGCTTCCCCATAATGTATTAACACCTTGCATTGCCAAGTCTAGTGAATATTCACTCATGAATGTTGTCTTACCACATCCTAACAAATTATTTACAAATTAAAACTTAAACTGTTATGCAACAACAATAAGTTTACCTGTTGGTCCTGTAAGCACTGTAAATTCTCCTCTTCTATGACCTTTTAAAATCTTATTCAAAGTTGGATATCTGGTCCATTTGACTCCTTGCACTTTATCTATATTTTGCAAATTACTCAAAACATCTTGTCTGAGATTACGAAAGGTAGTAATACTTTTGTGCCAAATTGGTTGAGCATTTTGAATAATTTTTTTTAAATCATATCCTAAACTTGATGCAATTTTGGCTTGAGGTTGATTATCTATAGGCCTAACAAAATAACATCGTTTTTCATCAAGTTTTTTAGCAAAATGCCTTGCAGTATCCCAACTTGGCTCATCATTTCCAAACCAAAGTACAAGTTTCTTATAAGATTCCAAGCTTGGCAATATTTGCTGTGGTATATTTTGCAATCCATAAGGTAAGCATATTATAATATTGGCAGCTTTTTTTGTAGCTAAAGCTAATAAATCTTCAACATATGGCACAAGGACAGCAGTTCCATCTGATTTTATATTTTTCTGTTTAAATATAAGTACACCACTTGCATTTGTTTCTGGTACTGTTTTATTGGAAATGTTATTAATACACAAATAGCCTGTAATATAATTCTGAAATGCTAATAATGGAAAGTATAGAGAGTTTGTAGATTTTTGATAATATACATTCATTTGTGACATAACTTCTTGAGGTACATCCTATAAAATCAATAATGTAGTTACAGTTATTTATAAATTAGTTTCTTATTAATAATTACCAGTAAATTAAAAATTTCAAGAACATCCTTATAATTTTCATTTCTTAATGTTTCTATCAACACAGATGTCTTTTTCAACTCATTCCATTCTTCATTATAGTTAGGCAAAGTATTTAAAGCATTTTGAAATGATTTCAATTCTTCCACAGCTTGTATTGTTTTATTGGGTTGCATTTTCTTTTCTAACACATTCCATGATCCCACTCTTTTACAAATGTCACACACAAAAAAACCTAATAAGAATTAATATTAGTAAAAAATCCTGATTGGAAATTTTTTTTAATTAAGAACTTGTTACCAGTCATTTTATTTATAAATAATTTACAATCTTTTTTCTTGCTATCACATAATAAAAAGTTTGTCGAAATACAAGCATAACCCTCCAAACAAGGGTAATTTGCTGATTTTAAGGCACGCTTAATTTCAGATAGATTAACAACAGATACTTCTCCATCCACATTGTGGTAGAATGCTTTTATTACTTTTTGACAACAATCTATTTTTCTCAAGATACTCTGAAAACTTGCAATACGCTTCAAACAAGCTGTATGTATCATATTTTTTTATTCATTAAAAAGAAGTTTTTCCAAACAAAAAATAGATAACAATATAGATTTTATGCATACTATAACATAAGCTCATAACTAGTTATTAAATAGAATTATATTTAATCATTCTATATCAGAACATATTCACTGTGTTTGTTTATAGAAACTACCTGAAGTCTTCAATCAGTTCAACCTCTGTTGAATATTGGGTTTGTAAATAAATAAAATAAATATGCAAAGAATCACTTCTAATTTTATTTTTAAGCCGCTGTAGTTGAACTTTTTACATCGGCTGACTGTTGTTATATATATATATATATATAAACAAAACCACTGTGTCTTTTAACAACGTTAACCTTTCATGTTGAAACGAAACATAAATAAATAAATTAAAAACCATTTAATGTTGATTAAAGTAAAATTCCAACAATCTCATTCAGCGTCGGAAATACTATACTTACTAAAAGAAAAAACCCGCGCGCTCAATTTTTTTCGGGTTAGATGAACGTTTAATTAATTAATTAAACCAATTGAAATTAAGCACAAAAATATTGATAAAGTCATTTGATAATAAATTTTCTTATGGCATTAACTGAACCATTTTATTTAAACTCAAACACGTGCTATTTTCGCATTCTAGACAGAAATTTACATTACCGACGCCAGCTGTTTATGCTACTACACATATAGATATAATAATTGACCACACTATTGCCAGAGCGAGTATCAAATTGTCACACTTTGTACTTTGTTGAATTTCGTAATATTACTTCTTTAATGATAACAGTAGGTAAAGAACATTCATTCAACATTGTTCTATTCAAGCACGAATTACAAATAAACATTCGTATCTCATTCATAAATTAGTTTCTACCATTTTTGTTATATTAATAATTCTAATTAATTCAAATTTATTTACAATCGAGTATTTTGTGGTTTAAAATGTTTAAAATTGAAAAATCAATATTCATATGACAAATTTTGGGTATGTTCATGTTGATTGATATAAACGTGATTATGTAACCACAAACTACGTAAATATAAGTTTGTAACCTTAAAATTGTAGTTAAAAAACTGTGAACAAAAAGTAGATTTATTTTAAGATGTATGTATAAATAAGAAAAATTTTGTATTTCAGTTTGATGGGTGCATCAACATTTCGCAAATTATATAAGAAGTACGCTGCTGTTGTCATATTTCCAACTGTTTCTTTCTACCTGATATACAAAGATTACAGTCATACTCAAAAGTGGAAAGCCACTTTGGCACTCAACCAGCAAACTTAAGTGCAATAATAAATAAAAAATGGTGAAAGTAGTGAAAATTAATTATTTCAAAGACCTATACCTCATGATGGCAATTCCATTTATTGGATATTTCATTGGTACTAAATTAGATCATATGGAAGATGAAAGATTGTCTCGATTCAGAGATAAATCAAAACTTTATGGAAAAGATATTCCACCTGCTGTACCGTCATGGTAATTGTAATAGTTGAAAGTGTAAGTTTTAAGAGATGTTATCTCCAGTTTGTATAATTAATCAATAAAGTCCTATGGAAATTGAAAAAATCAATTTTTTCAAGTTTAATATGTAAGCTCAATGTACCACTAGTTATGTTTTATAAAAATTAATTTCATTTCTACGTGGTAATTGCTTATTGTAATAATAAAATTCACAAGTTGTGAAATAAGTTTTTTTAATAAAAGTTTAACATTTTTTTAATAAATTCATCAACATTGTTTTTATGTACAGCTAGCGAAATATGGAAAACTTTTTATGACTACTTTCTTTCTTTTTTAAAACTTTCATTGATTTAGTTGTATTTGTCTGCCTATTAAAATTTTCTTTTTCTGGAAGATTTTCTATCAGCATTTTTTTTGTTGCTAAATTATAAGCTTTTCTTTTCTTCATCAGCCAATCATCTGTATTTTCACTCCAAGATGTTGGTCTTTGTTTTGATATAGAATTAATTTTCACTGCTTTATGTGTAGGTTCCAAATTAAGATATGAATAACATTTTTGATTTATCAATTCTTTCAAATCAGGATTTTTCATTTCAACTTCAGAGCTTTTGTCAATTGGTCCATAATTTAAAAATTTTGTTGTTTGATCTTGAGAGGCCAGAATATTTTCACTGATTTTTTTGAAAGTTTTCTCTTCTATTTGATTCAAAAAATTTCGTTCGCTTTTCTCTGTCAAATTAATAAACTTCGGTTGAGTGGCATTTTGCTCTGATTTTGGTCTTCTTTCACTGGCTGATCTCATGAATGCTGTTGGTTTTTTTAATGCTCCTGGATCAAATTTTTTTGATGTTATCACAAATGATGAGTCTCCAATATCTGCAGATAATGTTGAATCCAGATCGTCATACTTTTTTTTCTGTTGAGTTTTGTATCTTGACCGTACACTATTTTCCTTGTCTAATTTATCTGAAATTAAAGAGCTTTTCATGCTTAGAGGATTTTTGAAAATATGCTCATCTTTATTTTCTAATGATATTTTTGAATTGATCTGTGTTGGTAAATAAGAGGGATTTGACAAAATTTCTCTAGAATTATTTGAAAATTTAGATTCATGAGCTATGCTTTCAGAACTTGAAGTTTTCTTACATCGCTTAGCATATAATTCTGCTTGTTTCATTTTGTCCTTTACAAGTCTTTCCAGAATTCTCAATTCTTTTTCTTTCTTAAACAAAAGCCTCTCTCTAGACTGCAAAGCAACTTCTTTATCTTTCAATAATGTTTCTAATTTTCTAAGAGCATCCAGCCTCTGCATCCAATTTTCTTTAAATATTTCTTCACTTACATCCTCTGGTCGTTGAGTGCTTGGTAAACAACCATCTTTATTTCCGTGACAGCAAAACTCTGGTGTGCTATCATCAAAACTCTCATTACCCTCTACAATTGATTTTAAACTACTTGATTTTTTAGGCAATTTTGGAGCTACTATACCAAAAAATCTATATTTTGAACTACCTAAAATCCAATTAGCTTGTGGTACATCATAATTATTGTCATTATTTCTCTTATTTAGACTTGCCAAAGTACCAACAAATGGTTCATCATAGATTGGTTCTTCAATTTTCAAAGTAGCTTTTGCATATTCAGTTGTTGTCTTTTCACTTTTTATTTCAATATTTGTCTTCTTTCCAGAAACTATTATTTCATCGTAAATGTGTTCATTGATTTCAAAAAATACCTCGGAAAATTCTGAAACAGATTCTTTGTTTTCAGTCTCATTTTGTAAACTATTATCACAATCACTTTTTTTATCATCTTCGACAATTCTTGGTAGAATTGTTCCCTCTAATAAAGTAGAAGATTGATCTTTAAATTTATTAGCAAGTTTAACATCATCTATTTGGTTGATTTCAAGTTCAGTTTTGTTATTAACTGGTATTATAAAAGCTTCTACCCTGTATTTTTTCATTTTATTTTATTATTTGTTTTATATTCATGCTGTAACTAAAAAAATAGTCCAATTAATGTTAAGAATAAATATTTGAAAGTTGAATAACTCACCAAGACAATATTTTAGTTTAAAAACCTAATTGTCAATGATTATTTTTAGAAACAATATTTTCATAACATTTTAGATTTGATAATAACGATTCTCATATATTTTATTTATTCTGTAAATTGTACAATGTTGATAATGGAACGTACTTGAAAAGGAAGTTCGTAAGTAACTACAGTTCAACTCGGTTGAGTCTATCACTTGAGTAAATAAACCGAAAGAAATAAACGTCTTGAGCAGTTCGACGTCAAGTGCACCTTGAAGGAATGCATAGTAATCTTACAAGCGTAACGGCCACCGGCTGAGCCAACCTGCGACGCCACAGTTAGACCCTTTTTCAAATCGAGAGACCTGCGCGCGCGGCAGGTAAAGCGCAAAGAAATATTTAAATACCCACGAACACTATATAACGTGGAGACTATATAGCGCTACAGCAGCCTGCTGGCCTGCTGCTGAGCATGAATTCTTTTTCACCACAGTGTTTATAAATATGACCATATACATTTCAAGCTGTTGTTAAGTTTTCTTTTCTTTAAATATATCGGTTTTAAAGCTTATTGTATAATATTATAAAGAAACATATCGAGATTTTGGACGCGAATAATTTTTATTCCTATGCACATTTTTTAATCAAATTGAACACTTTGAACTCTTAAAATCCATGTAATTTCTTACTTAAATTTTATTATTATCAATTGCATTCGATCAATGTTATATACAAAAAATTTCAATATTATAATTTTGAAAATTGTAAAGTTTAATTTAAAAAATGTAGATTGTGAAAAAGAAATTCTGTAAATTACTTGAATTTTCCAATAGAACATTTAATTATGAGTAAATGTATGTAATTAAGCTTTTTTAAATTTTTGCAGAAGGACACAGATAAGCAGAAGTGTAAATGAGTATTAAGCCAGGAATTGAAAATCTTAAATCGCAATCCGTAATTCCGTAATAAATAGCTACGTATGAATACGGACAGATACGGACGCGAATCGCAACTCTAGTAACATCACTAAAAATATCTAGTTCGATTATTTAGTACCAACACTACCGGTAGTGAGCAAAAGTAACTGTTTAAAATTGTAGCGTCGAACGTACATACCACATTTAATGTAACGCCTATCTAACCTTTACATTATTGCAGTCTATAAGATGGCAAATGATAGAGAATTGATAGACTTTCAACTACAATTAGTGGAATTAGGCTTTAATTTTATGTAAGTACTTGAATATATGAGAAGAAAAAGAAAATATATATAAATGATATGTATTAATCATCCCAAAAGCTTTTTTTACATTAGCATACTCATCAATAAGCAATATTCATGAGAATTTGAAAAGTAAATTGTAGACTTGACATTTGAACATTAAATGTGGTACGTTCGGCGCTACAGTTTTAAACAACAGTTACTTTTGCTCACTACCGGTAGTGTTGGTACTAAATAATTGAACTAGATATTTTTAGTGATGTTACTAGAGTTGTGATTCGCGTCCGTATCCGTCCGCATTCATACGTAGCTATGGGACCGGGGTCTAATCCGCATTCCACATTGAAAAATAAATGTAATGGACAATAGATGGCACCACAAGACTGCATGAACTGAGTTATTTATAGTTTTCTGCTATCTAAATTGTTCACGTCGGTTTGGTTTTCCCCCAGAGTCCTGCGCGGCAAACTTCACCTACGCCATCTTAGTTCCAAGTCGCAGTAATATTAATTAACTAAAGCTAAAACGAAGATACAGCGGCCATTTCTAGGGAGTTAGTTTCATGATACAACTTTGTTTTGCTATAAAATTAAATAGTGAATCAAGTTTTTGCTACACTCCTATGATTTTGGACAATCTTATCCCTCTTAACTCAATTATAATCTTGGACATTTCATCACTTTCAGTGAACGTGAAAAAAACTATTGCTTATATAGTGATTCGAGTAGGGAGTTTTGATAATTTTTAAAAAGTTCAAATTCCTTACTTAAACTTGTTTAGAGATAAAAGTTTGAAATTCAATAATGAACTCGGAACAAATTGGAGAAAAAGTTGAAGACATTGATGATACAGGAACAAAACCTGTACGCCTGACACCTACTGGAAAAATAAGTCATGCTAAAACGCGTGTTTATACACAGCGATATCGAAAAGAATGGGAGAATACACCTGATTTTAAAGGTAACTTTAATAAAATTTTCGTAGAATATTTAGAATCAAAACCGATTAGTATGATCACGATTTTGCTCTGCAGATTGGCTTACTTCGGTACCATTTCAAGCTACACGAGCCTTTTGTAAATTTTGCCAGCGAAATCTTCATGCTCATCGACTTTCTTTATTGAAGCACATGTGTACTTTGAAACACCAAAGAGCAGCTGTACAGTATGCCAAGGTATTGTTTCAACTTAAATAAATCATTCATGTAGCCACAATTTACATTTATACAATACTCTTATGCAGACACAAGAAGATCATAATGGTCGAGGAACACAAGATACTACAAACAGTAGTCATGAGCAAATTGATACTGATGATGAAGAAGATGATGATAATAATTATGAAAATGTAACTTATGTTCATGGTGATGATGAAGAAGATTTTGAGGAGCACGAAGAAGAAGTTATAGAGTCAGAAAATGATGTAGAATTACCAGCTTGTAAAAAAATAAGAATCCAAAATGTAATGTTTGAAAAATTTATCTTAATTCAGTTCATGTTCTACAGTTTTTATTTTTAAATTGATACATTTATAGGATGATGGTCAAGACACTTTGGTACAAGCTATAGCTAATGCTCATCCTGATTTACTTGATGAAAATAATGAAGAAATGCAATTTGAAATGGTTAATGAAACAGATTCCGTTAATGATATTCCAGTCAAGCCATTTCATATTGTGAAATGTGAAAGTTTACTGGAAGATCCAAAATCAGATGAAATAGATGTAAATAGTAGAAGTACCAATAAAGTAAGTAATATTTTTTATAGTAATCGATAGATTTTATTGAGAAAGTTTAAAATAAATTAATTTAAATTAGGCTAAAGAATCTGAAGTAATATTTGCCACAGAGCTAAATAAAACAGCTGATTCTACATTAGTAGATTCTGGAATAGTTAGCAATTCACTACATGGTAAAAAGGTAATTTTACTGTCTACTGGTGGTAAATCTTTCACTGTATTGAAAGGCAAACTTCCACAATTTTTATTAAATCAATCAAAGAGTAGTAGTACTGTAAAACGAGAAAAAAATGAGTTGAAAACAACTCAAGACTCAGAAACAAACAGTATTTATACGTTTGCTAGTACAAGTCAAGAACTTACAACTAAGGTAATGAAAAATTCTTATTTTCATAAATTGTGATGTTGAACATATATAAATTTATATTGAAAACGATTACGATCGTTTATTTCAGCATAATTATTCAAAAACATTAGCAATGACAACAAAGTCTATTTTAATGAAAAAACCTATCATCAGTACAAATGTTATAGAAACTAGTAAAGGTATTCCAGTCAGTGGATTACAAATCATCTTATACAAATTGGATGATGGAAGGTGGAAAAATATACATGAAGGGTAATTGTGATCTATATAATTTTGTTATTTTAAAAAATTGGAAATACCATTCTTTTTTGTTATAATTCAACAAGTAATATTTTATTTCAGTTACACCTCTGCTAATGGGACTTATGACTTTTCAAACTCATCAAAAAATAATTTATCAGTAGGTCGCTATCGATTACATTATGACGTGGAGAAATATTACAGTTTGAAAAAAGTTGCTACAGTGTACCCTTTTATTGAGATTGTTTTTGATGTTAAAGATCCTGGTGCAACTTATAATATACCACTTTTGATGAGTCCATTCAGTTATAGCACATTTAAAGACTTCCCTAGATAAAACGTGTAAATGAATAGATAACATAAAATTAACTTTTGCATATGTTAGGCCATGGGAATTCGATTTAATATTTCCATTATGATGTTTAAGTAAAAAAATAGTATTTTTTTATGAAAGATGTATATATTTATGTTATGTATAGTATATGGCCATTTAACAAATAACGAATATTGTTATTTATCATTTATTCATGAATCTACTTTGACGTCGAATATTTAATAAAACTAAGATGTTATGTATCTTTTTTTATCTTGAATCTCAATTTTTTACCGATCGTGTGGGAGCCACAGGTCAAAATATCTATAGCTAACATGCTGCTGTATATTGTCATTCCAACCTCAAAAGTGCATTTTGAAGACTCCATGATTCTAATATATTTTATAAAAACTAACACTTTTACTTGTTAGCTATAAATGTTCTTAATTACAAAATATCAACTCATATATTGGATACAAATAAAGGTCGCCCAGTGGCAGATATACTCGTCAAGTTTTACAAAGGGAACAACGATATGAACATGAATGAAGGTGCGAAAAATTTATTATTATTAATGAAATATAGAATTTTTCCTTTTGTTTGCATGAAATTTGGATTTGTAAAGAAAAAATTTTTATTTTTGTGGAATTCCCAATGTGATTAATTTGTAATAAAAATATATTTTAATTAAGAAATTTCATTTTTATTTATTGGAAAAGTAAAAACCGAATTTACAAGATTAACTAATTATCAAAACTAATAATTATTAATTGTCTGTAGCAGTAATGCCTCAGAAATGTTGTTACGTAATATCGGTAAGAGTATTTTCAACGTATCTTGTTTGGTAGCACAACGACATGTTTTGAAGATCGCTATTTGATAACCACAGTAGTTTGCAAATAGTTTAAATCGAAAGTTATAATTTAGCAGGAGAAGTATAGCGAATGGAAGATGAGCCGATTTTCGCTCGAGTAGCGAAGCGATGACCGTGCGCACTTAAAAGTTGCTGTTTGAAAGGAGAAGCTATTACAGTCGTCTGGGCGAAAAGACCGTGTACCCGTACATTGAAATAGTTTTCGATATCAACAGCCCCGAGGAGCATTATCGCATACCTTTGTTGTTGAACGCACACGGTTATACAACGTATCGAGGATCCTCGGCTGTACTACTTTCGTCCTTATCGAATGTGTGCATATGACATGACCAAATAAAAGCAGACCCGGTCGAACTACTGACCGCACGTTTGTTCAGCGAAAGCCATTTATTGTCAAAGTACAAATGGAGATAATAGACATAATGACAGTTGGTTATTTGGGAGGCAAGTACTTTCGGTCGCCATCCCCACCTGTTGCGCCCGTGGCTTTGGTTGCTCCAGCGGCGGCCTTGCCCGGGCCTTGCCCGGCGGCGGAGCCCCTGGAACCAGCGGCGGCGGCAGCTCCCGCGGGCCTCGAGGATGGTCCGCCCCCGGCACCCGGCGCGCCGATGGAAAAGCTCGCCTGATTGCCGTTCTCGTCGGCCATGTATCTTGAAAGGGCAGCGACATGAGCAGCGGGCGCTCGCGACCAGCGTGCACCCATAAGATTGCACTTACTTGAAGGAGACGGGCAGGCCCTCGGGGCTGTCGTAGCCGAAGTTGCCGACGACCACCCGCACGCTCTCGCCGTTGACGTCCTTGAAGGAGGCGCTCTCCTCGCGCCGCACGCCGTCCGGGGGCCGGGCGGCGCCGGCGCCGGCCGCGGCGGGCCCTGGCTGGGCCGCACCCGCCGGGCCGATCAGCGAGACGTGCGCCGGCGGCCGGCTGGCGCGGCGCGCCTGCGAGTCCGCCGGCGGCAGCAGGCTCGTGTCGGCCGGAGTCTGGCCCGAGGGTCGGACGCGCAGCCCGGCGAGCAGCCGGTCCAGCGGTGGCGCCAGCGAGCGCGCGTCCGCCGAGGTGCCGGCCCCGGGCGAGGCCCTCTGCCCGGCGCTCAGCCTCTCGGCGCAACCCAGCGCCAGCGCGCTCGCCACCTGCCAACAACGCTCTTTGCTAGGCCTGGCCACTTGGGCGCAGCGGACTCGCACTCACTAGCAGCAGCTGCAGCTTGCCGATCCGGCCCATCGTGCGGCTTCGGGTGGAACTCGTCGACCGCGCGCGACACTCGGCACTCGGCTGTCGTCGGGGAGGCCTCGCTATATATACCTAGCGGGTCGCACTGCTCCCTCGGCGGAGACAGTCGCGGGGGCATGCCATCCCCTCTATCCTTTGAACTCTGAGCGCGCGCACGAGAAGGATCGGTTGATCGGCTCTGCTCCCATGCCCGATATGCATCTACACATATTCGCGTTCTCCGCCTGCCCCGCACGTGTCTATTCCATTTTCGAATCACGACTCCAGCCTGCATCTCACCTGCAGTGCTCGTCGCTCGTTTGCACAAGCCGCGGATTAGCATTTTCAAGCAGATATCCTTTCGCAGCGGAGAGCGTGCAGATTCCGGCGAGTTGCAAGTGAACGAGGAAAGTCGCGCGAGCAGTAACGCACCAGCTGGAGATGCTCGGGTGTACGCGTCGTTGCGAGCGCGACAGAGGCGCTTTGTCTAGGCGACGAATCGATGACACATCGCAAACAACGGGACGGAGCGGATCAGGTGTGCTGGCGAGTTGACGCTGCGAGATGTTATCCGCGGCACGGAACGTTCGAATCGCACGCCGTATATGGCGCCGACAGGCGCGGAACTCATTATAGCTGACCCGCGCAAACTCGCGCGAGCATCGGGATGCGAGTGCACGCGAACGCAATTCTCAATTCACCCCCTCGCGACGAGTCACCTGTCGCGCGCGTTCCCGCGACTCGCGCCAGAAGCCCAGCCTGCGCCTGCCCGTATTGTCTTCTCAGACTTGTCCCGCTCGTCGCTAACGACACCTTTGCCATTTTTTCATCACCTCCCCTCTAGGTCGAACAATGCCCCGATAACTCTTGCGCATTTTTCAGCCCGCTTCTGATTGTTTCACCTTTATCCTCGGCGTATCTTAATTTTCCGTCTAGCCTTGGTGCTCCCTTCTGATTGTCCTAGGCGCTCGCAGCGAGCGGCGGTCGTTCTCCTTTTCTTTCTCTCTTTACGCAGCGCCAGTCCGACGCAGCCGGAGTGAATCGAAAGAATCTATCGAGGAGGCACGGCCGAGGCGTTTTTTCGGCAATAAATCAGAGCGCGCGGAGCGTCGTGCAGCAGCCGCGCGCGCGTGATCGTCGACGCGATCCCGCGCCTCCGCGCGTTTTAGCCGACTTTTCTCGATTTTTTCGCGAAAACTAGCGAGCTCAGTCGCGGCTGCCGCTTGCGATCGGGTGCGACTCGGTCGACTAGTTACGCCGCGCGAGATCCTTTCCACGCGTCCATTGTTTCGTTGGCAACAACTGTCACTGCTGCACATTCTGCACGAGCAGTTGCGTAACAGCGAGGCATCCGAAGCACTCGCGCACTCATTAGCGCTAATTTTACTCGGATCGATGCGCGGCTTAGACAGACGGCGTTTGACGTTTCGCGCTGTGCGGCTTCAATTCGGTGGAAAACGGAGGGAGCGGAAAAGCAGGTCGGGGGAGCTCTGAAGGACAAACGAGCTGTGCCCAGCTCGAGTAAGAATGTAGACGATTGTTTTTTAACAAGACATTTAATATTTGTTTAATATCCGTAAGCTCAGCAGAATCAACAGTTGCGCGGGATAGATGTTACAATAGTTTGCTTCGTTTACTCATTGAGGTTGCTCTTCGTGCGAGCACCTTCGCCTCCGCGAAAACTCGAAAGTCTAAAATAGTCAATGGTCATCTATTCACGCCACTTCGCTTGTCGGCTGTAAAAACAGTAATTACATGTCCCACACCTACTGGCTTTTCCTCTCGTCACCAATCCCAATTGTATTTTCTTTTGTTTTTCGCTACTCGTATAAATCAGGCTTTCGTGTCCGCAGCTACAACGTACATACAAAAAAGGTAAATAGCAGTTACGGCGCAGGCGTGCGATCCTCGTTCTAAATTCCGCGCAATTTTATTTTCGTCGGTAAAAAATCTTTGATTCGACAATGCTCGTTAAAAAGGATTATCGTTATACCTACGACATTCCCAAGACATCTGAGATCCCTTACGTTGGTGGCGGTGGTGCTTTCGCTGGTCATCGACAAACCGATGACGATTCGCACGCTTTGGCTCGGTATCTTTGAATCACGAGGTTCAATGTACAATTTGTTGCCCTCTCTCCTTGATTCGTGCCTTTTCCTTCGTTTCGCGAGAATAATCGAGGAAACAACGGTCATCACGCGTGAAATTGGTGGTCAAGGAGGACCGAAAACGAATAGGAATTAATCAAGCGGCAGCTTAGGTAAAAACAGACAGCAGTCCCGCGGTCCAGCAGCCGCGTATTACGGCTATTCAAGCATAATATCACTAACGAATGAGTTGCAGGACCAATCGATTGGTCGGTTCATAATAAAAATCCGATAGAGTGCACATTATGCGGCATCATTACTGAGAGTCATACTCGACCGAACTAGAAAACCGTTGTAATAGCGCTGAACGTGTAATTAAAAAATCTGACAGCTTCAAAAGAGTCTAGGCAGTTATGTATATACATATACATAGAGAGGTTTAGATTATATTTATATATGTATATTTATATATAATATTGTGTACGTATCGATGCCAGTCTGTGTACGCATTTACTCTTTACATGCATTATACTCGTAATATTTACGCGTGATGCGGGACAAGTAGGTACTGAATGTAAAAGGAATCCAGCGGCGTAAACATTTCATTTCTTTATTTTATTTCCGTTTTCATTTTTGCCCTACGCGACCGTCTCAATTTTTAATCGACACGCAAAAAACCACGCGTGCAACGCCAACTGCTGCGCCACTCAACTTGTAATAGAATCTTCGAAAATTGAAAAACTTGATGTATCAGCCGTGTCGTTGAAAAATCGAGACGTTTCGTCTACGTACGTATACATATATATATGTGTGTGTGTGTGTGTGTGTGTGTGTGTGTGTGTGTGTGTGTGTGCATATATATATATTGATTTATTTACTCGTTCATTTATTCATATAAAATAAAAATAAACAGATCGAATCCGTTGGATTGTTACGCGGAGCTAGGCTTTTGCACCAGCATGAGCGTTCGCCGCGTCGGTGAGAGGAATTGGAGATTGCCGAAAACGAGTACAATGATAGCGGAAACGAAAGGTCTACGTGCGCGCGCGCGCGCGCCTCGTCTACGTAGCTTGCATTTTTGGTCAAAGGACGAAGAAAGAAAAATAATAAAATAATCGTACGCTCGGCGGCAGCCGCCTAGGAGCTGCCTCGACTTGCTTGCTTGCGACTAATGCTTCGTTACGTTATAATTTGTGCACCAGCAGCAGTTTGGAGGGCGTAGCACGGAGGAGCGTCCCGTCTCGAGCGCTGCGATGGCTCGCAGCCGAGGAGCAAACAAAGAGGAACAAGTATAAAAACGCAAGAACTCGGGCGAGCACTGTACGGCAATGCGGCTCCTCCGCGTCCGCGGCATCGCCCGTTCTTCGTGTCTCCGTCGCTTCGTTACGTCGCCACTGCAAAGTTGTCCTTTTGCCGTTAGTATGGTGATAGCTGTCGCAGTGTGAACATATTTACAAATGTACGCGCCCCGGTGTCTCAAAGAATAGGCGTCGGGAAGCGATTTGCCGTTGGTGCGCGACCGCCTGTCCAGATTTCACTCTGTCGTCTCGCATAGAGCGCGCGCGTCCGTGTGTGTGTGTGTGCGCGCGTGTGTGTGGGCCCGTGTTTCGTAAGTCGCCGCTGGAAGAGACAAGTAAAGGAATGATCGTACGCCCGTTGGCACTCGTCCGTTAACGTCGCTCGCGTCCGTACCGACGACAATGGCAAAAGCACTTGAGCTATTATAGATAGCTACGTATTATCTGTATCCTCGTATCTACAATATCATTCAATAGACTGGTCGGTGGTCAGTGGCGGCGGCGACGAGCTCCCCGTCTCGCCGCTGGCGGCCAGGCGCTCGCGCCCAGCGGCCGTCGCCGCGAGCCGCGCCGAGGCGCCGAGAGTCGCGGGGCGTTGCTGGCCGGGCCACAGGTTACTGGAGCACGCAGCACTTGCACTTGGGCTTCTTCTTGAGGGTGACGTGCTCCACCTGCGACACGTCGCCGGGGGCCTGGGCCGTCGACCTGCCCACGTCCACCTGGCCCGAGCCCTGCAAGTCCGACAGAGTGAGGCGGCCGTCGGGAGCCGGCGGGGGCCGCGGGCGCTTACCTTCTCGCCGGCGGCGGGCTGCTGGCCGGCAGGCGGCTTCGCCGGCGCGCCGCGGGCGGCCTGGCCGTTCCCCTGGTGGCGGCTCGACGGCGGCGCGGCGGCGTCCAGCTCCGTGGCGGCCTTGCTCTCGCAGCCGGGCAGCGCCGGGGCGGTCTGGCCGGGCGTCGGCGTGATGGGCTTGCCGCCCTTGATCAGCTCCACGATCTCGTCGGCCTCGCGCGACAGGTCGCCGTCAGGCCTGAACGGGTTGTCCCAGCCGCTGTCCGTGCTGCAACAGGCAAGCGGTCGTCAACTTGCGCCGGCGTGGGTTCGCGCGCTCCGGTGCGCGCGACGGGAGGAGAAGGTCGCCGTCGTCGAGAGCCGCGCTGGCGAGGAGCCACCGGCGGGCGCCTTGCGCGACACCGACTCGCTTTTCCAGTTCGCTCGCTTCTAGCCCAAGGCCAATGCTACTCGGCTTTTTCGGTAAATAGAACGAGCGCGTCGTCGGCCGAGGGCTCGCGCGCGCTCCTCCCACGCTCCTCGACCGACGCGCGCTGCCGAGCTTTCTCGGAAGACGCGCGGAGCTTGTGCTCGCCGGCGCGGCGTAGCCCGCGTGGCCAGCCACTCGGTCGCGCTTCGATCGCCGAACGACCAGCCTCTCTCTCGGCTCGCGGCGAGAACGAAGACGAGGCCGAAAATGCAGGACAAGGGCCGTGGAGTGGAGGCGAGAAAAGCCGAGCGCGCGAAGAACGGACAAAGGCGGAGGCCGTGGGGAGGGGAGCTGCAGCGCCAGTGGCAGGAAAAAAGCTGGAGCATCGAAGGCGTCGGTGCAGGTCGATATATAGGCGCTGCATTGTTCACCGCTCGCCGGATATAGATATAGGCCGGATCACGGACGTCGAGTCGACGCCACGATACCTCGTGTTCGGATCCTCGACTGCTCCTTCTTTGGGCACCTTGATCACGTAGTAGACGTGACCGCCGTGACTGGTCGTCATCGCTGCTGTTGCTCTGCTACTCGGCACGACCACGTCGTCGGCGGCGGCGACTAAGCGGAGCTAGCGGTCGCACATCGCCGGCCCTCTATCGCTTGGCACGATCGACACGCGGAGCGGTATGTTTGGGCGACGAACTGCCCGAGACGCACTGGTCTACTCTCGCTACGCTTTGCTCGCGTGCTCGTACTCGCTGCTGCTCCCCACGTGGTTATTTCCGTCGCCGAATTCTTTTCCTGACTTTTGCCTCTTCTCCCCGCGCGCGCTTTCTCTCTCTTTCTCTCTTTCTCTCTCTCTCTCACTCTTTCTCTCTCTCTTCCCGCTGCCCGCGCGAGTCCTCCTCTTCTTCAGCGCTGAAAAACAGTTCCGAGTCCGTCACTTGACGAGGTTGCTTCTCCTCCGAAACAACAGCCGCACTCTTGGATTGGGCCGTTGCGCCTGGCGAGCGAGCGACCAGAGATCGCGGTGTGCTGCCGCGGCGAGGCAAGCCATTCGCGCGGACGGCGTTATCCGGGAAGCGTGGGGCCGAGCGAGAGCTGGCGAGCCGGACTGCTCCTCGGTCGCCTCGCCTAGCCGCGGGTTCATCGCACTCGGCGAGAATTCGCGAGCGACCGTGGACTCGAGAGTACGCCGCCGGCGGCGAGTCCCGCGGGTCGCAGGCGCGCGCGCGCGCGCAGGAAGCCGCGTTCCCAGCACACGAGGAATCTAGGTCACGGCTGCGACGACGCTCGCTCCTCCGCTCATTCAATTTGCCAGCTCTCGGCGCGGCCGGAGCGATCGCCAGCGACACCTGATCCCTCGTCGCGCGTCAAAGCCGCGGCGCAGTGGCAACAAGTCAACCCGATTAAGCCGAGGGCCAATGGTCGCCGAGCGCGGACGCCCGCGAGGGTGCGACGAGTCGAATTGAGCTCGTTACTCGCGAGCTAGCGACCGAGCGCGCCCGGCCAATTTGCGACGAGCCGCGATGCGCGTTTGATCAATGGGCATAGCAAGGCGCAAAGTCGACGGCCGATGGCAGGCGCGAAAGCCGTATCTTCGACCGGCAGCGGGACGGAGGAGCGCGAGACGTCACGGCTGCACGGAGCGGATGCACTCGCCGCGCGGGCACAACGGCGCGACTCTGGTCGCAAGCTCCCACGGAGCTTTGCTCGCTCGGTCTCTCACTCACTCACTGACTGACTGACTGATTAGGCGCGGACGCAGCAAGGCTGGCGTCGGTGCTGCAGCCGACGGCACGACTGACTGGCGGCGGCGGCAGCGACGGCGCTGGCGCAGCACTCGCGGCGCTCCGGTCGCCCGAGCGGCGCGAGTCCACCCACGCCGCATATCGATCCGAGCTCGCGAAAGCTTCCGTCTCTCTCTCTCGGTCGTGGCCCTTCCCTCTGCTCGCCCCCGTCAAATGCATCTCCCCGCTGCCCTCGACCGGCTTGCGCCAGGTCAGTAGACGACGCTCCGTCGCCACAGCCGGTGAACCTTAGTCTGCTATTTTTAATGAGAGGGCTTTTGTTGCCTTTCGAGCCCGTCCCGTCGTGCCCGCTCCGCATTTTCTCGATTAATAGGTGACGGCGCGCGACGCCGTGCGCGCTTTGCAGCTCCCACCTCCCCGCACCGCGCCGAGGCGTTTGCGAAATTTGGCGCGACTCCGCGAGGCAATAGCCGGCGAGAGAGATAAAGAACGCAAAGGGAAAGAGAGAGAAAGAGCGTCGGAGCTCTGTCTACCGTGTGTGCAGTCCGAGCGAAGGAGACTCGCGTAATAGACCGACCGCGATAAGCTCGATAAAACCTAGGAGCGTCTGGAAATCCGCTCTCGTCGAATCTCGCCGGCGTCGCTCCAGTCCATTCGATCAACCTCGCTCTGTCTCTCTTTCTCTTTCAGCGCGCTCTCGTCCTTGCCCGCTTTGTCGCGCTTTGTCGTCGCGCTCGCCGGGCGCACACGCGCCGAGCACGGCTACGTCACTTCCCGTCCGTCGAGCCGTGGGGTCCCGCTAATTATTAACACGAGGCGCGCGCGCGGTCAGCTGCTTACGCGCCGCCCTCGTCTTTGCACACTGCCTCTCTTCTCCGTCGCTCGCTCGCCTGACTCACTAACCGGCAGATAGTTATTATCGATCGCTCGGTCACGCCGGCAATTTCGTCCCGTATAAATAGCCGCGCGCGTCGAGCTTCGGCGCCAAGCCAAGCCAATGTCGACGCAGCGCGGGCGCGCGCCGCATGGCAAACAGAGACTCACCTGATTTGCGTGTGGTAGGTGGGCACCGTGTGCTCGGTGTGGGCGGTCAGCAGCTCCGCGGCACTGGCTGCCATGACGTCCGCCGGGGGTCCGATCGGTTCCAGCAACAGGACTCCGGGCGTAGACGGGAACGGAGTAGGCCCTCGGAACGACACCCGCACCTTTTCTCGACCCTCGCTGCGCCAGAACAGACAAAGCAGACGGATGAGCGAGCGCGCCGAGTCGGCAGCTGGGAACAAGGATCGCTGAGCGCTGCAAACGACTCAACGCGCGGCCCAATTGACGCGCTAAGCTCCCGACGCTCGCCGCGGAGAATGCCAGTTCCTTCGATTCGCCTCGAGTGGCGGACACATGCCTGCTCTTCGTGTCGGCCACAAAAGGATTGGCCCATCAATCGGCGTACGTGACCGCCTGCGGATCGTCAAAAGCACAAGTGTCGCGCCACGGCCGGCGGCCGTTTCTTCTCGACGTGCGAGTCGGTGTTCTTTGTCGTTTGCGCCCAATTGCGCGCCCGTCCGCGCCCGTCCGCGCCCGTCCGCGCCCGTCCTCGCCCGCCTCGCGGCGTCCGCGTGCGGTCAGCGACGCAATCTCGCCTCGCCACCCGCGGGCAAGACCGGTGGCCCCGGCCGCTGCACTCGACTCGCGGTCACGTGTTGCTGCAGTGGCTTCGTGCCAGTTTCCGCGCCCTGCCACCTGTTCCGTCGCCGCCCAGCCCGGAACCGTCGAACTCTGCGCTCCGGCGACGGCGGCGCACGGCACGTCGCGCCTCGGACGCGAGGAGCTCGTCCGCGCGGCTAAATCGGCGCCGAGCTTACGTCACGGCTGCTCGGCAGTCGCGCGCGCGCGCCGGCCACGCAATCGCGCGCAGAGCTGTGTTTAGGCATGCGCGCGCTCTTCGGGCGAAGAGTGCGCGCAAAAGCCAAGATTAGCCGGCCGCTCGCGACGAGCTGGAGTCGCGCGCCAGCCGTACTGTTGCGTGGCCACGCACCTGCCTGCCGGCCGGCCGGCCGGCCGATTGCGCAATCGAGCCCGACGTGCCGCTGAAAAAGGCGCCGCTCGGAGATCGGAGGCTCCGGCCACCGCGTCGATAAGGCGAGCGCGATAACCGTGACCTAGTCTGCGCGCGGACGTCGAGCGAGCGGCCAGCTCCGCTCGGTCGGGATTGCCTTATCTGCCGCTGGCTCGCTCTGACCACGTCGAAGCGAAACCAATCGACTCGCCTGATTTATCGGCTTTTTGTTAACGAGACCGACTCGCGTCTGCCAATTGTCCGCAGCCGCAGCAAATCGCCAGCGCGCGCTTCTCCGCGCGACGAGTGAACTTGACGTTCGCGTTTGTTATCGCGCTCGCTCGCCAAAGCGGCCGACAGACAGACAGACAGACGGACGGACAGACAGACAGACAGAGAGCGCGTGGACGCTCGAGCGACACGCTGACCTAGTTTGCTGTTTTTTCCGCCTCTCCCCATGGCACGGGCCGCGAGGGTGGTATTTGCAAACAATGACATCGATCTGCCTGCCGAGGCGACGAAGCGCAGAGGAGAGGCCTCGCCGCCGCTCGGTCTATACGCTACCCCCCGAGCTCCACTGGCGCGAGCTTTCTTTCGCGTAAGCACGGTCGACGACAACAGCTTCTCTAAGACGCAATTAGGCCACTCCCCTGTCCCTATCGATACTTGGCTTTTTTAAACGCCCGTTAGTCGGCTGCTTGGCTCTTCCGACAGACTATCGAGTTCTTCCTTTTTCCGTCGGAGGCAGCTCAAGAGCCGCATCTCGGAGGATGCCGAAGGTCAAGTAGCGCGATATCTTTGTCTTGGCTGTCGGCCCTGCTGTTCTCTCTTCCTTTCTCTCCCATGAGAGACCGAGCGTTAAGCCCGCGACGCGGGCAGAAGCTGTCCAAGTTCGTAGTTGCTTCGCCGCTAGTTTGGACCTCTGGATGCGAGCAACGGACGCTACTGAAGCGTTGTTCGTTCGACCAACCGGCCGAATCGGTGAGATTTCGACGATCGATCGCAGAACCAGTCCGCGAGATGGAGAAGGACGAACGAAAGCAGTCTGCGGAGAGCTGCAAAGAGCTTCCTGGCAAAAACCGAGCGTGGCGCGCTCTCCGGAAATCCACACTTTGCTCGCTCGACTCTCTCGGTTTTGTAATGGTCGCCGGACCTTTCGCGGACGCTAGAGGCGAGGCGCGAAAATCGACGAGGAAGGCAGGCCGACGTAGAGCCAAGGCGCGAGCAAAAGGTGTCGCTCGGCACCTGCGACCGATTCTCGGGCGAAGCAGTCGTCGATTCGGCGCCCCGGACGAACGAAGCGAGCGCGAGCGCAAAAAAAGCCCGGAGAGAGAGGATCGAGCCGGCGCATCTGGAAGGAACGTCGAGTGCAGCAGCCGCGGCGAGCGTGCAGTGTGTCAAGATGGCGCGTCGCCATGGCTACCTTCGGCCGAGCTTTTCGGCGTGTTGCAGCCGGACGCGCCGGACGCGCCGGATGCACTTGTTCGCTGACTGTCCGCGCGACATTGGGCAGGCGCGCGTCGGCCCGCGACGGGATCCCCGAATCTCGACCCGGCGCGGTCGAGCCTGCGCGCGCGCGCGTCCCCGCTCCGGCGCGAACTCTCGCTACATACGCCTCGTACATAGTCGTAGGCGTGCTCGGCAAAGCGAAACGATTGCGAGGAGCGGGCGACGAATGCAGGTGACTCGGTGCGATAAAGCGGTTTATCGGCCGGCCGTAAAGCGAAGGTCGCGCGCGCGCGCGCCGAGCGCTTTACCTGCTGAGCTGGGAGCGAGCAGTCGGGTGCGTGCCGGCAGCGGGAAGGCGTCTGCTGGCCGATCGATGAGCCGCGCACCAGGTGCGCAGTGGGCCGCCCGGGAGGAGCGTCCGAGCAGGGCCTCTCGGTGGGTCGAGCGAGTTCGCGGGGCGACTCCGCTTTCGGCGCGCGATCTTTCTGGATGCTGCTGTGCGTGGCTGCGGAGGGGATAGCACACGGCGGCGGCGGCGGCGGCGGCGGCTCGGCAGGTGCCGTGGGAGCCGTTCGCTGTCGCGTTCGGGAGCTGCGCGGCGACTGCGCGAGAACGAGACGGCACTCGAGCCACACGCACCACGCCTCTGCCAGCTCCACTGCCGCCACGCCGGCACGCACGCAGCCACGACAGCGGTGTCTCTCTCGCTCGCTCGCTGCGGCCGCGCGCGCGTCTTTGTCCGATTGCCATGGGCACTCGGGGGGAGAGCGAGAGAGACCGAGAGCGAGAGCCGAGCCGAGCCGAGCCGAAAGCCGCACGGCACGAGTGCCTGTCGCCATCGCTCGACGACCTGCCAAAGCACGCTCCGCTCGCGCGCCGCGCGCATGCTCCCACGGTATCCTCGCCTGCGCGTCCTCGCCGCGGTCCTGCGCGCGTCCGCGGCAACGCTCGCGATCTGCTCGCGGTTCTCCGACCGTCCTCCGGTCGGCCGTGCGAGCCCCAGGCCGAAGGGAGGTCGGGAGAGAGAGGTCGTTCGCCTCGACTGCCCGCGCGCGACTTTCTTTGCGCTGGGCCAATCTTTGCACAGCTTTGATGCGCGTCCCCGCGGGGCTGGCGGCCCATTCAGCCGTTCCTCGTCTGTTGACACGTCAGCGCCGCGGCGTTCGGCCGCTCGAGGCGAGCTTTCGTCGCGAAGCTTGCGTCGCGAGCAGCCGAAATTCGCGACTGACGCAAGGCGATCTCGCCGGGCAACGGCGAGCTCCCCGTCACTCGAGCGAATGCAGGTCTCGCGTGTTTACCCAAGTGCGCCGAATGCGTGCCGCGCGCACAACGCGACGACAACCGCGGAGTCCAGCTGGCAGCGACCGACGTCGCGATCGCCTCCTGCCCATTGTTTCTGGCTTAGCCGCGCTCGGCGCAGGAAATCACTCGTGATTGCTCGAGCAATCAGCCTGACGAGCATAATTGATCGGCGCGCGGCCGGGCGAGGTCCGCCTCGCTCGACGCGCGTCGCGCGCTCCCGCCTGAATTTCCAAAAGCCGGGCCCCGCTTTTGGAAGGGTCCGCGCGCCCGCGAGAATCGAAATCCGGTCGCTTTGGCTGCTTACTCGGTGTCAGGAACTGGTATCATGGGCGCCGCTGGCCGTCCGTTCTGCTCGCCGAACTGGTTGGTCTCCGGCTCCTCTTGCACCGGCGTCTCATACACCAGAGTCTCCACCATCGAGCCCTTGCTCGAGCCAAACGACACTCTGAAACAGACGGTCGCGCTCCATTAGTCTCCTCGGCCGCGCGAGTCGCAGACGCGTCCAGGTGCCGGAGGCGCGCGACAGGAGGCGGGCCGGGAATCCCGGGTCGAGGCGCGGCGAGCCCATCAGCCGAATGGCCCGGCACGAACAAAAGAGGCGACAAGAGGAAGCGAAGCGGCCGGCGCCGGCGAAGCGCGACGACGCGGCTCGACGCGATGCCGGTCGGGTGGTCGGACCGTCGCCTCGAGCCGCAGCGCCGGCGAGCGCGTGCGTACCGCTTGAGGTTGGCGTGCTTGGGCCCACCGACGGGCCGGGCCTTGCGCTCGCTGCCCGCGATGCCGGCGTCGCTGTCGATGCTGTAGAGGCTGTCGTCCTTGCCGACCTTGGCGTGCGGCGGCGCGGGCCTGCGCTGCGCGGCGTGCTTGGGGCTGAGCTCGGCCGCGGGCAGCAGCGGCGCGGCCGCGCCGGGCCGGGGGCGGCGCCCGGGCCCGGCGCCGCCGTTCAGCGCCGGCCGCGGCTGCTGCTGCTGCTGCTGCTGCTGCTCGTCCCGCGGCAGCACGTACGACAGCATCCTGGCCGCGCTCTGCACGGCCGAGTCGGCGCCCGCTGGGCGCGCCCTCGCTCGGCGGCCGGCCGGCGCCCTCACCTGTGGCGGGCCTCGAGCGCCGAGCTGCCTCTGGGCTGCGCACTGCCTGCTCCGACTGCGGCTCGCCGTCGGCGCAGCATCTGCGCGGCCGCCGACCTGCAACAGCCACAGAGCCGCGTTGAGAGCGCTTCCCACGGCCGCGGGGCCCGCGAGCGCAGGCCGCGTCGGGCTTCCGCTCGGCTGGACCGTTACGGCGCGCCGCGGCCGCTTCCGGCGCGTGACTTCCTGCCGCCGTCGACTGCACGGACTGCGAAGGCTGCGCGTGCCGAGCGCAGAGGTGCGGCGAGGGCTTCTCCGGCCGCTCCGGCCGGCGAGAAGTCGGCGTAGCCGACGGGCGCGCCGTCGCTCGCGCGCAAGCGGCCGAGCGCGTGTCCAATCGCCTCTTAACGCGCTCGCGATAGCGCTGGAATTTCGCCTCCTCGATCTCGCGCGCGAGGAGCAGCGCCGGATGCTGGTCTGCGTCGTAACTGTACGCGCGCGCATGTAGAGCGTGACGCCACCGGGATGCGATGACGAGGCCGAGTTTACGATTGCGCGGCTTTCGTCCATCGGATGAGTGGGGAGCGTCGAGCACTGCCGATCTCAGGGTCCGGGCACGTCGCCGGGATCGATGGGCACGTGGACGAAAAATCGCCACTTCCATCGAGCCGCGCGCGTTCACGCGAGCGGCAGCGGCAGCAGCCGCTCGATCAGCGAGAGCCGAGTCGCGGCGCTGGGGGAGCAATTCTAATGGATTAGAATCGCTATCGCGGGCGCGGAGATACGAGCAGCCGGGGCGCGCGGTCGATCGCCGATAGGCCAAAGTTGGCTGGTTCTCGTCGAGTGCACGTCGATAAGTGCGCCGCGGTCCGAAGCGATAGCGCGAGAGCATCTGGCCAAAGTTCTGGGAACCGAGCATTGCTCCACCCTCGTCGCACTCTCGCCAATTTACGGCGTGTTTTGCAAATATAACTGCGCAAAACGCTCGAGCTCGAAATAAAACGTTGCGAGAATCGCAGACGCAACGAACGGCCAAGAGCGGCATGCCCGCGATCTCGCGAGCGCGTCGCCGTTGCGTTTGCATGCACACGAGCGAGAGGACGAGAACCAACAAGGAAACTCATTAAAGCCCGGAGGCGCGCGCGAATCGATTGTCTCTCGATCGGTCTGCCGAAGCGACGAAAAAGGCCGGGCTCGAGTGGCGCGAGTCAACGCTCGCTTAACGAGCACACCTACATCACGCACGACGACGCCGACCGCGCTCTGGATGGCGAAGCGCCCGAGCGCCGGGGACACGCCGTCGTCGCCGCGGGCCAGCGCTCGATTGCTAAATTGTCGGGCGAACGTGCAGCGCGCCGCCGTCGCGGCCCGCGAGGCCCGAGAGTCAATTGGCCCGACGAGGAAGGTCAAACGCGACGGCCGCACGCGCACCTCGACGGCGGTCCCCCCCTGAGCAGCGCGGCTCTGGATCGTCGGCGCTCTTCCGCTCTTGACCGCGCGACAGATCGACGCGGTAGCGCGAGTGCGCATCCCTAAAAATTGCAGCAGTTCGCACGCGATTCGCGACGCCCCGCGAGGAGACAAAGGCATTGCAGGTATTTGGCGTGCGGCTGCACGCTGGAATCCGGCTGTTTCTGGGCGACGCCGCTGCTTTCGCGTGCCAAGTTATTTCTATCCCGCCCGCCGCCGCGGCGCTGGACGCCCCGCGCTGCTGGGTCGTCGGTGTCTCGACGACGCGCAGTTTCGGCGACTCGAGCGAACAGCGACGGCGAGGCGGGGCACGGTCCCGGACGAGCACTGGCTGCGGAGACCTGGCCGACGGCCGATGCAGTCGACGCGATTATCACGCGGGCCGCTCTTCGCGCGAGCGACGTCCATTCCAAGGCCGAGCATTGTAGGTCGCCGGCGACGCGACGCCAGTCTCTCCGCAAGCCTGCCTCGGATTCGGATAGGAAACTCAAGAGCGCGTGACTCGAAATCTCTCGCGTTGCAGGCGAGAAAGAGGGAGAGAGAGAGAGCCGCCGATTACGCAACGCGGAATCGAACGACGGCGGCGCGTATTGCGCATCGGCGCTCGCGCGCCCGCTATTCTCACCCGCGCACGCTCTATGTCGCATCAATCGGCGCCGCTCGCGCTCGCCATTGGGTCACTTTCCGAATTTAGACGTCGCCCGGCGTCGCGCGGCAACTGCCAGCGCAGCGCGCGAAACCCGCACGTCCGAGCTGCGACCGAGGCGGCCGCGACGCACCCGCACGCGGGCCCGCTCGGCTTGCGGCGGCGAGCACCGCGCGCTGGAAGCGGGAAAGTGGAGCGCGCGAGCGGCGCCAGTCGCACGGCTGGCAATTCAGCCGATAAAATTATTCGCAAGCAGCGCTGCCGAGCAGAGTCGGCCAGCCGAGGCGCGACTATAGCCTCTCTCGGAGCGCAGCCATACGGCAGCGGACGCGGCAAAGCGAGGCGGGCGCCCCCGGTCGCCCCCGGTCGCCCCCTGCAGGGGCTGTCGTTTGGCAGGGCTGGCTCGGGGGAGCAGCGATTGCGTGGCCGAGGAGTGGAGCGACGCGGTGTGCGTGCGCGCGTGCAGCGGCGGGGACGGCGCGGCGGGAGCTTGCAAGTGTGCGCGTCGGCTGCAGCCAGCACAGGCGAGACGCGGGGATCGATGGCGCGCACGCGCAGTTCGCGCGGCGCGCGGGGTTGCCCCGTCGCTCCAATCTGGCCCGCAGCTTCCAGTCGGTCGTCCAGCGTAGCCGAGGTGCGCCTGGACGCGGCCGGACGCCCCCTTCCTCCGCTCGCGCATTCTTTCGGAGCTCACTGTCAGCGCGGTGTCGCGTTACGCGCCAATTAGAGCTTTTAATTGGCGTGTCCCGCTATCGCCGTCTTAACCTCGCGCGGCGCCTGAGTCATCGCTTTCCGCGGCGCGGGCTCGCGCGCCCAGCGGCTTCGCGTGCACGGCCTACGCGTCGCTTCGGCCGATTTCGTTGGTTTCGTTGATTCACTGCGCGCGCGCGTGTGCCGCCGTCGCCGCCGCCGCCGCCGCCGCCGCGCCGTTAATCAGCCGAGCGCGTTAGCGAGCGGCCGGCCGAAGAGGCAGTCGATTGCTCGCGGCGCGGCGGTCGGAGAACAAAGAACTCGCCAAGGGAACGGGGCATTTGGAGACTCGTTGAGAAAGTTAAGCGGCCCGACCCTTCGAGATCGTAGCTACTGTCAGACGTTGGCACGGGAGACCGAACGACAGCACGGGAGGAAGGGTGGATAGGCGCGATGATGCCAAACGAGGGGAGAATTTCTCGGCGACTCCGGGGATTCGTCGCGCTGCGGCATTAAAACTGAGTTGCTGTATTTGACGACCTTCGCTCTCTCCCTCTATCTCCATCAAATTCAACAAACCGCCCGCTTTCTCCGTTCCCTATCCCCCGCGCGACGGTCCGAGTGATCTTTGTGAGCTGCAACTGTTCCACGCCGACTTCCCGGTCGAAACCATACACGAAAAAGTCGATTCACTCTAACTGATTTAGATCAGCTTGATGGCCAAGCCGAAGCAGGGCGATATTGAAAGGAAAAAAGGAGATTAACAAAAAAACTCAGCGTACGCGCTCGTTCGAGCTGTTACTTTCACGAAAGCTACTTTCTTGCCACGGACGTTATACGATCTGAATTATTGGCCGTAATGTCAATGAGATACCGTTAAAGCTCATTTGATTATGATTGCTCGGCCAGCGGATATCGACGAGAGTTTTTCACCGGGAAAGATTCCGCGCGTATGATCGACGGCCACGACGCACGAACGCCGAACCGCTCGTGTGCCTTCCCTCTTTGCTCGGTTAATTGTTTTTTTTTTCTTCTTATTTGCCACTCGCACCCGCGCGCGTGACTGGCGCAACAACTCCCGTTGCGGTATCGCGCGGGCATCGCGTTAACGAGCGTTCGCACAGTCGGACGCGAAGGTGCGAGGACTTTTTGCGGCGAATTCTTCGATGGCGCGCGCCAAGACGCACGCGATAACTCGGGGCACGCGTCGCCGAGCGACCGATCCTGCGCCCGACTGCGACGACTCGACCCACGACGAAAGAAATCGGCGCGGTTTCGCGAAAGCCGGTCGGCAGTCGCCCGCGGAGGCGTCGGATGTTCGCCCGGGCCGGGCGCCAGGACAAAAGACAAAGAACCCAATCGCCTTTCCGGCCGCCACGCGGAATCGCGCGCTCGCGACAAAACCCTGCCGGGGATACAGCAGCTCGCGTCCGTCGCGGACGAGAGGAATTGGCAAGGGCTGCGCGTACACGCCCACGCGTCGCAGCGCGAGAGAGCAGCCAACTTTTCCGGCGGCCGCGAGCGAGCGACGCCAGCTAGTCGCGCTCGTCCGCCGCGGGCCGTTTTCGCGAACGCACAGGACGAGCCGTCACAGAGGGACGAGACAGAGAGAGAGAGAGATAGAGCGGTAATTAGTCGCTCGTCGCCGCCGCCGCGAAGAGGCTTTTGTCGAGAACGAGTGCGGCCGGAGAGAGTGGAGCGGCCGAGGTCGCCACGGGGAAGAGCCGCGTTATTAATAGAGCGCGTCGGAACCATCGATTGAACGGCGTCGCTCAGCTGCTTCGTTGCGCTATCGCTGGCCTCTCTCAAAGTACGGCGCCCGTGATAAAGTCGCGCGGCAATCGGCAGATCTGCGCCAGCAAAGACCACGGCGCTCTACCTCGCGCGTCTTTTACGAGACCGTCCTCCGGCTCGCCCTTGTTTTTAATTATTCGACGATGCGCACGTAAGCGGCTGCACGCGCGCGTCCGCGTAGCCGGGCATCCGCGCTGCGAGTCTTATCGGGCTCGCGCGCCGAGCAAAGCTCCGACGGCGGCCGAGAGGAGCCGGCCGCGCGATCAAAAAAAACACTGACGTACCTGTGCTTACAAGCGGCCGAAAACAAATGTCGCGTCCTCGCCGAACAGCTGATCGCTAGAGCGCGCAGACGGCGACGGGGACGGACGGACGGCGTGCGCTGGCTCTCCGGGAATCGGTGGGCACTGGCTCTTCTACGAGCGCCACGGGCACGGCCAGGCTCGCTGTTGCCGGGGTGCGCTCGCCGCTGCTCCGGGGCAGCCCGCTTCGGGCCCACAATTATCGCGAGGACCTCGCTCGGCGCTCATCTCGCCTCGCTCCTGCTCTCCCACCTCGCGCGCGATCCTACGCTCCGCTCTAGCCGACTCGCTCCCCTTGCTCCCGGAGCGAGTCGCGGCACTGACCTGTAACGACTTCGCTGGGCAACTGGCACAGGACGACGCTGCACTACAATGGATTCTCCGCTTGCTCGCACTTGCACTCGACGAGCTTGCGGAGCTTTGCCGCCGGAATAACCTCAAAACTGAGCGGTCGACGGCCAATCATCAACCAGGCCGACTCCTCGTCGAAGGACGAATCAGCCGGTGGCTGCCTCCGCGAACGCTCGATCCGGGAAGTGCGGCCTCTTCTTGCTTTGACCCGTGTCAGCGTCGTTGCGCTACGCTAGCGATAACCAACGGAGGCAGAAGCTACCTGCGACTAGCGCGACGTCCGATTTATTTCCACTGCGGGAGGGCTTTTTTTCCAAGCTCTTGCGGCAAATACACTGACACGTAATTTCGGAAAAACGTAAATATACAGACTCCTCTGGCACATAAACGAGCGCGACGAGAGGCAGCAGTCGGACGGAGCATTCAGAGAGTGCGAGAGAATGAGAAAGCGAGAGAAACCGAACAATCCATGTACGTACGTACTGCAGGAGCGCACGCGACGAAGGGCTACATTTATACAAAAGAAACGCTGTGTGTAGGTGACCGAACGACGTTTACTAGGCGGTCGAATGTAGCACCCGCTCGAAACGAACGAACGATACTGCCCGTCCGTGTACACAGTCAGCGCGACTTGCTTAGCCGCCAGCCGGGCTTATCTCCACAGTCAACGCCAGCCGTCGAGCCAACCTGCCTGCTTGCAGTAGAGAAATAGAGGGGGCCAGCGGTTTCGCCGCGCAGACGCAATAACTGGCGGCCTTCCTTTCCTCGTCTCTTCGCCAATGCCGACTATCCTTCTCTCGCTCTCACGCATAGGCTCATCTCCACAGTCTTCTATGTATTTATACTGCCCGCTCGCTCCACTCTTGATTTTATTTTCTCCTGCGTACATTTTTATTTGCCTCTCTTCCTCCGTCGTACGCTTACTACCATTCTAGCCCTTCTCTACTGTTCTACTCTGCGCTCTCTCTTATCTTCAGAGAAATATTTTAGGTACTTCATCAAAACTTTCAAAGTTCTATTCTAACGTGGAAAGAGAAATAAAACAAGTTTCAACTAATATATGTTACAATTTATATATATTATATGTATATTAAAATACAAATGCCGCTTTTCGGTGAAGAAACAGTAGACGTGGTAAAAGTTCATATTTTACATAATTTCGCAGTACTTGCTAATATCAAACATTATTAACTTTGCCAGTCAAATTTTGCATATTCCAATAAGTCTATCGTTAATCTTTCATCAATAACAGAATGACCAAACTTTTTTCAAAAACACTTTTCTAATCAACTAAAGGAATGACCGCCAAGGAGCCAAAGATTATTAAATTAAATAGAAATGCAAGGCAATCATTTTTTGGAAAGTAGTATGTAAATGGAAAAAAAAAATCTTTCATTGGATTTATAATTAATTGCATGACTTCAAAAAATTGAAGTATACTTTTGCGGGCAGTTAGTTAAGTGCTAGTACAACTTGACCAACCTTTTCTAGCTTTCAATGATCAATGAAAATCTTTTCAAATTCTTTCAAAGTAAGCAGGTTTACATATTAACTTGGAGAAGATTTTTCAGTGCTTGCATTCTCCTAGCAAAGATTTACATATCTTTATTGCTCATCCTTATCCTTAGCACCATGTTTCAAAATCCTTGTAAATTCAAGGTAATCAAACATACCATTCTTGATTGGAGCTTCTCTGTACATTTCATCAACATCATCATCAGAAAACCTGCAAGTTTATAGTAATACTGTTTTGTATAATCCATAACAATTTTTTATGATTTTTAAATTATAAAGTTTTCAGACAATGTCACTTATTTATAAATCTAATGTGAAAAAATGATGTTACCGATCACCCATTGTAGTTAGAAGCTCTCTCAATCGTTCCTCATTTATGATACCATTGTTTTCTTCATCAAAGCAACCAAATGCATTTTTTATAACATCTTCTGGATCTGTGCCTTGCAATTTTTCTCCAAAGAGCGTCAAGAACATGGTGAAGTTAATTGGTCCAGGAGCTTCATTCATCATTTGCTCCAAGTACTCATCAGTAGGATTCTTTCCTAAAGATGCTAGCATATCGTGCAAATCTTCTTTGTCTATAAAGCCATCATGGTTGTGATCAATCATATTGAAAGCTTCTTTAAATTCTGCTATCTGTGCTTGATCAAACATGGCAAAGACATTAGAAGTCGCACGCTGAGCACGTTTCTTTGTCGTTGCACGACGACCTGCAGTTTTACGAGATGACATCTTTACCTGCAAAACAAATATTTTTTTAATTTTCTTCTTATTTCATAATAAATTATACCTTAAAATTAATGCAGTAGTAGAAAATGAAAGAAGCTATGTAAACTATTTTGAAGAAAAATAAAAAGATAGAGAGTACCAAGCTTAAAATAGCCAAGTAAACTAAAATGTATTAACGAGGTTGACATTTATTTTTAGATCTTTAACAAGCAACATTTAACGAGACAAAACACTATTTAAAATAAAACCGATTATTAAAGACATTGATCAACATAATACTCCGTTAATATTCTAGCAATTAGAGCTATGAAGTTTGAACAGCTGTAAGTAATGACATACAGCGATGATTGAAAAGACAGTATAGGTCAGCAATTTGCTGAACATCGCTGTGGATCCCTTATGGAAGTTGGCTGACTAATTCAAGTTGCCAGGCCATAACTCTAATTCAAGATGTGGTTTATATTTACAGTTAAATAATACAGCCTTGAAACTATTTAAAAATATTCAATTGATTATGATTTTGGAGCATTGAACTTTATCACTTGATGATTAATCAAAACAAATAAATGGCTATCCAAAAGTGAAGCATTATTTTTTGTATTTTAACAAAATCCGAAGGAAAAGAAGACTGATTTGTTATACTTACGTTATAGCGCAAATTTTTGAAATTCGACAATCTACAAACAAATGAATCGTATAAATAAATAAAGATAAAGAGGCTGTATTATTAAGCTCAGCTTGATAGTTCCGTAAAAATCTGTGAGTGACGTAAAACGATTACCACAAAAGGCAGTGATCCGAGCAAAAATCAGATCACGTATCGTGTATGCGCGGGTAAAAAATAAATGCCACTTTCTCAACAACGGCAATCGAGGCCACGGAGGATGATTCTTAGTCACTGGTATGTGAGGAGCACGACAATGGCGGCTCAGTAACACGTTAAACAATGACAGTGGCGTTTAAACTGGATGAAATATTGAAAGCTTATGACTAAAAACACATAACGTAATGACTTACTACTAGTTAAGTGTGTAAAACGTTGAGATATGCAAGTCCGAACGGCTGTTCTAGTTGAGTGCGTGAGAGGAGAGTTGTTGCGGCGCTCGAGTCAGCTCACAATTCACAAGACGACGTACAACTGCAGGCGACTGCGCGATCGAGCTGCGCAGCTATAGTCGAGCGAGCAGCCGTTCACCACACCCGCGAGCAATCGCCCTCTCGCGGCCGACAAGTCAACTAATTTCGATAAGGGAATGGAACTGCAACGACTTCGAACCCTATTTGGCTTCGCTCGAAGATCTCTTTGTGAAACCATTAGCCGTGCCTTGCAAGCTCTCGCATCTTTCTGAGGAGCGTACGTTCGATTCGTCGACTGACCAACGCCGTGCATTCTATTTCGCTAACGTGAATTTCGATTGCGACGATGTGAATAATGTGTCGTTGGTGAAGTAGGTGCGAAAATTTGAGAAGTCGCTGGCACAGCGGAGCTTGGCTCCCTTTGGAAAAAAAAACATCGCGACGCCGAGTGCGTGACTCGCGTTTGACCGTGGGGCCATTCGCCTCCTTATTTGGCAATCTGCGCTCGCGTGTCTGCAATAAAGCGCGTTATCCTCGAGATTTCGCAATTGGTGAGCATTTACGCGGCGCACTCGAGAGATCTACCATCGAGTTTCCCGAAGCATGAATTTGATTGCCGAAGCTTTTATCGCAGAAGGCGCTTGCAAAGCATCGTACGAATGCATCGGTGGATTTGATATATTTTTTTTATTTATTTCGTCATTACATTGCTTTCTATAATTTAAAGGACACTCGATCCATCGCTGTGCACGATTTTCAGTGGAAAAGTAAAATATTTATTTCCCCTCGAGTAAATACAATCTTGACGCATTATCATCGTATATGGGTATATATATACAAAAATACATTTACAAGGCGCCTTATATGGCTTCAAACTTTTCCCGTCTCTTTCCACTCTAAGAGATGTCTAACGTATTCCTAAATTTGTTTATCTTGAAAACTATATACAACTGCTCATATTATATTCAACTGAACAAAAGTACAAACGAGTCCAATGTAAATAGCGTATATATGGAGGCCAGTGCCAATTGCTCGTGCACGTGGAAACGTGATAATGTTGTAGAGCAGAAAAGAAGGAGAAGAAAGAAAAGAAACTTGCTTGTACTTTCATTTGGAAGCTATAACAATTAAACGTAACAAATTGTAAAAAGAGTAAGCTAGACTACGTGAGAAAACACTGCAACAATATACTCCGACTCTCGGTCTAAAGCTTTCATCGATAGTAGACGTAAAAAGAGGAATGTCTAGATAAAAAGACAAAGTTAAATTGACAGCGAACGGAAGAGAAGGATGGACGGATCATGTATTACGTACAATACGTATGTACAACAGTCTATCTGTATGGGCAGCGGACGTAAATTACGTTTTGGAACTGTTTGACTATGGATTTGCACGGGCGACCTTGGCATCGTCGACTATCTGACGGCCACTCCATTGATCGTGATGCCGTTTCTGGCCGAGGGCTCTGCTTCGTAGTGGCCGGATCTGTTGTAGTGTCGCCTTGCCTGCCCAGTAGCGTATCTGAGGAGTAGCGGATTTTTCGCGCATTAAGACCTCGGAGGGAAAGCTCCAGAGAAATTAGAGGCGCTCGCGAGGCATACCCGTAAGTACTGCCGCTGACGCTGTACGGGTGATCGTAGAGGCCGTCCTCGGGAACGTTTTCGTACATCGCGTTGGGCGAGCCGTCGTTGAGGGTCGCGTACGACATCACCGCCGCGTTCTGGTCCTCCTTGCGCTCGGCAGCCTGCACGTTCTCCGTGTTCTTCACGGGAGTCGCTTTGCGCCTGGAAGCCCAGCAAAGGCGACTGGCTGCAGTGCTCGGAACGCGCGCCGACCCCGTTATCATACTTACAATCTGAGGTAAACCAGACCGATGATGATCAAGATGACGACGATCACCGCGGCGGCGATTCCCACGCTTGTGCCGACTCCTTGGGCCTCCGCTATCTCGTTGGGGGACTCTGCAAGCGAGAAAGCCGGTGGTCATCGTCGTCGGTCTTTTCACCGGACGCGAGCGAAGCGTTCACCTTGGCATCGAGGCTCCTCGCCGCTCCACAGCCCACTGTCCAAGCACTTCCTCAGGAACAGGCCGACTCTGTCGAACTGCGGCAGGCAGTGATACTCGGCGGCGCCACCGTAGGTCGTAGTGCCGTTCACGACGATGACCCGTCCGTTGTCTATGGGCGGCGGATGCTTGCAGTCGACAGCTGCGAAGAGAGGCAGACGAGGCCGACGTGATGTGCCGAGCGAGCAGAGACGAGGCGGACGGACGGCCGAAGCTTACCGAAGCAGGACGGGGCTCGACCGCTCCAGGACCCGTTCTGCAGGCAAACCCTCGTGGCGTTGCCCTCCATGACGTAGCCTCTGGGGCAGTTGTAGTGGGCCACGCCACCGACGCTATGAGTGGAGATTTGGGTGCTGGCCGTGCCGATCCTGTCCGGCTCCTTGCACTTGATTTCTGCGCGGGACAGTGCGAGCGTGAGCAAGCGCCCGATCGGGCCGTCGCGAAGGGGCGCGACCGCCGCCGCTTACCTTTGCAGACGGGAGGCTCGCTGCTCCAGGTGGCGTTCTCCAGGCAGAGCCGCCGGGCGAAGCCGTCGAGCTCGTAGTTGGCGTCGCACTCGTAGAGCGCCGCGGCCCCGTAGTAGCTGACGTTGGAGGTGAGCGCGTAGCGGCCGTGCTGGATCTGCTCGGGCTTGCCGCAGTCCACGTCTGCGAAGAGCGAGAGGCTCGGGTGAGGCCGGGGGCGAGGGAGGGTCAGGGGCGGCAGGGGGCCTCGCACTCACAGACGCATTGGGGCACCTCGCCGCTCCATCTGCCGTTGTCCTCGCAGCTGGACAGCGAGTCGCCGACCACCTTGTAGCCGCGCTCGCACCTGTACTTGGCGAGGGCGCCGATCTTGTAGGAGGTCGCCCCGGTGTTGGAGTTCTCGGCCGTGCCGGTCCTGATCAGCGTGCGCCCGTACATGCGGTCGTTGCCCGTCAGCGAGACGATGCCGTGCTTGGCCAGCACCGGCTCCGGACACCTGATCTCTGCAAGTTCGAGGCGCGGCCTCCGCCGTTAGCGCCGCTAGCCTTGCCGCGGGCGACGCTCGGCCGGACTTACCTTCGCACTTGGGGCTCGCGTCGCTCCAGACTCCGTTGTCGAGGCAGTAGCGCCGCGGGCTGCCGTTCAGCCGGTAGTTTTTGCTGCAGCTGTAGGAGATCTCGCTGCCCAGGTAGGTCGAGCCGTTGACGTAGTCCAGCGAGCCGTTGGGCACAGCTAGCACCTTGCCGCAGTCCACGTCTGTCGAATACACGGATGCGCGCGATCAGCCGGTCGTCCACCTCGCTCCCGACGGCGATCGATGGCTTCCGCCACTTACACTCGCAGTACGGCAGATCTCCGGTCCACTCTCCGTTCTTGTCGCACGTGTGCTTGGCCTGGCCGTGCAGCAGGTAGCCCTCCTCGCAGTGGTACTCGATGGTGCTGTGAATGTACAGGTCGTAGCCCACCACGTAGCTCCCATTCGGCACTTCCGGCTCCTCGCAGGTAATCACTGTAACGTCATTGCGTGATGTATTGATGTATGGCACGAGTTGTTCCACAGCCAAGGACAAGGCAATTAACGAGCACCAATTCAGATATGACGTGGCACATTTTTTTTCTATGTGTTTTTTTTTTTTTTTCAATGGCATCACGCGCCACGCACGTGGATCTCGAAGATCCCTTCGAAAAGACTATTTCGTTTGTCCTTGACAAGCCGGCGGAAAGGAACTCGAAATCGAAATCAAGTTCGTCCCGAGTTTGGGCTAGCGTCAGCGAATAACAGATCGATAGGCAGCGACAAATGTGCAATTTACGTTCGCATTGGGGAGTTTTATGACTCCAGTTGCCGTCCTTGGTGCACTCCTGCTTGGCCGCGCCGTCGAGCCAAAAGTCCTCTTGGCAGGTGTACTCGACGAGGCTGCCTACGGTGGTGGTGGCATTGACGAGCTTGACCGTGCCGTGGGATATCTGGGCCGGGGCGCCGCAATCGATGTAGCGGCACTGCGGCGTCTTGCCCGACCACTGGCCCCCAATGTCGCACGTCAGAACCTTCGAACACAAGCGTCGGCGATACATCAATGTGCCCGCGTTGCACAGGTCACCTTTCACCTCCCGAGCCTTCGAGTCGGCTCGCAGCTTGGACAACGAGCTCGCGTCTACGTTCTTTTTTCGCTTTCGCATATCTGCGCTCATTATCTCGACACGCGTTTCTGCCATTCTCATTTCTTTGAGCAGCACGGCCCATTGTCTCGCTAATGCGAGTAACGAGGCAAGGCGCACTTCGAGCCACCAAGTACGCTCCTAAGAGGCTTCAGGCGTGACTCGGCGGCGCTGTATATTAGATTGAAGGATGGCCCGCTCGTCGGCTATTAATCGAGCTGCGTCGAGGACGACACTCACATTATCCCCGAACAGCACGAAGCCTTTCTCGCAGGAGTAGGTCGCCTTGGAGCCGGCGCGCTTGCCGCCGAAGGCGACTATGCCGCCGGTTATCTGCGGCGGCTCGGGGCACCAGTCGACTGTAAGTGCACAAGAGAGGGCCGTTCAAGCAAAGGCGGAGCTTGGGCCGCGCGCCAAGGCGCCCACTTACATAAGCACTGGGGCTTGTGGCCGCTCCAGATGCCGCCATCGCCGCAGCGTCGGCGCGCGTCACCGACCAGCGTGTAGTTGTCCTTGCAGGCGTAGTCCGCGAAGGCCCCGTGGCTGGTGCGCCCGTCGACCAGCTGGACGGAGCCGTTGTCTGGCTCGTCGAGCGGACCGCAATCCACGACTGCGACAGGACGCACGGCGTCAGTGGGGAGAAGGGGGGAGGGGGTGTCTCAGGCTACTCACATCTGCAACTCGGCGCCGAGCCGCTCCAGAAGCCGCTGGGCTCGCAGACGCGGCTGCGCGAGCCGACGAGCATGTGGCCGTCGGGGCAGGCGTACTCGACGCTCGAGCCGAGGCCGCGCTTCGCGCCCGCGATCGTCGTGTTCTCCAGCCTGTCCGGGCTGCCGCAGCTCGACGGCTCTGCGGAGAGAAGAGGGGCGTTAGCGAGTGGCGCGACAGGCGCGCGAGCTCGTCGTCGTCGTCACTCACTGCTCTGGCAGATCCAGTGCAGGTAGTCAAGGTTGCAGCCGACGTCGTTCCACAGCCAGGACCGGCCGCCGTCGAGGACCACGCAGTTCTGTTCGCCGTTGTAGTTGTTGGGCTGGTCCTTGCCCCAGCTCGGCTTCTGGATGACCTCGCCTGCAACCGATCGATCGCACGCACGGCCGTCCATGAGAACGTTCTCCGCGCTGGGAACGGGTCTCCCCGAGCTATCGCGTCCGAGGATCACGCGATCCGACGAAGCGCGTTGCGCAAGCCACCGCACGCGCAGCGAGCGAGCGAGCGAGCGAGCGAGAGATCAACGGCTCGGACAAAGAATGCACGTGCATTCACCGTCGTAGCGAGGACGGCTATCGGGTACCCGCAGCGCCTAATTGCAGCCGCGCGCGATACGCATCGACCGACTATTGGGACCGAAGATCGACTGCTGTGCGCGGCTCATCGAGAGGCGCGATTGCACGACGGACGCTTTCGCGTGCATCGCGGTCGCGAGCCAAGCGAGAACAAGCCGAAGCGCTCACCGTCAACCCACTTCCACGTTCTCACGGTTATCGACGGCTCCTTCTGCGCGCCTATCCACACCAGCTGCGTCTTTAGCCTGCTCTTCCTCCTGTCCAGGTTGTTGAGGATGTAGGTCGAGGCGACGCCCTGCGAGCAGAACCAGCGGTGAGCCGTCCGACCGCCAACCGGTCACCGGCGCACTTACCTTGAGGCCGTGGACCAGGTCGCCGCCGCGCGCCTGGCAGTAGGACCTGGCCTGCTGGAACGAGTCGCCCCTGCCGATCACGAACTCGTAGCAGCTGGAGTTGAAGGCGGCCAGCTCGGCGTCGGCCGGCGTGCCGGCGTGGGCACACCTATCCGCCGATAGCTCTGCAAGCAAATCGACGTTGCGCAACGACGTTCCTTTCTCTCTCGGGGCGAGCTCGAAAGCGATCCGCGGCTATACTCACCGTCCGTGGCGAAGACCTCAACCTCGCAGAGGCTCAGACTGCCTTCCACGCCGACCAGCTGCAGGAACACGTACTGGCCCACCAGCGCCCGCGCGCACACGAACGTCTTGGTGATGCCCTCCTCTGCGAATCACACCGAGCTACAGTTGCTGTACTAGTCTGCCAAGGCGTCCACGCGAACGTCGGTCTTACCGATAGTCCCCGGGAACCAGGCGCACAGCGGATTCCTCTGCAGCTCGGCGCTGCTGTTGCCCACGCGGATCTCGATGTCTTGCAGAGGTTGATGACCTGCGCGCGCGCGTGAACAGAGGCCTTGAAATTCCAGTGCTCGTCTCGCGTCGGCGCGCGGACTGCACCGATCTCGCGAGTGCTGAGCAGCTTGGCCGCCCATCGACGCGCGAGCGGCTGAAATCCGAGCTCAGCACCCGCGAGCGGCCGGCGAGCCGGGGGGGGGGGGGGCGCAGTTAGTCGCTGCCGTCGAGCGGAACGGCCGCCCGGGAGCGGAGCGCTTACCGCAGCAGCCACGGGTGGTCACTCGCACGACCTTGACCGCGTAGGCCTTGAGCAGGTCCACCCTCCACCAGGGGCTGGGCTCGCTCTGGGTCTCGGTGCACCGCTTCCCGTCGTGCTCGGTGCTGAGGTCGCCGTCGTTGCCGTGGCTGGCGTCGCCGCCTCTCACGCTCGTCGACTGGTTGGCCGGCTTCCTAAAGCCCACGTTCACTCCTGCGGCAAAGACGCACGCCGGGCTCGGGGTCACGCTCTCGGCCGACTTGGGCCGATCGGTCGTGCGCGGGGCGCCGCCTGGGAACCGCGAGCACTCGCGGGAAGCACGCGACCGCCGACGCCCGCTGCTCTCGTTGTTCGCGCCCGCGCGGGGAGAAGGACGAGCGACACCGGTGCGCTATCGCCGTTTCGCTACCCTGGAGGGCCGCGCGGCTTCGTCGTTCGCCTGCAGCGTTGCGCAAGAAGGCGCGTGGTACAGCCCGATTGGAAAACGCTCCTTCCCTTGGCGAGTGCCTTTCGATAATTCAGCTCTCCGGCGGCAGAGAGAGAGAGAGAGAGAGAGAGAGAGAGAGAGAGAACGCGCGCGCGCCCGACGTATCACAACGGTACCATCGGCATTCAAACCTAGCGCGCTCCCCCTCCCCCAACGCCCTGGCCTAATACGATTGTCGGCACGCAGCATCGCGCGGGCTCGCCGTGGCGGCGGATGCTCTGCCGCAATAATCGCCGATTCGGAGCTAACGAACGTTGCGCAAGCCCGAGCTTCCCGCTGTTCGCCGGCTGGATTTGCTCGTCTGCGCACAAAGAGCCGCGTGAGCGCGCCTCCGTTGTTCGTGCACTCACCGCAGAACGCCATCTCCCCCAGCCACTTTCCTTTGTTGCCGCAGGTCAGGCTGTTTGCGCTGGAAGAAAGAACAGACGCGCAGAGTCAGATTAACGGCGTGCGGCCGTCAGATGGATGAGCAGCTCGTGGCGCTCGCGCAACGGACGCACGGGCCTCGATCGCGGCACATCGGGAGCGAGCCACGAGCGACGGGGCTCGGAGTGGCGGTCGGTCCCGGGGCAATTCGGAAAAGTGCGAGCATGCGGAGAAAGCCGAACGAGTCGGCGTTCCACTCGGGTGACAACGATTACGCGCGCAAGCTATTCACAGCCGGACACGCGATCCCGAAGCAACCGTACGCACTTTCGCGCTGAGCGCGTGATTGCGTCAAGGAGCTTTTCGACCAAAGGATCCCGACTCCGCTGGCTCTCGGCGGGCCAAGCCGTCTCGCCGAGGCACCGAGGCGACGCGAAGGGACGCGCAGCTCGCGAACACTTACCCAAACAGCTCGTAGCCTACGTCGCAGGTGTAGGTGGCGGTGGTGCCGACCTTGAGCGACTCGTCCGACAAGCTGACCCTGGCGTTCATCGGCACCGCTGGCTGGCCGCATCTCGGCTCTGCAACGGGCAAACGCAGTCAGATCTCGATCGTTGGACGGCGGAAGAAAGAGGAGGATACGCGCGCGCGCGCGAATCAGCGCTGACTTTCTAATCGCAGCGCTCACCGGCGCTCGCCAGCTCTCGCGATCGCGCGCGAATAAGGAGCCGCGCCACGGCGCTCCGGCCTCTCGCGCCAAGTCAGCGTCAACATTGACATTGTCGCCACAGCCGTTGCCGCGAGCACGGGCGCCGGACGTCCGCTGATTAGCACCTTTGCGCCACTGGCACGCCGCTAACGTCGTTACCGCGAGTGCTCTCGGTCCGCCCAAACTGCCGTCTCGTCGTTTTTTCGAGTCTTCGGCGCGATACCGCGCTGTCCGGGTTCGACCGCGTTACTAGACGGGGAAAGAAGCCGAAGCGAGGGGACACAATGAGCCAGCTAAACACAGAGGCCGCGGTAATTGACGTAGCGAGCGAGGCATGGAAATGAGAAAAGTGAGGCCATGCGAATGTAGGCATATAAGCGAGCGGCGCAAGGTAATGCCATTAGGATTGCAGTCCGCGAGCAGACAACGAGGGAGGCAGGCCCCCGGCCATCGCCGGCGCGAACGCGAGCGGAGCAGGCGGCCGCGCGTCCATGCCACGCACGAGGCGCGCGAACGCGTGGCTCGGCCGGCGGCCCGTCGCCTTGGACGGGATCCCACGCCGAGTGCCATTGTTCGGATTCCGCGCTTCCATTTGTCGCCCGCGACACGCGCGCCCACGCTTTCTCGCGCCGCCGATAGCGAGCACGAGCGACGAGCCGCTCGCTCGGCCTTTCGGCGCGGCGTCGGGCCGGGGATCGCGAGGGAAAGTGGCCGGCGATTATGGCGCGCGCGCTCTGCATCCGCGAGCCGCCGCACTTTCCGCCGACGAGCTTGTAGCCGCGTTCCACATACGGCCACGCTCGTCCCGCTTGCCCGTTCGGTCGCGCGCTCTCGTTGCCGTTGGGAACGAGGACTGATCGCGAGGCGGCGGTCGCCCGACGCTAATCGGCCGATCGCAGCTTTCGCGATGCGGCTCCGGATTAATTGCGATCTCGCCGAGCGAGCGTCGGGAAAGCCGCCGCGGCGTCGTTATATTATCGGCGCGGTTACTTTGGCCGCGCTGCCTGCCGGGAGAAATTGGCTCAAGCTGATCGCGGTGAAATCGATGGCGCGCGAGTGGCCGTGCGCGTCGTCCTCGGCTTCCGTCAAGGCCGACCGAGGCGTCGTCGTCGTCGTCGTCGTCGTGTCGAGTGCGCGCATCGCTCGATCCCGGTCGGCGGTCTCGCGCAAGAGAAAGCTGCGCCTGCTGGATCGGCGCTCATCGGTTCGGGCCGACCGGTGGACTCTCTTCTCGCCCGCGATGGTTTCACCGATCGATTTTCCACATTCGGCAGTCGGCTCACGGCAGCGATCGCGCGCTTCCACGGCTTCGCCTCCTTTCGATTGCGCGCGCGCGCGCCGGTGACACTTTACTTTCTTTAATGAACAAGCGCCGACTTTCTCCCCTAGCGCTAGCTCCGTGCCGCGGCATCGAGAGTCCAATGATTCCGCCGCGACGGACAAGGCGCTTCGTGGCGGCCGCGCGCTCTGCAACTTTCGACGGCGCCTGCCGACAGCGGTGTCGCGCTTTTCCCAAGCGAGCGCAGGTGCACGCCGACGAGTTTTCGCGGCTGCGGATGCGCCGAGGCGCGCGTTAACGGAACCGGGCCCGGGGATGGAACGCGGAGATGCGAGAAGCTCGCGGCGGCAGGCACGTCGGAATGCCGCCGCTACCGCGGAGAGCGTCGCGGGCCACTCTGGGTCACTCGGCTACTGCCGGCGGCGGCCTCGAGCGGCCCGAATAACGGTTCTGCGTCCACGCGCGCGGGCCGAGAACGTTTACCGCTGGCCGCGCGCCGCTCGTCTCGGCTTGGCACACCGAGTCCGCGGCTGGACGGCCGCGCGCTTGGGCCGTGGAAGCGTGCACTCGCGCGCGGTTGCCCGGAAGGCACGGGAAGCGACATAGGTGTGGCCGTGAGCGAGCGATAGCGATCGAGGCCGATCTCCGAGAGCTCCGCCTGCACCTTCTATTCCGCGACGCTCGACTCGGCTCAGCTCGGCTCGGCTCGGCTCGGCTCGACTCGACTCGCGCCGCGTCCTCGCCCGAGTCCGTAATCCCAGCCGCGCCGCATAGCCGCAAAGCGTTCTTGCGGACTCGGCTGCGAAATCCATCTGCTGAAACGGAGATGTCCGTCCGCGCCGCCGCGACCTGCCTTCGTTCCACGTCCGCGATCCCCGAGCGCTTATCAAACGGAAAAAGGGAGGCGAAGATCGCGGCGCGCGCGATCCTTTCCCAATTCCATTGTTCGACTCTCGGCGCACGTACGCGCGCGCCAGCCGTTGCGCAAGCCGCGTGCACGTACAACGGCTATCTCGCGGCGGCCCTCCTGGCTTACCAAACCGCCGCCACCTGTCGTAATTATTCGGCCGATCGACGACGCCCGTGCACTTCCTCGTCCGGATCGTTTCTCGCGGGAAGCAATTGGATACGCCGCGACGAACTTCGGTGCGTGCACGCGCGCGAGCCCAAGGGAGTGCGAGGACGAGGCTCGACCGCAAAAACTGCCAACGCTCGACGATCGGATCGTGGCGCGCATGCACGCACGTGCGAGATCGAGAGAGAGCCGATGGCGTCGCCACCGCCGCCGCCGCCGCCGCCGCCGCTCTCGTTCTCACGATCGGCGATACGCCCGCTTACCGCACGTCGTTCGCTTGCTTACACCTGCTTCTTACGTCTCTGGTCCTCGCGGTCGCGGGCCCGTCGAGTTCAGCGAACGCCGAGTAATCGGCGCGACGAGGGGCCCCGCCGCACGGCGCAAAAACTGGCCCCGCGGGCGAGCCTCGCCGCGACGGAGGGTCCACCGTTGCGCGGAAAGAGCGCGCACCCGATCGGCCTGGTCGCTGGCCCGCGGGCTGGTCGTGCGGCGGAAGCCTAGCGAAAGCGAGCACAGCGCAGCAGTGGCTCCTCGTTAAATCGCGGAGAACCGTTGCGAAACCAACGGCCGTTTAGCCGCGGAGCCGATCCTTTTGGGAAAGGAGCAATCGCAGAGTATAAACGCCGGTTGATTGGGCCCGTGTTCCAGCCGTGCTTCGCACTCCAATTACGCAATTTCGTTTCCGAGCCGCGCTCTGCGCTTTTTATCTCCCTCTCGAATGGACACGACCGCAGGCAAATCGGGCAGAGCTGCAGGCTAGAGTGGCGAACAGTGGCCGAGTCTTTCGCGACGACGAGCCGAAACCCCCAGGAGCCCTCCGAGTCGACGTCGTCGGCGTAGCCCAGTGCGATCGAACCGATCCGCGATTTTCCAACGATCGCTCGGTCGAAGCGGTCAGCGGTCCTCGCGGTCCTTCGCCACTCGCGCGCCAAGCCGCTCTCGCCCGGGCGATCGATCGGGCAGCGCGCACCTCGTAAAGGACGCGCGGAGCCGAGTCTCGATCGCTGTTGCCGCGCGCGCGCGTCGACACGCCGCGGACACGCGCGCACGCACACGACCACCGACGGCTTACGGCTAGCGAATTGCAATTAGACGTGCGCAGCCGGGCCGTCACCGATGACCATTGCACTTGCCTGCCACTTGTTCGCGCGACAATATCGCCGAGGCCGCATTTGCGCAAGTTGACGCTGTCGCGCTATCGAGGCTTGTCCGGGTTCGATCGGCGCGCGCGTCGCCTTTCAACGGCCGTGGCAAATCGTTCTCTGCTCCCCCGGCGATCGTTCGCAGCGGGAACGGTGACGCAACGAGGCCGCGCTACCGCGGGCCGCGGTAGCGCGAGCGATCCCCTTTGTCCCTCCGATAAGCCCGGCTTTTCCCGCGCGCGGCGCCCGCTCGGGAGGTCTGCGATCGGCTCGCCAGCCATTACGGCAATCGAGTCACGTACACTCCACGCTCGTTATGCAAAATCATTAAACTCGAAGCCATGCAGTTTTCGATTGCCGCCGCGTGACGCAACCGCTCGCCGGCTACTCGACGAGCCGACCGCGCGAGCTCGGAAGACGCGCGACCCGCGGCCCGTACGACGATCGCGCGATCTTGCGAGTGGTCCCATTGCCGTTGCGACGTTTGTCGCGCGGCGTCTCGCAGCCTCCGTCGGGCTATCGACTTGGCCGTGGCGTTGCGACAGGTCGAGACCGGCCGAGAGAGCGCCCGGAAATGGGTCGCCGCGCGCGCTCCCTTTCTTCGGGCCTGTCGGCCGCAGCGCAGGTGCGCGCTCGGCCGCCCAGGCTCCCCTTCGTCCGGCGCGCGCGGTCAAGCGGCGACGGCCCCGCGCGCGTTCGCCCGAGCATATGGCATCGAGAGAAAGCGCCGACGAGGACGGTGGTCGCGACCAACTTTCGATTTTGATCCGAGCCGCTAGCGGACAAACCAGCCACGGTCTCGCGGCCGCCGCTCGCGCCGGACCAGGGAGAACGGAGCGAGGAGAGGGGCTCGCGCTCCGACCTCGACGCGGACGACTCGGGGCAGCGGGGACCGGAGCCGCGAGTAGGCGGAATCGGATCGCTCGCGCTCCTTTTATTTTCACTGACGCGCGGAACCGGTATGGAGCTGCCGAAATTCTCCGCGCGCCTCTGGCCTATTTGCTCGGCCCTCGTGAAAACCGACCTGCGCAACCGTCGTCGCCGGCTGTTTTTGCGGCTGCGGACGCGGCAAGTCGAACGGCCGAGCACTCGGGGCTACCTTCCGCGATACGGTAGCTAGAGTTTTACGGGCGTTGCTCTCCGAGTCTCCTCGCGCTGCTAAACGGTACATTTACCCAGCGCCGCGCCGAGAGAAACGATCTCCCGTTCTCGAGAGCTCGAGAGCTCGAGAGCCTCTTTCTCATTCCAATGAAAAGAGCGCGCGCCAGTGGCGAGTCGGCGGCAAGTACAGTTAGGCTCTCGTTCGCGATTCGACTTGTTTTTTCTCCCGCGTCGGTTACGCGGCCGACGCTCCCGTACCGCACCCGGGCGCGTCGAGCTTCGGACGCGAGCCTCGAGGGCACGGCGAAGGAGGCGCGCTACTAACCAGCGGGGCCCGCCGCTCGGGCAGGCAGGGCCAGCAGCAGCAGAGGCAGCAGCAGCAGCAGCGGCGGCGGCGGTGGCGGCGGCGGCAAGCGGGCCGCGGTCGGCGGCATCCTCGCGGGCGGCCGACTCGCCTCCGCAGCGCTGTCGTCCGGATGGGCGCCGCCGCTCGGGCAGGCGCGTGCGCGCGCGCGGTCGCTCGACACTGACTGGACTAGCGGGCCGGCGCGCAGCCGGGCATCGTCCTCGGGCTGGAGCTCGCTGGGCCGCTGGCGCGCCTGGGCATCGAACTCGCCGCGACTCGTCGGGCAGCACACTACGCGCCGCTCTGGCCGGTGCTCGGCTCGGCTGCTCGCATCGCGCTCACCTGGCGCGTACTGCCACCCGAGGAGAGAGCGCGCGCGCGGCTCGGCGCGGTCCCCTTCACCGCGGCCGCGCGCGCGCCACCTCCTTCGCTTCCGCGCTCGTTCTCTCTCGCTCGTTCGCGCGAGCGCCCGCGCACCCTGCCGCTCGCGGAAAGCTCGCGGAAAGAGACGCGCGATTTCACTTTCGGCTCTCGTCCGCGCGACGGCCGATCGGGTGCGACCGCAGCTTCGCCGGAACGGCGCTCGGGCGGTGCATACGGCGAGCGGGATCTCGGCCGCCGCAGAGCCGCCGCGCCATTGCAGCCATGTTACGGCCGTTGCGGCGCGCGCGCCGCAGCCTCGCCGAGCTGCGCCGATGGTGGCTCCGATGCCGCGCTCGTCTCGTGGAGCTGCTGCGCTGCGCGACGTGCCTCGCGTTTCGCAACGTCGCTCGTCGAGCGTCTGGCGCGCAAGCCCGCGGGCACTCGGGTGCCGACGCGCGCTTCGCGATCGACTTTCGACGCTCGATCGCACGGCATATTCGCCGACTGTCTGCCTGCACTCGGCGCGATGACTCGTCGTCGAGCGCGCGCCCAACAGCGCCGCGCGAGCGATTCGCAGAGTGACCCTCGAAACTGGAATATGGCGCTCCGGCAATTCGGCCTCGCGCGAGCGGCAAGCGTGCTCGTTATACCGGCAGAGGCGTTGGGCTGTACATGCAAATGTGCGCGCTCATTTATGCGAGTCGCTCTGGACTGCACAGTGCGGCTGTAGTAAAAAGCCCAAAACGAGAAACGGATAAATCAGGCTAGCCTAGCGGTCACAGCGCTCTCGTCCATCGCTACACCCGTGCACGCGCACGCTCGCGCACACGTCGCCGTCGCGTGCAAAACGAGCGCGACTCCGCTAAGGTGCGATCTCGGTATACCGTTAAGATCCGATGCTTTTCCTAGTCTGGCCGCCGTCGACCGCAAACTGCATCTCCACAGCAGATTGCAAACTGGACCGCGGCACTAAAAACAAACGAGCCAGCTAATGACACAGATCGAGCGTCGAGCGGTACGTTCGCCGCAGCTTTGACAATTCGAGAAGGAGAGGCCCTCGGTGGTGGCGGTCGACGTCCTCCGGCGCGGAGAAGCGCAACGTCCAGTTCGGAGAAGTGCGCACGGTGAGATCCTTGCCGGGGGAGGCTGCGGCGACCGTCTTTACCGGCTGTAGCTTCCGCGCGCTCGACGTAGTACGTCGAGGCGCGCGCGGAGGCGCTCCGAGCCGCGTCGACGCGTCACGAGGAACGCGCGACAAAGCTCGCCCCCCGCACGGCCTCTCGGCGTCGCGAGCTTTCCTCGGAGCTTCGATCGCGCGCTCGCGAGCGCGCGCCGGGAGGGCAATTGTCGACGAAAGCAAACAACGCGTGGATCGCGCCGGCGACGCGCGCGAGGAGAGCGGGTGGGCAAGTCGAGCTTGCGGCCGGGGCCGCGGGACGCGGCGGGGCGGCTGGCGACGGCGGTGGGGACGGAGGCGCAGTAGGGTCGAGTCTATGGATCGAGCGAGGGGGCTCAGTCGACGGCGGGAGTCGCGGCGAGCGCGGCAAGACAAAGGCAGACGAAGCGGCCTCGTCGGCGAGGCGCCGCTCGCAGTGCTCGACTCGGGCGCCGAGAGGCCCGCGGAGATGCGGCGGGCTCGAGCTGCGGGCAGGCGGCCACCCGCGGGCGCCGCGCTCCCCGACGAGACGCGAGCGACGAGGCCACGGCGCGCAGGCGGCGCCAGCCCGACGCCCAGGAGCTTCGGCGGCCGAGAGCGTCGCCGCGCAGCAGCCGGCCCAGCCTCCCGCTCCGACGCGCGTTTCTAGGTCAGTGATCCCCGTCGAGAGCGCGCGGCTCGTGTGGAGCTCCGGCTGGCGTTCGTTAGCGGGCGTCAACAAGTGCCAATTGGCGCGGGGGCGGAAATTTAATTTTCTGATAAGGGCCGACGAAAGACGCTCACGCGAGCGTTGCGAGATCGCGCCTCGCACGTGATCAGCGTACCACGCGAGCGCCCCGTCGCTCTCTCGATTCCACAGGCCCGACCAGCCTAAGAGGCGCAGCCCAGCGGACGCGACAGGTCCGACGATGACCGAGGGCGGCGGCGGCGGCGGCGGCGGCGGCGGCCGCGGCCAGAAGGCCTGCGGCGACAACCAGCTGACGCTCAACCAGATGGACGTGAACGAGTGCCTGGGCAGCTGGCTGGCGTACCTGCAGGTGAGCGAAGAAGCCCGCGCCGGGCTCGGGGCAGCGCGACCACGGCCTAATTCGGACTACCGACGTTGAAGATGCTGAACGGGCTGTGCTCGGCCGGCACCAAGCTGGCCCTGTCGCTGCAGGCGCTGCTGTCGGGTCACGAGAGCGGCGCCCCGGCGGCGCCCTGCCGCGTGACCAGCCAGTGCCTGGCCGGCTGGGAGGAGCTGACGCGCGCCACCAACGTGGCCAGCCACACGGTGAGGAAGCACGTGGTCACCGCCATGAAGGACTACGAGGTGCTGGACAGCGACGGCGACAAGGCGGTCAGTCGGTAACGCGGCGCGGCTCCCGTTGGCGCAGGCTGACCGGAGCCGCGCGCATCTCTGTGCACACAGGACATCCTGCGCGACAACCTGCTGACCTTCATCAACCTGCAGTACCAGTTCTGCGTGGCGTGCTGCAAGTGCCTGGGTGAGTGAGCGGGCCTGCGGGCGGCAGCGCGCGCGGACCTGTAGCGGCGCCTTTGCTCTGGCCGCAGGGAGCATGGCCGAGTGCTCGTGCACGCAGGACGGCAGCGAGTGCGACATCGCCGCGCTGCAGCAGTGCTTCGAGCGGCTGTACAGCTCGCCGCCGGCCGCGGCCTCGGCCTCGGCGCAGCCCGGCCAGCGCTCGCCGCTGCCGCCCTCGCTGTTCCCGCTGCAGGTGCGGCGGCGCTGGTCCGAGACGGCGGCCACCTCGGCGGACATGGCGGGCGGCGAGGCCGCCGAGCAGGCGGTGCGCCGCTGGTCCATGCCCTGGGACTGCCGCCACGTGAGCGAGTGGCCGCCGCGGCAGGCGGAGCCGGGCGGCGCGGCGCGCGCGCGCCTGCGGGTGCCCGCGGCCGAGCGCAGCCGGTCCGCCACGCCGGACGCGCGCTGGCGCGCCGCCATGAGCAGCCAGGACGGGCTGCGCGAGGCCATCCAGCTGCTGTCCTGCCGGCCGGGCGTGCGCGTCTACGGCGGCCACGTGCCCGGCGTCACGCTCACGCCCTGCGGCCTCGACGCCGGCCCGGCCTGGCCCGACTCGGCCGCGGGCGCCGCCGCCGCCGCCGCCGCCGCCGCGCGCGCCTGGCCCCACCGCGACTCCCACTCCAGCGACCACTCGGACCACTCGACCTCGCACTCGACCCACTCGGGCCTCTCGGGCCCGCGCGACTCCGGTGAGCCCCGGCCGCCGCGCCCCGGCCGCCGCACTAACCGGCCCCGTGCCTTGGCTGCCCGCAGAGCTCAGCGCCGGCAGCGGCAGTGCCCACGGCGACAGCAAGGACAGCGTCCACTCGCACAGCGACTACGGCGGCCGCGGGGAGTCCGACGCCGGTACGCGCGCGCGCCACGCGCCTCCCCCGGCCCCATTGTCAAGCGAACTGCTCGTTTCAGGCGCGCTCGAGCTGCTCTCTTCGCGCAAGAACAGCTCCTCCACGGACTCCTGCGTCTCCGCGCACAGCCGGTCGGGCTCCGAGAGCGCGCCCGCCGCCGGGGTAAGTCCAGCGCCCAGCGGCCCGCAGGCCCGCCCGAGCGCGACTGACGCCTCGCCCGAGCGCTTGCAGGACTCGCTCCGGTCCAACCTGTACTCGATGTGGAGCGGCAGCGACCTGCCCTTCATCAGGCTGCCGGAGAGCAGCGAGATCAAGGACGACTCCGCGCTCGTCTGAGGCAATCCAGCGGGACTCGGCGCCGACGTGGCCACGACTCCTCGGGGACCGTGCGTCTCGCCAACCTGTTGTTCTTACGTATCTCGTCTGTTTCACGCTACTTAGAAATGTGCTTACAATTGTACACGGGAGGACCGCACGCGAGCACTCGGCGACGTCAATTCTATCGCCTGCCGCCACTTTGGACTGGAGTTACGAGAGCAACGAGTGTCATCGAGAGACGAATGAGAAAGAACTTGAGACAGATTTACGTGTACATAGGCATAAAGAATTTAATGTCATGGCAATATGTTTATATGTACAATTTTATCATCCGTATGGCACAGTATACATACACACATAAACGTCATATAAAAAGAAAAGAATTGAAATAGTGAATTTAGCTAAAATAAATTTAAGAGTGTTCCTTAGGTGTCAGCGTTAATTCGATTCGGCAAACTTAGGCTACGATATAGCACTGAGTCACACGTGCACGGCGCTCACTTTGAGACGGAAGCTGAAATTGCATTACATAGACTTGCCGTATGTATATACCTGTAGATATGGGAAGAAGGCTGCGCTGAGTACTCGAAAATGCGGCGGGTCGCTCGCTGCCGCACGGCAGCGGGGCCAGGGCAGGCAGGAAGGGAAGAAGCGAGAGACAGCTGGCACATCCGTACGACACTCGTGATCGGTCATTCCCTCGACAGAACGTGACTAGAAAGAGCTCTTTGCCGGTCGTAGGGACAGAGGAGGAGACGGAGGCTGGGGCAGGGGGGCGGGGGCAGGAGAGGGAGGAGCGGTCCCGAGCAGCGGAAGCGAGCGGAAACCGAGGCGGGGGCTCAGTCGACCTCGTCCTCGGCCAACTCGTCGTCCTGGCCGTAGTCGTCGTACTGGTCCTTGGGATCGTCCTCCTTGTCGAGCGGGCAGTGCAGGCAGCGCGACTCGTTGATGCCGTAGTTGATGCACGTGTCGCCGACGCACTCGCAGCAGCCGTCGTGAAACCAGCGGTAGCTGGTCGCCCCCATGCTCTGGCAGGCCTGCCTGCACTTGTTCCACGAGTTGCAGTGGGCCATGTAGGCCACCGTGCAGTTGACCGTCATCACGTTGGGCTTCAGCGGGTGGCTGTTCTGGCCCTCGGGGTTGTCCGACACTGCGCCCACACACGCACGCCACGTCTCAGTGCAGCTCGGCGCCGGTCGCGCTCCTCTCGCGTATACTCACGCATGTGGTACTTGAGCTCCTTGTCCTGCTTGGGCGAGAACAGGCTCACGTCGAAGTCCACGGGGTAGGTGAAGGTCAGCCAGCGCTCGTGGGCGTCGGGCTCGGCGGTGAGCGCCTGGAACAGCCCGGGCACCGGCTCGTTGAAGTCCTCCACGTGCGACTTCTTGCTCAGCGGGTTGTCCGTCACGTTGGGCTTGGGGCACAGATCTGCAAGCGAAACGCGTGTCAGCGTGCTGCCTAACGTCCCCCCTCCGTGCACCCTCGTACTTACCCACACAGGAGCAGCACTCGTCGTAGAGGTAGGACAGGCAGGAGAAGCACTCCTTGCAACAGGTGCACGTCACCAGGTCGCACTTGCAGCTCTGCGTGAGCATGCACTTGCTCACCACGCTGGCGCAGATCGCCTCGTTGCAGGCGTAGCTCCAGCTCGCCGACAGCAGCAGCGCCAGCAGGGCCGCGCCCGCGGCGCCACTCGCCAGCCGTCTCGACGGCCCCGGCATCCTGGAATCTGTTCCCATCTGATTAGTCGCCGCACGCCGAAAGCTCCGACCCGACTGCGCTCGCGTGCAACGTCCCGTCCACGGCGAGTCGCCGCTGCGTTGTCCTCTCAGCGAGTGGTTCTTTCTTTCGCGAGCCGCGCTCTCCCGAAAGTCGTCGCTTGGCGAACGCGGAAAAGGGAAAGGCTGAGCGATAAGCACAGCTGGAAAATATGAAATAGATGTGGCGATAGTCGGAACGGAGGCGTAGCCGAGGTGAGCCAAGGCCGCAAGGGCTCCCCTCAGGTATGCCAAGCTTTCTCTCTCTCTCTCTCTCTCTCTCCTTCTGAGTCGACTGGCTGGCTGTGGCGGCGGCGCAATTCCGGCTCCGAAAATTACGTTCTCAGAGTTTCGTGGAACTTCAGGTAGGTCCCCGCGGAGGCTGGGCTGGAAGCCTCCTGACTAAAGCCAGAAAAATGCCGAGTCGCCACGGCAAGGGAGCTTTTACGAGCGAGCGCATCGCTCGGCCGTCTGTTTGTTTGTTTTCGTCGGGGCAGTTAACGATCTCGAGCTGAGCGTCTTGCCGCGCGGCTCGCGGAGACTGGAGAACGCGCGCGACGAGCTCGCGCGAGCGTTGCGAAACGACACGTGCGAGCAAGACGAGCAGCGGCGACGGGCCGAGCGACGGGGACGGCGATTGGCCGGGCGCGCCAAGGCGTCCCCGCGGACTACGTAAGCGCGCAAGTATGTCGCGCGCGCGCGCGCGCTCGCCTGTACGCACCTGTTGGACAGCGATCGATCGATCGATCGATCGATCGCGCGCTCGAGCGAGCGAGCGAGAGGCGCAGTTGGCGCAGCCTCTGTCCGTCCGCGACTGTCGCTCGGGCTCGGCTGTGGCGACGACTGACCTCGACAGGCTGCAGGCGTCCGGTGAGCTGCGTGCGCGGGGAGCACTGGCTGCTGTGGGCGCTAGTTCGACTGGGCGGCCTGCTGCGGCTTCGGCAGCGACATGTCGCGCGAGAGCACTCACTACATAATCGCGAGCGAGCGAAAGAGCAAGCGAACGAACGAACGAGCGAGCGAGCGAGCGAGCGAACGGGCGAGCGGAGGTGCGGCGCTTGTCGTCGGCTGCGGGAGAAGACTGAATGAAGGAAGAGAGGACGAGGCGCAGGAGGCAAAGGCAGCAGCAGCCACCACGGCGAAGAGGAGGAGGAAGTGGCTGCCGTGCGGCTCTGGAGGTGGTCGCGCACTCTCTCTCTCTCTCTCTCTCTCTCCATCTCGGAGCGAGCGAGACGGAGCGAGGCTCATAGCCAGAGACAGGTTTTCGAATTTTTTCGACTTTTTGCTGGCTCGCTCTTACCTGCCCTCCCGCCGCCGCTTGCCGCCTCTCGCTCGACCTCCCCGCCACCCGCGACTCTCCGCCGCACGTTTCGTATTTACGTCTCTCGCTATCGCGCATTTTTCCCGATAAGCATCTGCGAGCGATCGCGATCGCGAGGCAGGCCCTGGCCGCCTCCGCCCGTGAAACCTCTCCGTTACGGAGACTCACCGCTCGCACCAAGTGCCGACGATCAATTACCTCGTTTAGCTGAAAGCCGCCGTGGCAGGCATTTACGCGCTTCCGCCGCGGCGCTGCCTGCTCCCGTGCTCCGCTGCTTCTCTCGTGTGCCGCGCGCCGAAAGTCGCGGCGACCTGTTACGTCTGTCCAGTTGCGGCGAATAATTGAAACGTCAGCCGGACGCTGGCTCTCGTAGCGAAGGGAAGCGAGGGAATGAGTGGGCCTCGTCGAGGACGCGACGACTACGAGCACGAAGGAGGAGGAGAAGAAGAAGATCACGAGGACGAAGATGGGACCAAGAGATAGGAAACACTCGTCTTGTCTTGGGAGAGGGACCTCCCCAAAGAGCGTGGCCGCGCAGGTATCCAGCTCGAGCCTAATGACCGTACGAACCCTCCGATCTCTCTTTGCTTGTTTTACTGATTGCCGACTCTGGCCGCCGCCGGCGCGCACCTCAATTTAGCCCAATAAGCCTCTGAAAGCGACGACTGCAAACGAAAGTCACGCTGCGCGCCGTGCGGACCGCCCTCGCCGCTGCGAGCGCGCGTCAACCAGCAGCCAGGCACATTACGCCTTGTTTTCCGTCGCGCGCCACTGCAATTTCGTCGAAATGGGATTTTCAAGCGCGATTTGCCGCTCGGCACGGCTAATATTGACGCCACGATTGATCGCGCCGGTTCGCGGAAGCCCTGGCGCTAGCCCACTTTCCGAGCGTTCACGCTGCCGTGTACTTGCCATTTGTCACGTTTCTTCCGCCTTCGCTCCTATTCGCGGACCGCGCGAATGGGAGTTCTCTCTCTCTCTCTCTCTCTCTCTCTCTCTCTCTCTGTCGCGATCCCGGCGCCTTTCCACTGAATGCTATTATAAAACGGATTTTCGCGCGCGTTCGGCGCAACCTCCCCCGAATCACCAATATCTTTCGATACTTGGGTAATCCGTTGCCGACCATCTTTCCCGGCTCGTCGTTCGCTACGCGTGCAGCATGCAAAGCTGACGCTTGTACTCAGAAGACTATTACGCGACTCTGATTCTTGGCTCGCGCGCAAACTATTTGAAGAAAGCCGGGGCCAGCGCCATCTTCCGAGCGCGCCTCCAACGACGGCGCTGGTAAGGTAGAGATCTGCCTATAAGTTTCCCTACTTGCACTGACGTACACACACTCGTCTAACTTTCAAGTCAACAGCCGCTTCGACCGTTCTGCTCTTTACCGCGTACTACTCTGCCTCGCCTCTTTTGTACATATGCTTTTTTTCGCAACCGCGAATAAAGTCCCGGACGTGGACTCCTGCAAACACGAAGGTGGAAGACACTTGCCGCGTCATTATTTGTTGAAACAAGTGTGATTCGTTGTGTATTTTTGCTTGGTAACGTGGCTTTCGTTCGTATCTCAAAGCAGCTGTGTTATCTGCGTAATTTTACGTAAGTTTTTTGCTTTTTCCGTTTGTCTCATAACCAACGTGTTTCAGTCGTTTTTTTTTTCAAATTCATTCTATTTGGCTATCATACCTCCTATCCTTTTCTGCAAGTTATCGTGATATAATTTTTTTAAGATACTTGTATTATTAATGAAAAGTGCTGGCACTGATTTTTTTAATAAAGTCCAGTGAGTTATAGCTATCATCCTAATCGCATATTGATTTCCAGTAATATGAAGTACTTTTTGGCAACGTTATTTTCAATTTTGATAATACAAGACTGTGTTGCTCCACCCGTAGAGCATAAGAAAAAGGAAGAAGCTGAAAATGAAGTGCCTGCTGAGGATTTGGTATGCCTTGGCAATCTTTGTTTATTACCAATAATCAGTGAAGTTAAATAGCTTCACATTGTCATGTTATTTAAAAATTTTAGGCTGCTTATATGGAATATCACAGATACTTGCAAGAAGTAGTCAAAGCTCTTGAAAGCGATGTAGATTTTAGAAAAAAATTAGAATCAGTAGACGAATCAGAAATACGCGTAAGTAACCCAAAGAAAATTTAATATTAAAGCATTCCTAAGTGTTAAATTGAAGAGCAATATACATTAATAAGTAAAATATTTCAACATAGAGTGGAAAAATTGCACACGAACTGGAGTTTGTCAGTCATCATGTTAGAAGCAAATTAGATGAATTGAAACGACAAGAACTTGAAAGACTGAGACATTTTGCCACCAAAGAATTTGAACTAGAAAATGGCCTCGATCCAAGACATATGAAAATCTCAGAACATCTGGAACATGTTGATCATACCAACCCACATACCTTTGAGATTGATGATTTAAAGAAACTAATTGCCAAGGTAAACATTGATTCAAATTAAATAATTTATAGACTCCAGCCAAGAATGATCAATTTCTTGCTTGCAGACTACAAAAGACTTGGATGAAGCCGATAAAAAAAGGCGAGAGGAATTCAAAGAGTACGAAATGAACAAAAAATTTGAACAAGAAGAAAAAATGAAAAGTATAAAGATAAATATGATTAATATTACTTTAAAGTCACCAATAATACTTGTTCAAACAAATTACTACATGACAAAATGTATTTTTCAGATATGACAGAAGAAGATAAAACAAAGTACGAAAATGAATTACATGATTTAGAGAAAAAACATAAAGAGCATGAACCAGTAAGTATAGCATGCCTATTGCAATATTTAAACTTGTTATTTTAATATCTTTCTTTAATGCACTCATAGTTACACCATCCTGGTAGTAAGAAACAGTTAGAAGAGGTTTGGGAGAAGCAAGATCATATGGAAAATCAAAACTTTGACCCTAGAACATTTTTTTATTTGCATGGTAAGTTATATACAGTATTTGTAGATAGTATTACTGAAATAAATAATTTTCAAATTTTTGTTGAAATTTAATTTTTTTAAATAGATTTGGATGGAAATGGTGTTTGGGACCCGACCGAAGTGAAGGCCCTGTTCCTTAAAGAGTTAGACAAGCTTTACTCTCAAGGTGCTCCAGAAGATGACATTGTAGAGAGAGCAGAAGAAATGGAAAGAATGAGAGAGCATGTTATGAAAGAAGCTGACCTAAACAAGGATGGACTTATAAGGCAAGATTTATAACTAACTCGGCAATTCTTTACCGTTGTATCAGTTGAATTTATTTTTATGAGATAAATATTCCCTTTTTTAGCTATGATGAATTTTTGGCTGAAACGAAAAAGGTTGAATTTGAACAAGATCCTGGCTGGGAAGCCCTTGATGAACAAAAACTTTATTCAGAACAAGAATATGAAGAATTTAGAAGGCAAAAAGCAAGAGAAATTGAAAGACATATTGCGCAAGGAATGGTAAGATCATTTAAAATTTCATCGTATGTAGACTTAATAGTTAGCATGATTTGATAGTTATTTTTCTGCATGTATCAAACCATTTTATTTGTAGTTTGTGTCGATTTTTTTGTAATTGCATAATTTAAAAACTGTTGAATTTAACATGTACACAACTGGTTTTGTGTAATTAGAGTAATTAAGTTGCTTGTGCATTGTTTTTTTGTTAGTCTCAAGAACATCATGCTGGTCAACCCCAGACTGGGCAGCAGCAGGTGAGAATTGATAGAATTATTTTTTTTTATCGCTTGATAGTTACTAAAACGTATGATGAAAAAAATATCAATTTCACTTTTAATTGGTTAATTGATTACTTCAATTTCAGTTCCCCCCACATCCGAATCAGATTCACCAAGATTATATGCAACAAGTTCCTCCTCAGCAATATCACCCTCAACAAGGGCAGTATGGAAATCAAATGACGCAACAAGGCCAATATAACCAGCAGCCTCCCCACCCTGGGCAATATCCTAATCAAATGGCACAACAGCAATATCAACAGCAACAACAATTTCATCCAAATCAACAAATTCCAGTCCAAAACTTGAATCAAGTACCGCAGCAGCAAAACTATCCTTCAGCGAATCAACAAATGCCACATCAACAATTCCAACAACCACCAAATATGAATCAAGTTCCCCAGCAGCAGATGGATGCAAATCAGGTACCCCAGCAACAGTTTCAGCAGCCAATAAATACAAATCAGGCTCCACAGCAACAGTTTCAGCAGCCAATAAATACAAATCAGGTTCCTCAGCAACAATTTCAACAGCCAATGATTAACAATCATCAGGTTCCTCAGCAACATTTTCAACAGCCAATAAATACAAATCAATATCCTCAACAGCATTTTCAACAGCCGATCAATACAAATCAAATTCCTCAACAACAATATCAGCAACAGCCTAATTCCAACAAAGTTCCTCAACAAACAGCTGGACAAAATCAAGCGCCGGTAGCCAACAACATGAATGAAGCTCCAGCAGCAGCAGCAGCAGCAGTTCATCAACAAAATCAGCCTACAATTGATCAAAATCAACAGAATACTCAGAATCAAATTCCTCAGCAAGTTCACCAATAGCCAGCTCCCAATGCTCAAACACATTAAAGTTGCCAAATTGTAATGTTAATAATTGAACAAGATTTTTGCATTTTTAAAAACATTTAGAAATTTTTTACGCTACTTGATACTTAGATTTATTAAAAATTCCATTACATATGTAATTTAGAGTCTTTGGTCATGTTCAAATTTCTTCGATTTAAGTTATTCAATTACAAATAATATCACATGAAATGCCAACAATAAACGCAATTCAAACTGGAAAGTAGTATTTTTTTCATTTATGAAACCCTTTACTCAAGTATATGCAACTAGAACAATGAAAGGGCTAAAGGTTACAGAAAGAGTAGAGACGGAATGTAAATTTTTTTATGTTTATTATTATTGCATATTGTTTACGTTAGTATATTACTTAGGTATACGTGCCAAGTAGCAACTTAAATGTATGATTGCGTGATTCTGTTTGTTCCTCGGTAGGTAGGGTAATGTACGCTTACTCCGTATTATATATAGTGTGTATTTATAGGTATAGTATAGTTTTTTTCGGTAAAATGTCACCTTAAGAGCTATTCGGTACAATAAATAACAAAAAGAATAACGAATGACGGCTTTCTATAAAACACCAAACTCTTACTTGCTTTATTTAACTTTTAAGTCTTTTGAAACTTGCTGAATCGTCTCAATTTCAGTTTTACCCTCCTTATTGTTCTAGGCGACAGAATCAAGTATTTTTATTCATTTACTACTCTAAGCCTTGATAACGCTGCAACAGCGTACCTTGATTAAATAACAAATTGGTCTAGCTAAACAAAGAGGAATTCTAGTCTCTTATCGGTTTGTGAAAATTGCTACAAAATTATACAGTTATATGAACGTTACACGTTAAAGGAAAACAGGAACGAATTTTGTTGCTCGTCTAATGTCGAAATCATAGGGCTCGTCGCATTGGACAAATTGTTACTTTCGGAACTCGCGCGTGATTGCGGTAGTAGAAGAATATTTGGACACTTTATTACAAAATCATTAATAAAAACAATCAACATATAATAGTTGTGCGCAAAAAATTGCGCCTGTTTTCCTATAAAGTAGTATATAATTTGTCGAAATACAAGACGATAAGGCATCTAGCATTGCCTTGCCGAGAGGAGAAATCAATGGGTAATGTAATGTTACAACAGGAAAAAAATTATTTGGCTTAAAAAATACTTGAAAAAACTGTTGGCCGCACTGGCGGTTTTCTTATCGATAAAACAGTCTTAAGTAGCGCCGAATAACTTTTTTCTTGATCGCCGGGGAGCACCATGGTTCTCCGTAATTCGTGGAACGAAAGAAATAAATAATTGTACAATGATTCGTTTTCTTTTTACTAATAACATAATTACATTCAAGTAATAAAGCTTACACGAGAGAATCGGCCCACTACTGCCCTTCTCGTTATCGTGATAATAAAATAATAAATATGTTTCGCGAACGAACTATAACACAATAATGAACGCGCTATTTACAGTACATAATGTATATTATAGTATACAATGTAGTCGAACTCAATCGTGCAAATGTGCGATTATGAACGATCAAGGAAGTAACGCGACTTTATCCAACGTCACAATTTATATAAACTTTAATAAAGTATTGCGAAAAATATAAAGGCAATATTTTAAAAACTGTATAAAAGTAAAGGAAGGGACACTGAATAATAATAATAATAATAATAATAATAATATTAATAATAATAATGATAATCATAATCATAATAAATGTAGCGTTAAAATTATCAGATCAAAACGCTTTACAATATTCTTACACTTCCGCCAGTCCTAGTATCGCCAACTCATATTATACATACAAAAAAAATTCATCAAATCAAGCTTCACATACTAATCATGATTTATCCATACTTCGCATAAATTAGTTACTTTACATAATCCACCATTCAAACAATACTTTTCTATAAATTCCAAGATTTGTCCAAATATTTTTCGCTGAACTTGAGTATAATAAGAAAACATATTCAAATAAATTTCGAGACGTAAAACTCGATAAAATCACAATAAACACAATTAAAAATATTTGATCTATATGTTGGAAATCGTAAAGCTTTTTATACTCAATTTGCACGGTCAGATCTTTAAAAACGATATAGACGCAACTTTGAAAATTTTACGCCTAAATGTCGATCAATCTCGCAATCAAAGTATAAAATAGAGTAATAATTAAGAGTCGAAAATTGGGCGTAATAATCTCTGTTTTTTTACAAACTGCTGGTTTTCAGTGCTATTCGAAATTCAGATGAGTTTTTTTTGTACGTAAAGCTCCTAAGACGAAAAAAATGTAATTTGTTTTAGTACATATACCCAGCAGTATCCCTCTTTTTATAATAGACCTATTATATATCAATTTATATAATATATATAGCTTCTATATATATTTATATATATAATTTTTGTATTCTCTATCAATATAATAGCGTATTAGATACTTTTCACTTACATATAAGTATGTAATATATACGGGTTTATTTTTTCTTATCTTTTCACAGATATAATATAAAAAAACGAAAATGAAACTATTTTTTCTCAAAATGTTCATTCGATCTTTCTCGCGTTCCCTTTCGTACCTCGATTTATAACTTTCGAATCCACTTTCATTCCAAAGCTCACGCAATATTTTTCTGTCTAAACATGATCACACATAAACAAAATGAAAAGAATAAAAAAACAAGAACAAAAAATTGTATTATTTTAAAGACATGCCATTCAGGGTATTACCGGTGTGATTTTATCCAAAACTGAAATTTTGTCGGTCTCTATATCCATATAAATACGTTACGAAACTTATCATTCCGTATTTATGACGTACGTGATATTTTACTGACATTTGTTTACACCATTCATTCGTTATTTTGCAATTACGTCAAATCGTATTTTTGATATTCGAAATGATTTCTCTACGCACCTTTTAATTATCGAAACGTTATAGACATTTTTAAAATATTCTTCAACAGTTTTCCTTTTTTTTACATTAAAATAATTTGACGTAGTTGTAAAATAAATATTTACTAACTGCTTTCATTTACGTTAATGCGAAAATTTCGACTGAATTTTCATTTACAAGTGGTCACGATCTACGAGACTCTTTTCTTAAATTTTCGATAGGAAGGCACTTTCTACTTTTTTTCTCATTTTTTTATACAGTACATCGCTAAACATTCTTTATCGCTTTTTTTCCTTTTATCGGTGCGGCTTTCCGTATATTGGGCTGCACACTCGCGGATTTTTTTTTTTTTCAAATAAATATTTCACTTTTAATTTCATTTCATTTCATGTTATACCATAGTTTTGAACACATTTCATGCCTAAATTTTGCATCGTATCGTAATTTCATGATTTATTTTCGTATCGTGAGATTTTCAAACGTGAAAGTTAACTATTAAATTATGTTAAGTACCTATTAAACAGCTCCACAGACAGTCCTCGAATCTCACTTTGTCATTATTTTCATAACAAGTCTTTCGCAATTTTCCGAATCTTTTAAATTTGATAGAAAAAAAAGCACGAAAAGAAAGAAAAGAACAGAAAGTGAATTGACGTTGTTAAAGTTGAAGAAAAAAATTAATTGTTAAACGACAGTAAAATGAAGAAATAACAAGTGAAAAATTTGGTAAGAAAATTGCATGGATTATACCGAAGGTTACAATGTTTACTGAAATTCCGTTGCACAATATTTATCGTATCAAGAATATTATTTGTATGCCAGAAAGAATTTTTACTCTTATACCACTTTACCACAGAGTCCATTTTATCAGTCAGCACCGTGTATTTTTTGTTGATTATCACGTGTTCATTATGTGCGGTTGAAAGAAGAGATGTTCGTACGTAGAAAAAGAAGCGTTCAAAAAATCTCGTAAAGCGCGACAACCAGGGTTTTCACTTTTTGCAATACACTCACGAAGGCCACTTCAAACGTTTTTATTTTACTATTACACAAATACAAAGCTTGATAATGACCTAAACGCGTAAATTTCCGGAGAAATATCTTTTTTTCATTTAATGAATATATCGGGCAAAGGCCTCGTGTGTTTGTCTCTTTTGTGTACGTTATTAATCTGAAGATTTCTAAAAAATAAAAAAATTAATTTTTTTCTTATCACCCCTTTTGTAGCAAAGTCACGTGTAATTTTTATTTTTTACAAAATTTTGAAAAATAGTTTGATTTTCCCGAAAAGAAGCGTCCACACGTTTTCTAATATTTATCGCGCTTTTTATGCCTACGTGTTTCACTTTCATGATATTTGCCAGTCACTCGCTTGAGAATTTGGTTAAAATTTCCTAGTAACTTGTTTCTCATGACTCCCCGATCGACTCATTCGTTATCAGTCTCACTCACAGTCAGATTTACTCAACCATTAACGTGTCGTTTTGTAAATCCTAAACCTTATAATTTTTTATACTTGGCATACCCCAAATATGGCAGGAAGGCAATACTTAATAATGCGTACTTTATAATCTTTTCTACGTCATCGACAGAAATACCGTTTATCTTATCGTATTTTATTTCGGTTAATATATATATGTATATATGTATGTGTGTATATATATATGTATATATATATATATATATATATATATATATATATATATATATATATATATATTAGAAATTTTGTACATTTGGTAGCAGACCGACGTTTATCCGAAACCATCTCTAAGCTACCCTCGCATCATCCGTCTATGCAGTGGGAGTGCTCATCGTATATCTTTTCTACAAAATCACAAAAATAAGCTTTCACGGAGCATCGAGCTACCAGTTTTTGGTCTTCGGCGCTCTCAACATAATCAAGGAGCAATCACTTCCTTTACTGAGTATTTTGATAGCATCGAGGGAGTATACATCATGTCGTATTTTCCTAAACATTACTGAGATAAAAATCGGCTTTCCCCTTGCTTCTCCACGAAAACAATCAATGGTGATGCAATTGCGTCGTGACGTATCTTTAGGAGGAAATAAACTATGTAAACTCAATGAAGATTGCAATTGACATGTACATACGTATGAAAAAATAACCGGCCCTCGATGAGTCGTGTAGCTGGTTCGACAGACAGATCCGCGACTCGCGGGACGCCGTCGCTGAAAGAAGCTGTTGCTCGATCTGGCTTGTATACAAGTCCGTGTGTTTAGTTCTCAGGCCTACATTATACTATATACGATTCGTCATCGGCTGCTCTCCTGCTCTTTAGTTCTCGGAACCCTACCGGAGTCGCGTATTTATTTATTTTCCCTTACTAGCTATTATACATTTGGCGTTATAATGTATGGTACTGTCTATGCGTTTAGGTATAAATAATGCATTACTTGCTCTCATCTCTGTTGCGCCTTGCCGCTTACAAAAAAAGCCACCAAGACGAAAACTCTACATACATATGCGACATATCTACTCGTACGTTGTCCGAACGAAAGGACTGTGACTACGTAAAATTGGAAATGTATCGCAGCAGCAGCGCGCGCGCGCGCGCGCGGGTGTGTGTCTGTGTGCGTTCGTGTGTGTGCGTCGTCCGTCCGCTTCCGCAGCCGGGAAACGAGACGTACTCGAGGGCCGACTTCTGAGCGCGGCGCGGGCGTCTCGAAAGAAAAGAAAAAGGAAGAAGGGCGCATAATCTACTTGCACGTAGTTAATCGTTATTTTGTTTTGATTGTGAGCCTCCGTATGAACCCTTGATCACACTTTAATCTTGCTATACTTAGAAGTTACAAGCTGCTCGCGGTCTCGAGCGTAGCGTCGCGCGAACAGCGTGCGGCCAGGTGCGAGGCTCCGCGCGGAGCTTGGCCCGTGTGCCCCGCATCTACACGGACACACACGACAACTATATATACATATACGCGTGCTGTCGGACAGCCGTCGGCTCGACGGCGGCGAGCGTCCGCAAAGTTTGATCGGTGAATGCTTGAGGCTGGCTGCGCGTCAGCGTGCGCGAGTGAGCGGCGCTCGGCTCGCCGGGCTAATTTCCTATGGTCCAGTTGCAGGGGGGCAGCATGGCGGCGGCGTCGGGCTGCTCTGGAAGATGACGGGGCTGCTGCTGGTGCTGCTGCGCGGAGGGCGAGGCGGCGAGCGGCGCCCCGAACCGGCCCTACTATTCGCAGCGCGAGTCGGCGAGCGGCTCGAGCTTGACGGCGATCTTGTCCTTGTCCTTGAGGGCGGCGTGCGAGCTCTTGACCAGCTCGCTCAGCTCCTCCTGGAAGAGATTGTCGGGGCGCGGGCTGACGAAGCTGCGCGCGGGCTTGTAGGCCATGCCGCTGACGCCGATGCCCACCTCGACGCTCGGGGACATGTGCGCGGGATCCATCAGCGAGCCCAGCGGGCTGGCCAGCGGCGACTCGAGCGGGCTCTCGGGCGGCCCGCCCGAGCCGGGGCTGGCGAGGCCGAGGTTCAGCGGCGACTCGCCGTGGTTACTGCCGCCGCTGCCGAGCAGCGGGGTGCCCGCGCCCGGGTGGCCGAGGCCCAGCTGCGCGCCGGCCGCGCCGCCGCCGGCGCCGTTATTGTTGTGGTGGTGGTGGTGCATCTGCTGCTGCTGCTGCTGCTGCTGCTGTTGCTGCTGGTGGTGGTGATGATGCTGCTGCTGTTGGTGGTGGTGGTGCTGCTGCTGCTGCTGGTGATGGTGCTGCTGCTGCTGCTGGTGCTGCTGCTGCTGCTGCTGCTGTTGCTGCTGCTGGCTGGCCGCCGCCTGCTGCATGGCGGCCTGCAGGTTGGACGAGAGGCTGGTGGAGAGGTTGGTGGCGAGCATGTCGTGCTGCTGCGAGTGCGCCGCGGCCACCATGCTGCACATCTGGTGGCGCAGACCTGCGGACAGAGGGCAGAGGGCGGGGTGAGGCGAGGCGGGCGGCTCGGGGGCAGAGGAGGGCGGGCGGCGCCGCGTACCTTGGGCCACGGCGGCGACCGCGGCGGCGGCGGCGGCGCCGGGGCTGACCGCGCCCTCGGGCCCGTTGCAGGCGCCGTAGTTGGCCAGGCTGGGGTACATGGGGGCGGGCTCTTCCTTGACCACGTGCGCCACCGACTGGCCGTCGCGGAAGACCACCGCCCGGATGACGCCGCGGATGTGCTCGTCCGGCCAGACGCCCAGCAGGATCCTCTGAGGCCGGCCCCGGCCCTTCGGCCGCAGATCTGCGAAGCGCGCATTGTCTTAGCTGCCATTAGCGAGCTCGCTCGCGGCTTCGAGTTGCACTTACCGGCTCCGCCGTCGGCGCTGGGGCCCAGCATGTTGTGCACCCTGTTCGCGTAGAGCACGAAGGTCGGGTACGGAATATCGTATTTCCTGCAACAGAAAGCAGACGGCCGAGTGTGGCGAATGCCGAATCGCTTGGTTCTTTTTCTTTGTGTCGCCTCGCTCGCTGGTATCGCTCCGATATCGGAAATATCGCTAATGAGCCGGGGCGCGGACGCGCATTACTCGCGAAATCCTACACCCGCGCAGCACCTCGCTCGTCGGAGTTTTGCAGTTTTTTACCGGACAACGAGCGGTATCGCGGTATCGCGGTATCGCGTGTCCTGCCCGCGAGCGAGGCGAGGCGACCCGCGCGCGCGCGCGCGCGTCGGCGCTTTTATTACCTTGCGGCTTGGCTGAGCGACAGGCCCTCCTTGAGCACGCTAAAGATTGCTTCCGCCATCGTTTCCGGCCGCCACGACTTCAAAGGGCCGCGTTCCCGAAAGCGCAGGTTGTGTACCAGGCTCTGATTGGTGTTCCAGCACTTTTGCCACATCGACTGCAACTGGTACTGGTAGCTGTCTGCTGGAACAACCCCCCGGCAAACACACGGGAGCACACATTAGTCTGGCAGTCACATGGCCGGCATCTTTCATTGCATATTCATAGTCAATTTATCAATCGATTTATTAAATAGCGAGCTGAGAAAATGCGCGCAAGTATCTTTGGGATAGCTCCGCTCTCAGGATCGAAGAGGGAGAGAGAGAAAGAGAGAGATTACAAAAAGAGCAAACAAACAGACAGACAAGTAAAGAGCAGAGACAAGTTTGCGCGACGTTATCAGTGTTATAGTTAGGAGCGTGACAACTTTACTTTATCAAGCGGTAGCTCGGCCTGGTTTCGGTGTCTGAAAAAGAAGAAAATCAAAGTCTCAGGTTGCGGTCAAACAAAGTCAATCCATCGGTTGTCATTTGGGGGAGAGGGCACTGGGTGGAGGGGGCAAACAAAAAAATGAACAAAAGCCTCGGCAGTTGTCAGAAACTTGGCGTATAATTGAACGTATTCACAGAGCAATGTACAAAGTAGCACTTGGCGTGCCGCTCGCTCGTTGGACGGAAGGACGGAAGAGCCGACAGGTCGGCGACGCGTTCGCGAAACTCGCTGGCGAAGCGCGCGAGCGGAGGCTGATTGGCCGAAGCGGCGGCCGCGCGGCCCTGACGTGCAGCGGCCGCGCGCTCGCCGATGGCCCCGATCCGCAGCGATTATTTAACGGTTAAGTTATTAAGCGTAATTAGGCCTCCTCCAATTTCATGATTAATACAATTAATTGGAAAAGACGCGCGCGCACAGGCGCGCCGCGCTCGCAGCACTCCACGGACGCCGGTTAGTCTTTATTGGCGCTCGAGCGCGCGGAAAAAAGCCAGAGAGAGGCGTGCTGCTGCTGCTGCTGCTGCCGCTGCCAGTCGGGCATTTATTACAAAGTCCGCGCGTCCGTGCAGTGCTAGTCTTATAAAATTACACGCATTATGCGCCGTACAGCGCGTATAACTGTACACTTTTTGGAACTCAATTATTCCGGTCGAGCAGAGTGTTCGCAATGATCAGGCTTCCCTCCTCGACGCCTCTCGCGCTTTTATTGTTTTTCGTAGCTCGGCAAATGAATAATTTTATTCGATTCAACAACTTGTCGAGCGTAATGAACCGTCGGTTTATTATGCATTCAGTCTTATCTGGAATGGAAATTCACTTGGTTTCATAATAAATGCAAACTCACTCTTTTGTGTTGGATTTTTTCATTCGGAAATTTAACAAGTAATAATAATGGTCGCCTTCTTGACGTGCGCAGCAAGTAGGAAAATTTTTCTCGCTCATGCAAACTTCTCTCTCATGACTTATTATTAAGCGTAGCTTCAATCACGCGGCGCTTTTCTGTTTCCACATAAAAAAAATAAAATAATAAAAGGAAAAAAAACAAAGAGATTCGCACAATTTACTCTATTCAGTCGCTCGTAAATCGCGAAACTTTGTTTAATTTACAAAGAACTGGCGCAGCTGGACTTTTCATATTACGCTCCAGCTGAATAAAGACGCTCTCGATATACGCGTTATTGCCGCGCGTAAATCTCCACGCTCATTATAGCTTTCAGCTCGTACAATCGAATTATTGCTTGCCCGCTTGCTTCTCCTCACCTGGCGTCGCCGCGCGGCTCGACTTTTATTACAAAAATATCATTCGATATCGTCGTCGCGAGTAATATCAATTCTTAGGTTACTATCCGAGGAATGCGGCTGATTCGCAAAAGTAAAGAAGCGCGAGTATCCAGACGCGTCCGATCGATCGATAGCTCGCGCCACGACAACGCTCTCGGCGGACCCTCGGGTCAGCCGCGCGAGTACGCGAGAGGTCGATCGGCAGAGCGACGCACTCGGTCGCGATCGGCCGGCGAGCGCTTCCGTTAGCCGGCGAGTGGCCCCGATCGCGTCACGTTAATTTTATTAATTAAGTACTTCGCGTTTGTCTTTTTCTCGCAGAACGCCCCGACCAATGCGGCTGGGCCGAAAATTTCGAGGGACGCATGCCGCGATGACGACAACAATCGTAAATAACGGGCGAGCAATAAAAAAATACATTCCGCTCGCGATCGCGACAAATCACTCGAAATTGCTTATAACGCAGAGAGCGCGACAAAATTGTTGAAGACACGGCGCAAGCTTACAGTTGGCCAATCCCCCCCCCCCCCCCCTCTTTCTCTCTCGTAAACAAGCGTGAAACGAACAGAACAGAAAGGAGCGGAAGAAAGAAGAAACGCACGTTGGACAGCTTTGAGGTATACAAAGGAGGCATCGGCTCCGCGTAACGTCGTGACAATCAGCAATGGCTTGGAATTAGCGAAAGAAAAATAAATTGTTGCAGTCTTCTCTTAAAATTCACGTGTGCACGATGGGTTCCGCGAAAGAAAAAAGTAAAAACAAAAAAACGCCACAGAATGATGTTTGACTTGAAGTCATCATGCTTGAAATACGCTCGCGAACGTCGGGAAAGCTCGCGGCAACTATGGCTTTTCGGCATCGCTACATTATAAACCAGACTTTTCGCAGCAGCTTTCGCTTGTAGCGCGTGTAATATGAGCCCCGTCGTAAAACCCGAAGCGGCGTCGCGTATTCCAGGCGAAAAAAAGGAAAATGCATAGAAAGCACGCATCGCGAGCTTTCAAAATAATGTCGGCTTGCCCTGGGATTTGAAGCAAATAAATGCGCGTCGCCGGACGCTTGGAGCGGCCCTCCCAGCGCGTTATTTCATTTGTCGAGTCCACCAAGGCTCGGATAAAATATTGTTTCCGAAGATGCGATGCATACTTTGGATCTGTTCGTCATGAGACTCGACTAAAGAGCGCTCCGAAGGAAGAGAAAATCAATTGTCCAGAAGTTTTCCAACTGTTTCGTTTACTGGTCACCCGCCGGCGTTTTCAAAGTTGATCCGACGATAAACCAACGATAAACCAACGATAAACAGCGCCATCCTAATCTACGCGAAAAATGCGCCAAAAGCATGTATCGCATTAAAAATAATTGTTGATAACCCTTGATATACTCGACAATCGAAACGGAATCCCAGGCAGGTGAGTTAAAGCGATCAACATTTCTTTCAAGTTCCAGGGCAACTCAACGTCACTTTAAAAGCTTAGAAAGCGAAGGTACTTTTGGTCAGACGATAGAACTTGCATTTGGAGTGGTGGAAGCGAGAAATCAGAGAAGAGCCGGATGCTCGGAAGGAGCATTTTCCGTTTCTTTCTCGCGCGTGCGCGCGCGCAAAACTCTCCGGGCTGCACGCGCAATCGGTCCGCGAGCTCGTCACGGCGGGCACGCAGAACGGCGAGACGCAAATGTCAACCGGTGCGAGCGTTAACGAGGCTAATTGAAAATACAAGCGCGCAGTGGCGAATAATACGGGGCACGCGGAGCGGAAAAAGCGCGGAGCGGCGAACCGGTAAGGCACGAGGAGAGGAGGCGTCGGAAGACGCCGGGACGGCAGCGATTAGGCTTACGTAAGTCGCCGCTCCGAAGCGTGCCGACTGCACGCTCGATGCAGATACTGGGAGGGAGACGACGACGACGACGACGACGACGACGATGGCGAAGCAGAGAAAAGAGCGAGCTCGCGCTCCATTGCAGCCGACTCGACGGCAAGGTCGCCGCGCTTCTGCGCTCCTCTCCGGTCTTTCCATCGGTCCGTCGCTCCGAGAAAAGTAATGGAATAATTGTCGGCCGCGATGAATTGGCCAAGTCGCAGGAAACGGAGCCGCGGCAGTGGAGATGCACTTTTGCAGCGGGGCTCGCGCGCAGTTCTACATTAAATCGGCAGCAATATCGCATTTCGCAGATGCCGCGAGGCCATTGTTATGGATTTAGGCGAATGATCGTGCAATTTAACTGCGTATTGAATACATCAGCGGATATCCGATAGGCAGGGGGAGGGCCGGGCGCGCAATCAAACGAAACGATTCGAAAATCGCTTTGTTTTGGGCGCAGGCAGGCGAGCGCGCGATGGCCGGCAGTGCGTATTGGCGAAATACAAGTTTTTACGAGTGGAGCGGTGGCGGCGAGAGAGTGAGAGAGAGCGAGAGCGAGAGAGCGAGAGAGCGAGAGAGCGAGAGAGCGAGAGAGAGAGAGAGGCGGGAGGAGGCCAGTCGTAAAGCCGGATGCGAAGCGGGCCGGGCGGAGAGCCGCGCGCATCGCCGGCCGATCGTCGGCAGCGGGAGGATGGGCCGAGAGCAGGCAAGGGCGCGCAATCAGTCGTGGTCGTGGTCGTCGTTGAAGTAGAGCGAGACGATGCCGTGCTTCTTGCAGAAGGCCCACCACCAGCGGAAGCCCGCGAGGCCGGCGAAGGCGAAGCCGGGCTCGCGCTGGCGGCGCAGCTTCTCCACGTACTGGAGGATCGCGCCGAGGGACTTTTTGGTGCGCCGGTTGTAGGGCGAGAGGCTGATGTCGCAGCAGAACTCGAGAACCTGGCCCTCCTCGTGGGCGTCGAGGCCGGCCTCCTCCAGCACCATCATGCGCTTCGACTTGCCCAGGATGTTGTCGTAGAGCGTGCCCTTGGGGATGCCGTACTTGCTGGCCGCCTGGGTGAAGCGCATCTTCTGCGTGACCACAGCCTCGATGGCCTCCTGCAGCTCCTGCCGCGTCCACGTGGGCGCCTTCAGCTTCAGCAGGCTCGAGTAGTCAGCTAGAAACCAGCCCAACACACACTCACATTTCGACTACATCTTTGCTGCTTGCCGCTCCGCTGCGCTCCACTCTCGCTGCGCCCTCGCTGCTGGCGCTGCTTCGACCTGCACCCGGCTCGACCGCGTCCGATCCTCGGCCTGCGGAACCGCGCGCACGCCCCACCGCGACCACGCACACAAATGCAAAGCAGCCGTCGCGCTCGGCCAGACACACTCACCTGCTATACTGGAGGTGGAGGCTCCGAGCCAAGCGTGGGACGATTCCAACAACTTGGCCTGCAACAGACAAAGCAACAGCTCCATTATTATTCTGATTCTGCTCGATTCCCATCGAGAGTCGCCGCCGCCGCGTGCACGTAGGTGGGAGAGCCGCTGTAGCGGGCCGAGCGGGCCGGGCGTGCCGGGCGGGCGGGGGGCCTCCTGCAAGGAAGCTAATATGGGAAAGGGCGCGCTGCAACTTTACTAATATGCTTGCCAGACAAACGCGCAAGCAAGCTGCCTCGAAAGACACACGCAAAGTTGCTTCATTTCGAAAGTTCCTCATACCGCCGAATGTCGGCTGATCCCTTCGTGCGCCCCACGGACTTTTCAAATTAATTTTTAAAGGGCTGCGGCGCCGGCGCCGCCGCGCCCGATCGGAGCCCCTCCCCCTCCCTCCCTCGCTCCTCGCTCTCTCGCCTGTATTTTTTAGCCAGGCCTCTCGGCTGAGAACTTTGCACTCTTTGCCGGCCAAGATACAGGCAAACAAACCCCGATTTGTCTTCTTTTTTAGTCGCGCCGAGGAAAGTTGGGCGATTTGGCAGCGAGCGCTGGGCGGCGGCGGCGGCGGCGGCGGCGGCGGCAGGGCCTCGTGAAAGTTTGACGATTCCGGATGAGTAATTGGCAGTTCTATTTCGACGTCGGCTCGGAGGCACGTGTGCCTTGCAGCAGGAGAGCCGAGCTGCGGCTGCTTCGTCAAAGATTCAGGACAGCGGGAGAGCCTGGCGCCGGACAATTTGAAGGCAGTTAATAGTGGGCAATAGGAGTGTGCCGCCGCTCCTCCTAGTTGCATCCCCGCTCTCTCGCTCCGAGCGGCTGGCGCGCTTTGTGTGCACGCGCCGGTCTATATGGTAATATTTAATTCAGCGGGCTTCTCTTGCAGCGTCTCGCCGCCGCGGCTGTGGGCGCGCAGCTCGCTCGGTCCATCGGCTGTAAAGAGAGACGCGCGCGCGCGCGCGCGCAGGGCAAAGGCCTCATATCCATTAGCGGCATGCATCATACACGGCTGCGAGCTCCGGCGCAATCGCACTTTCCAGCAGTTGCCTAGCCTCTAATTGTTTCCTACTGTTTGCCCCTCACATTTCGTAGTATCGACTGCGGCGCTAATAAGTGAATGCGAGACGAGCTGCGGCAGCGGCGGCGGCGGCGGCGGCGGCGGCCGCCTCTGTGCGAGCCCGCTCGCGTTCGCTCGGCTACATCGAAATAATGATTCCAGCTGAAAGGGCCCTTTCAGTTTTTCAGGCCGTCGACGGCGATCCCGCCGCACTCGGCAGCTTGGCTAATAAAGCGCGCTCGCACCTCTCGCCGCCGCGGAGCCGGCGACTCGGCCGGCCGACGTCACCCGCGCCCCCCGACGTTTATCGCCGCTCTCGCGCTTCCCTTCTCTTCGAGGGAGCGGCACTTATCGCCGCCGCAGCGAGAATAAACAGGCGCACGGCACCCCGGTTGCAGCTAATCAGCGCAGCTGCTCGCTCGGCCGCGGCGAATTTATATTCGCGAATCGCGTCGGGCCAAAAGTCGGACCGGCGCAGCGCGCGTAACAAGCTAATTCCTGCAAATATTTGCATGCCGAGCAAGAATTCGTCGTGCGGCTGCGAGCAGATGAGAGTATAGGTGCGGAATTCCAGTCAACAGGCTCGCGCCGAGTCGGCGGGGGAGAAAAGGCGCAGACTAGACTCGGCGAGAGACGCGCGCGCCGGCAAATTTCTAATCAGATTACCGTGGATTAGCAAAGTTCGTTTGTTCTAATGAAATTCGTCTAAATTAACGTCGCGCCGCTGCCGCGAGCTCGGCGCGCAAGACGAAAGCCAGCGGCTCGAAAGGCTTTCGGCCCAATCGAGTTAGGCTGATGAGAGGGAAAGCTCTCATTAAACGGCCTGGCTGGGCGAGCAAAAAATCAAACTGCACTCGTTAGCCGGCAAAAGGCAGCCGGCGCATTCCGCGGTCGTCTATTTTTCAGCAAACAGGCCGACTGAAATGTAAAACTAGGGCCGGGGGGAGGTGGCGAGCATGCGCAACGTCGTTCCCGAGCGGATAAATAGATTTATTTATTTACGATAAATTGATGCCGACTGTACGCGCGGCTGCGCCTCCGGATCGGATTGTTTCGCGTTTGCACAGGCCGCTCGAGCTCCGTGTTGACGGTTTCCGTTATTGGCTCGTCATTATCACTTAACGAATCGCGCTCGCTCGCCGGCGGAGCGTCGGCGCGCCCGCCGCCAGCCAAGTGAATCAGCAGATGTTAATAACGAGGAATTGCGTTTGCTTCATTAAATTTATTCTAATAAAAAAAATCCGGCGGGCGGGCGGCGAAGCGAGCGACGCCAGCGACTGACAGGCGGCCGCACACGTGCCGTTGCATAACTGCACAAAGCCGATCACGTCGTTAAATATTCTCTTGTGCAACGCTCGCCCTGGCCGCCTCTGTCCGCGCGCGCGCGCGCGGCCGATTAAAAATATAACAATGACACTAACGCCGCGCGTCCCTTTGGCGCATTGTCGACGAGCGGCGGCCAGCAGCCGAACGAGGAGAAAAAGCCGGAGCGAACGAATTATAGGAGCGTAGCCAGCGGATAGTAATTGGCAAGCGCTCGGTTCTTTCGCCGATGTGCTCTCCTCGGTTTTATTTTAATCTTGCGACTCGGCTGAAAGCGCTCCACAGGTGGCTCTGAAGGGTTCTTACGACAAAAAGCCGCCGCGGCTGCAGGCGCGCTGGCGCTCTCGCCGGAGTCGCGCGCCGCGGCCGAGGCGCCTTTCTCGCTCGCTCGCGCCCTCGGCGCGACTGCGATCCGCCGGACAAGGCGGGCGCCGATCGATCGCCGGAGCGGGCGCGCGGGACGAGTTATTTTTCCGGCCGCGCGCGAGATGATCAATTGCGCGGGGCGAGCGCGCCCGGGCGGGAGCCCGAACGGCGCAGATTGAATTTCGAGAGCTAATCCCGTCTTAATTGCAGTTGCTCATGAGAGCATTGCCGGCAGTGCACGGCTCGTCTCGTTTGCGTGCGCGCGTTCGACGTCGGTGACGCGCGAGGAAAAGCGATCAGCGGGGCCGAGCAGCGCGACAAGAGCCGTGCCTCGCCCGAGGCGCGAACTCTCTCTCTCTCTCTCTCTCTCTCTCTCTCTCTCTCTCTCTCTCTCTCTCTCTCTCTCTCTCTCTCTCTCTCTCAGACGCCGCGGCGCGAGCGCTCGGCCGTTTTATCGATTGCCACGCGTCGCGGCTACGAGGCAGGTACGCGCGCGCCAACTCGCCCGATCTGCTTGGCTGCTCGTTAATATGCGTGGCGCAGGCTTGATTATCCGGCTGCGTACGTCGCGAAGATCGCGCCACTATGAATTAGCCAAATGGATTTTTGGATCGTCGGGCCAGCGCGCGTAAGCGCGTACGTGCGGTGCGCACAGCCAAGCAAGATAATGTAATTTCTACGATTTAATTTAACGCCAGTGCCGAACCGATTGAATTTCGACCGACAAAGCGTCCGGGAACTAGATTGCATTAATACTCGCGATTAAGGGGACCAGAGGGTGTTTCGTAGTGAAAAATTAACACTTTGTTTATTGCCGCGTAGAAATCATTCTACTGAAGATATCGATGTAGAACTTTTTTCAGCTGAAAGTATTCTATATAAGCTTTCATTTTCTTTGTTATAAGTTCCAGAATAATCATTGTACACCTAATATGGACACAACAAAGACCAAGCTCTATTTTTCAAAAAATGGGGCTTTGCCACGCCTTTCTGAACGCCAGAGTGGACAAAAATCGTTTTGTGAGAGCTCATTTTTTTTGTTATGAACCGGACTACAGAATGAGCGGAGCACTTTTCTAAAAAAGATAATTCTTCCTATTTTTTGAGGATAATTTGCAAAAAAAATTTTTTTGAAAAATTAAAATTTCATATATTGGCTCAAAAAAATAGGAAGAATTATCTTTTTTATAAAAGTGCTCCGCTCATTCTGTAGTCCGGTTCATAACAAAAAAAATGAGCTCTCACAAAACGATTTTTGTCCACTCTGGCGTTCAGAAAGGCGTGGCAAAGCCCCATTTTTTGAAAAATAGAGCTTGGTCTTTGTTGTGTCCATATTAGGTGTACAATGATTATTCTGGAACTTATAACAAAGAAAATGAAAGCTTATATAGAATACTTTCAGCTGAAAAAAGTCCTACATCGATATCTTCAGTAGAATGATTTCTACGCGGCAATAAACAAAGTGTTAATTTTTCACTACGAAACACCCTCTGGTCCCCTTAATCCGATGAAAACTAATTTGGCCGAGCTCGGTCGCTCTCTTCTCGTCCCTGCCGCTGCCGTGGCAACTGCAATGCAATAACTAAGGCTATTCACGCTCGACTCCATTCTCGCAAAAGTGCTAATTCTGGACGAGCCGTTTCTAATGATACGGAGGCAGGCAGCGCGAGCTCGCCGATCCACGTCGCCTTCGACTCGCGCGAGCCTGCAAAGCCTCGTCGTTCGCGAGCCGATACGGCGACGCCTAATCTCGTTTGGCCGCGCCGGCTCGTCCTTTGAGCCGCGGACGCCGCGTGTGCACACAGCTGAAAGTTGGCGCGCAAAGCTGTTTATCGATTCCTCTATGACGCGACGTCCGACGACTCTCGCTTTTGGCCTCGAGCGCGCAAATACGCGCGCGAGTTGCGCTAAATTCATTCGAGCCGCTCCATCTATCCCCAGCCTGCGGAATAATAAGCTCAAGTCTGCTCGTCCGCCCGGCTCTTTTTCTCCGCTCGCCCATCAGCTGCAATCTGATTAAAAGCTTGATTGAGCTTTTTACGTCGCAAACTTTTCCGGCCGCTCGTCGCTCGCCCGCTGCTCGCCCGCTGCTCGCCCGCTGCTCGCTCGCTCGGCCGGATGTAAATTCTGAAAACGTATAGTTTATTGCCGCGTATTGCTCGTCGACAAGCAACTTTCAGTGGACAAATGGAAATGTACAGCCCGCGAGGCTCGCGCCCGCCGAGCTCTAATGTCGTCCTCTTTATTTACTCGTTCTCGCAGCACCGATCGATCG